CACTACTAAGAGGTGTGGCCTTGTTGGAGTAGGTGTGGCCTTGTTGGAGTAGGTGTGGCCTTGTTGGAGTAGGTGTCCTCTTGTTGGAGTGGGTGTGGCCTTGTTGGAGGAAGTGTGCCACTGTCAGGGGGGGCTTTGAGGTCAGGTCAGTTCGCTCATGGCTGCCTGTGGATCAAGATGTAGAACTCTCAGCTCCTTCTGCAGCTTCATGTCTGCCTGCGTGCTGCCCTGCTACTTGCCATGATGATGAACTAAGCTCTGAGCTGTAAGCCAGTCCCAATTAAATGTTTTTCTTTATAAGAGTTGCCGTGGTCATGGTGTTGTCACAGTAATAGAAACCCAAACTAAGAGAGATGTGAACCATCACGAGGGTGCTAGAATTGAACACGGTCCTCTTTACGCACTGAACCATCAGCAAACATTTATGGAATGCCTACTCTGTGACAGCCATTGTTCCATTAGAAATAGGACCTTACATAAACAAAGAACCAAGTACAACTTTAATTATGGGTTGAGATAGGGAGAAAAAAAGCAAGGAGAGGAGACGGGACATGATGGATGGACCGCTGAAAACAAATGTGTCTACGGTGAAGGAGTCTGCTTTGGTGGCATTTGAGTAGATACCTGAATAAAACTGGCCACACAGAATGAAGGAGTCAGTCAACACATTCACAGTCAGTACAGGAATGCTAAGGCTGGGAGAGAGAAGACAATTAGGAAACTAGTCAAGGAGGCATCTCACAATATTCCTCCTCTGTTTACAGGGGTCTCCACCCTTCCTTTGAAATGCGCTCTTGTCTGGCTCAGTTCTCGCCTGCTATATGAAGTTCAGAAGAAAAGTCTTTGTGTTACAGAATACCATGGTGCACACACAGACATGATACTAATTAAGGAGCAGCTTCCCTTCAGTGATGCCTTGGGTTTCCCTGTTCCCTGTTTCATTGCATTTCAGCCATTTTGAATATACATTCCTAGAACAGGGATTATAATAGTAAGAATAAATGTTGCTGTACTCTCTCCAAAGTCGTGTTATATGTATGCAGCTTTCGGGACACTTACTGAGCATTGTGGCAGCTTCCAGGGATGTGTATGGTCCCATCAGCAGCACAGCTAGGCCTACGTGCAAGGAACTGTGTCTGAGGGACCTGCAGTTGCCTTTGATCGTGACACCACCTACTCCTGTGTAGGTTCTTCCAGCTGAGAAAGACGGAATGATTGCCAGTAACCAGAATAACTGAACTACACTGAATATGATCACTTTTACTGACACAGAATGATTAACTGAGGATATTGTGAAAAATGAGGTTGCAATGAGCCCCTGCAACACAGTTTTTAATGGCAAATGTCTTGATGATGCTGTTGTTCAGTCTGGCAAAATATTGGCTCTTCATGGTGGTGAATGATGCAAGCTGGCCCAAGGTCCAAGTAGAATACAAAGGGATACAAGATGTGTCTTCCCAGAGGAGGTGCCCTCTACGGTTCTGACAAAGACCCCAAGAGAGAAAGAGACCCCTCCTTCGTTGACCTTTATCTCTACCTTCCTCCATGTACCTGTGACCAAAGGGTGTGGTCAGTATGGGCACATGAGATCTCTACCTACATCACTCTACATGGAGACAGTCACATAATGCCCAGGATTTGCTGCTCTTAGGTGTCACTCCCCTTCCTCTTTGTATCGAAGCTGCTGGTGGTATGCTAACTGTCTTTATCTTGCACAGAACGATCATCCCTACCAAGTAGACACAGACCTTCTCCACTCACACCAACAGCCAGCCACGCGTGCTCTTTGGGTGAAGGTGGAGGAGCCATGACCAAGGACAGCAGCCTGCTTGGAAACTGCGAACTCATAGGCATCCCGTGTGTACCCCCTGGTATTTCTCAGATTGAAGTCACTTTTGACACTGATGCCAATGGCATCCTCAGTGCGTCTGCTGTAGATAAGGGTACACAAAAGGGGAACAAGGTAACCATCACCAATGGCAGGGGCCGCTTGAGCAGGGAGGATGTGGAGGGCGTGGTCCAAGAAGCTGAGAAGTACGAAGCGGAGGACAAGAAGTAGAGATAAGTTATCCTCCAGGAATTCACTGGAAACCTATGCTTTTGACATGAGAACCTTTAAGGTAAAATTGATGATGAGGTCCAGCAGAAGACTCTAGACAAATGTGATGAAACCATCAGTTGGTTGGCGAGGAGTCAGCCTGCAGACATGGGAGGGGCCGAACACCAGCAGAACTGGAGAAACCGTGCAGCTGAAGCAGAGTGTGGGTGGCATGTCTGGAGGAGTGCCTGGGGCTTCTCTGCAGGGCAGCTGTATCTGGGGGTGCTTCCTTGGGACCCACCATCAAAGAGGTGAAGTAACATCTAAGTAGTGATGCAGCATTGTCCCACAGGGAAACCTTCGAAGGGGCCAGATTTAGCAAGTTATGTGGCAGTTTTGGAGTTAACTTGCTACAATAAATTACTAGGCATTCTCAACACTTAAACATGGAACTTGTACACAGGGAGAGGAAATAACATTGCACATTTTAAGTACTGTATCCTAAGTGAAAATGCAATGTCTAAAACTAAAATTGGCACTATTAAAAAACTTTATCAGATTCAATATTTTTATTATTTGTTTTATTATACTCGTTTATTGGTTGGTTTTGTGTGTGTGTGCTTGTACGTGTGTGTGTATGTGTGTGTGTGTGTGTGTGTGTGTGTGTGTGTGATTCGCGTGAGGTGAGAAACTTTCAGGTTCTCACCTTCTACTATGTGGGTCCTGGGGATCAAACTCAGACGTCAGGCTTGGCAATAAATGTCAGCCTGCTGAGCTATTTTATTGGCTCTATTAATTTACTTGGGATTTTTAAAATGTTTATTACATTTATATGTATGTAGGAGGGAGGGGCTTAGTGTATGCCACGGCACAGCTGTGGAGGTCAGAGGACAGTTGGGAGTCGGGTTTCTCCTTCCACCACGTGGCACCTGGGATTGAACTCAGGTCATCAGGCTTGGCAGCAGGCACCTTCACCAGGCCAGCCTGGTCTACAGAGTGAGTTCCAGGGCAGCCAGGGCTGTTATACAGAGAAACCCTGCATCAAAACCACACACACACACACACACACACACACACACACACACACACACCCGCGCGCACACACACACACGCACACACACACTGTAATACAGAGAATATTTTAAAACCCAAAAGTCACATACACAAATACATAGAGCACACAGTGGGCTTTGGAGCAAACAGTTCTGAGTTCAAATGCTGGCTCTGCTTCTTCCTGTTAAATGTTCTCCAGGTCCTCACATCTCTGAAATAATTTAAATGATTTCTGATAAGTCATGTAATCATGAGGCATACTAAAACCAATTCCTTGTTTATCTAAAATCTGAGTTGACTGGGAATGGCATTTGTGTCTTTTTCTACCTCTCCCAGTTCTACAGCTCTCCCCAAAATACCTCAGCTCTAATGAGCCTTGGTAGAACTTAACAGGCCTTAGGGTAGATGTGGAATGTTGTGTGGTGCTGCCCCCTGCTGGTATGTTGTGGCAACACCATACATGTTAACAAAAGTGTATCATCACAGTAGGCTTCTTACTAGACCCCCAGGTCATAGACACATAGCTAACTGGAATTTGGCTATCTCAACTCCTTTAGTCCAAACTAATTTTTACTTTAGTCCCACTAACACCGTAGCATTCCTCCTTAGCTCTGCAGTCTTACAACTTTTCTTTGTGTTTTAAGACACAGTCTTCCTGTGAAGTCCTGGCTGGCCCAGAACTCACTATAGACACCATACTGTCCCAAACTCATGGCAATCCTCCAGGTTCATCTTCTGAGTTATGGGATTACAGACATATGTCACCATACCTAGCTAGTCTTACACTTTTTAGCTAGGTTGGGTAAATATATGTATACATTTAGGACTTACAAGTGTATTGGATTTCAATATGCTATGTGTATCTCTTTAAAATTGTACATTTGCACTTAAAAAACACATTAGGCCGGGCGTTGGTAGCACATGCCTTTAATTCCAGCTCTCAGGAGGCAGAGGCAGGCGGATGTCTATGAATTCGAGACTAGCCTGATCTACAAAAGCTAGTTCCAGGACAGCCTCCAAAGCCACAGGGAAAGCCTGCCTCAAAAAAACAAAAACAAACAAACAAAAACCATGTTAAGGCCACCATTAGTACATGAGTGTCTTCTTGTTATGACAGAAGTAAGTTCTGTGCCTTAAATGCTGGCACATGCAAATACATGAAGAACTGATATGTAATCAGTGATTGGTAAGGCCACTGGCTTTTGCTATTGTGCATATATACCCTACACACACTCACTCACACATATGTACTTACACACACATATTAGATATTTTAGCATGGTGTTGTTACAGAGGAGCTTGGAAGGGTGATGCATAAATTTCCTCTAACAGTGAGCGAGGAGGACACACGAGGCTTTCTAAAGGGACCCCTGCAGGAGCAGAGGAAATGCTACAGCTCTCTCAGGAACTGCTCTCTCCGCATCTGTGTCTGCAGTTGAGTGGTCTGTCTGGAAACTGGCCTGCACTCTTTTCCTCACTTCCCAAGGCCTCCTGGGATGCCTGGATAATGATACCGGTGCCTACCATTCTTCACCGGTTGGTTTCAGGAGTTACCTGCATCACACTGCCAGAGGGATGGATGTTCTTTAAACAGCACACCTCTGAAATGGGAGCCCAAGCTGCTCAGTGCGGCACTGAAGCTGAGAAGCCCAGGGCTGGCCAGGACAGTGAGTCCACCACTGCCTCCAGCTCTCCGGCGCAGTGTCTGAACACCTGGTAGCAGAAACAGGAGCCAATGGGTCCCAGGTCAGTATCTCCCACCTTGGGAGAGTTCCTAAGGGGACTTAGGGCTTCTGTCTCTCTCCACACGGGATCGCGGTAACCTATATTTTTAACTGTTGTGGAGAGCAAATTCTTTGGCCTTTACACAACTATACCTCTTGGTTTAGAAATGGATCTGGAACCCGATATGAAAGAAAGTGACTGGTTCCTGAAGAAGCTCTGCAGAAAGGCTGCCAACAAGTGTCTAGACTTGAGCAGTTGTGGATTAACAGCAGCACATGAGAAGGAAACAGGTCTGTGTGATGTTAACTTTGTATAGCGAATGTAAGGCCTTTACATCAAGAACAGTCAAAGGATACACAGTGACCCACGTGGCACACTGAGGTCCCCTGAGTGGTCCTTGACAACCTCAGAAAGCAGAACACCACTGTTTATTCAGAAAGCAAACAAACCAACTCACACTAAGGGCTGGGACATAGCTTAGTGAAGAGAGAATTTGCCAGCTCTCTCTAGCCCTGATTTCCACCCTAGCCCCACTTGGCACCAGTAATTCCAGCTCTTGGGAGGTGGCAGCAAACAATCAGAAGTTTAAGGTCCTCTTTGGCTACTCAGGGAGTTTCAAGCCATCCTGGGATCCATTAACTCACTATTGTGAAACAAAACAAAACAAACCATCTTCCATTCTAATGAGAATCAAGTTTAGTATGTTGGTTTTGAAAGTATTGACAGTTGTTGGGGTTGTTTCTTGCTTTACAACGAAAGGCATTGATTTCTTTGAACAAATAAAAGCTTTCTGTGGGGGCTTCCCTTAAAAAGAAAAGAGAAGGAAAGTAAATCGGTCCTCCCTGAAGCTTCTCAGATGTGAGTTGAGCTTAGATCAATTCACTTGTTTTCTTCCTGAGCAATTTTACAATTTTACCTACCTAGTGATTGCTTCTTACTCTTTGAGATAAATCTGTTCCCCCAAAACGATAAACTCATCAGCCTAACCGATGTCATTGAGGCCTGCAGAGACGTTAAAGGGGTATTGCCTTGTTTAGCATTGAGAAACAAAAGCAAAACTTCCAGCAACCATTGCTTCCATCTTAACAAACAAAAGTAACAATGTTTGTTGCCATTACATGCCTTTGGTTGTCAATAGCTCCTCCCCCCATGTCACTCTTGTATTCTGCTTTTCAGATACTTTAAAATAAGCCTCTGATGAGACTGCATGTGTCTGCCAATAGAGAGATGCCAAAACTATATCTAAATTAGGCACCCTCTGCTGTGGAATATTAGTTGAAGATGTGTTACATTTATTTATGCTGTGGAATATTTAATGATGCAAGGGTGTATTACATTATTTTATGTTGCATTTGTTTAGCTCTGTGAAGCTGTGTTACTTGGCCTGTCTAAAACTCCTGATTGGTCTAATAAAGAGATAAAAGGCCATCAACTAGGCATAAGAAAGGACAGGTGGGGCAGACAGAATAAACAGGAGAAAAAGAGAAGAGGGAGAAGAAAAGGATGCCAGGGACCAGTCACCCAGGCACACAGTCAGACGCAGAGTAAGAAGGAAAGAAAAGATATACAGAAATAGAGAATGGTAAAAACCCAGAGGCAAAAGGTAGATGGGAGAATTTAAGAAAAGCGGGCTAGAAATAAGCCAAGCTAAGGTCGAGAATTTATATTTATAAGTAATAATAAGTCTCCATGTGATTGTTTAGGAGCTAGGTGGCAGGTCCCCAAAGAAAAAAGCATAAAAAAATCAACTACAATCCTCAACTTAGTCTTAGCCTACATGGGCTGCAGTAGGGAAACAGTCTGGCTGGAGTTTAGAAAGTGAAAGTTGATATTGAAAGACCTGAAGTTGTCAGGCTGAATGCCTCATGACATCCCGAGCTCAATAACCAGACAGTTGGATGCAAACTGCAAGAGGTTTATTGTTTACACAGGCATCTGCAGGCACTCTAGCTGCCTTAGCTAGCTGAGAGCCCCGGGCTTTAGGACAGTTTTCTTTTTATGTACATCATTTTGGCAAGCAAAGCAATAGGGGTATTGTAAAAAGCAGAGCCACTGCAGGTACAGATCTGGGCAAGCAATAGGGATATTGTAAGAAGCGTGGGCATAACTCATCCTTCCACAAGGTCAAGATTAAACTTATCTTAACAGCCTGCCGGTGTCCTGCATCAGCACTCTAGACCAGATGTTCTTTTTAATCTGACCTTGTTCCCTGTCTAGGGGAAGGGACCTTGGGGAATTTTCCACTGAGGCAACCTTCTGAGTCTCAAAAAAAAGGGGGGTGTATTGAGGTTTTTCAATATGACTTGGTCTAGCAAGTCTCAACTCACTCCCATACTCTACAGGTGTATTCTAGTGGTATCCTGCCAGAGTGGACAGAACAGGCTCCTTCAAGCTAGCTCCTTGTGGAAATTACTTTTCTGTTGCTGTAATAAAACACTGACCAAGCAACTTATAGGGAGATGAGTTTGTTTGGGGCTTATCGCTCCAAAAGGTTAGAGTCCTTAACTTTGGAGTAGAGGTAGCAGGCAGCAGAGAGACGTGGAGGCTGGAACAGCAGCCAAGAGCTCACATCTCCAACTACAAACGGGAAACAGAGAGAGTATCCTGGAAACAGCACATGGTTTTTAAAACCTCAAAGCCTGCCCCCAGGGACTCACTTCCTTCATCCATCCTGAGCCTCTCCAAACAGGGCTACTAACAGGAGGCCAAGGATTCAGATGCTGAGACATATGGACTCATCATTCAAACCACTACAGCCACTAATTATGCTTGTGAGGGCTCCACCTTCATGACTTAATTACCTGAAAAGCATCCTGGCTTTCTCTTCAATTTTTTATTGTACTGTTTTATCTGTGTGGGTGTTTTGCCTGTGTGTGTGTATGTGCAGCATGTGCCACTGATGCCACAAGAGGGCACTGGGCTCCTGAAACTGGAGTTCCAGATGGCTGTGAGCCATCACAGGGGTGCTGGGAATTGAGCTTGGTCCTCTGGAAGAGCAGTAGGGCTCTTAACTGCTGAACCATCTCTCCAATCCAAGATCCTGCCTCTTAATACTACTACAGCAGGGATTACCTTTCAGGCATGCATAGGGAAGGGGAGGAAATAAAGATACTTAGACTAGAGCACCATTTTAATTACCTAAAATTAATTTTAATTAAAATCTATGCCATTATGGGAAAGGGCTCTTTAAAAAATGTTTTTAAACAAATTGTTTCATTTGTTATATGTGTGCATATGCATATGTGCATACCATTATCTCATGTACATTGGTCAAAACACACTTGAGAAAATCTTTCCCTCTCTGTATAGCACAGGGTCTTGAGATCAAGCTCAGGTCTTCAGGTTGAGTAAGCCCATGTCTTTACCCACTGAGTCATCACACAACCCTGGGATAGGATTCTTAGTGAGAACTATAAGCCACAGCCTAAGTGATCAGAGCTGTTCCAGCACTTCTGGGAATGTAGCCAAACCTACCAACCCAAACCTACAGAACTGGACTTTTCTGTCTTGTTTTTTAGCAAGTCCTTCAGGGGACTGTGATGGAAGCTGCCCTAGGACTCATGTCTCAGCCAGTCCTCAGGGGACTCTGATGGACATGACCCTAGACCCGTGTCTTAGCCAGTCCTCAGAGGACTCTGATGGACATGACCCTAGGACCCGTGTCTCAGCCAGTCCTCAGGGGACTCTGATGGACATGACCCTAGGACCTGTGTCTCAGCCAGCCCTCAGGGGACTCTAATGGGAACTGGTTTTACCACTGGCTTGTGTTTGAGCACAGCGGCTGCATTTTATTCATGAAGTCGCCACCAGGAAGGAGACTTGATGTCCTTTATGAATTCAAACAAAAACTGAAGTGAAAGCAGTCAGCTGCTAACTTAGTGTTTGATGTCAGAAAGGCAAGATTTTTCTTTTCCTGTATGTTTGCTGATGTGTTTGTGCTATGTATTCAGTGGTTTTGTTCTTTACAAAGTTTGGTTGTGGTGAATAGGATGCAATGGCTGAGTGCTTTGCATGCTACCATAACAAAGAGGTTTTTGCTGTAGCTGGAGCTTCAGAACTGGGACTCCAGACTCTCTTGACCTGAAACCACAGAAGCCCAATGCACTGCTTCCTGCTGTCCTTTTAATGCTCAGGACAGACTGGAGTGGCATTCAGGCAAGCCTTGCCTCCTCTGCCTGCCCATCGTCACCCATCTTGCTGTTCCTGAAAGCATAAAGATATCCTTCAAGAATTTTCCACAGCAGGCAACTTTGCTTTTTAACAACCTGTGGTAGCGACTCAGAGAAAGCTGAATCCACAAACTCTCACATCACTGTCCATTTAAGTATAACACAGGACTGAGCATGGTGGTTGCCCACACCTTTAATCCTAGGACTCTGGAGGCAGACGGAAGTGGGTCTCTGTGATACGTAGCAAATTCCAGCCCAGCCAGGGCTGCATAGGGAAACCCTGTCTCAAAATTAATAATGACCAATAAGTAGAAGGTCGTGATCATTGGGTGATCAAGATAATAAAGAGAATGTGTTGTGGAATATTATGTTAACTAGGCAAAGATGTATTACATTAGTTTCTGCGGCCTTTGTTAATGATGTAAAGATTTGTTACATTTGTTTGTGCTGCATTTGTGTTGCTATTTCACCCTGCCTGCCTAAGGCTCCAGACTGGTCTAATAAAAAGCTGAATGGTCAATAGCTAGGCAGGAGAGGGATAGGCAAAGAGAGCAAGTAGGAGAAGAAATCTAGGAAAAAGAAGAGAAGGAGGAAAGAATGAGGGAGAAAGAGAGTGATTGCCTGGGGCCAGAAATCAGGCGGCTGTCAGTCAGCCAGACACAAGAAGCAGAGAAAGTAAGATATACAGAAGGAAAAAAGGCAAAAAAAGCCCCGAGGCAAAATATAGGTAAAGACAAACAGATTAAAATAAGAACTAAGATATGGTTGAGCATCCCGAACTAATAAGAAGTCTCCATGTCATGATTTGGGAGCTGGTTGGTGACCCAAAAGAAAAAGCCTGCTACAAAAATGTACAGACAGTTCTGGTCTCTGCCGACCTGACCCTGGACATTTGCCAGCTTCCAGCGTGAGGGTCTGATAGAGCCAGGGGCTGCATGTCAGATGGCCTTTTGCAACACACAAATGATGGGAGATGTCATTCTGTAGATCTGTCTCTTGTTGGTTGTTTTAATGAAGCACTGTTGGCCAATAGGGAAGCACGTTAGGTGGGACTAGGAGTCAAGGAGGATTCTGGGAAAGAGAGGCAGAGAGAGACACGATGTAACCGCCAGAGGAGTAAGAGGTCCGGACCCTTTATCCGGTAAGAGAAATACTTAGAATTACAATTATGGGATAAATTCTTAAGTCAGAGATAGCCAGTAAGAAACAAGCAAACGGCCAACAGCTTCATAATTAATATAGCGTCTTGTGTGTTACTTGGGGACTGCAACTGTGGCAGGGCCCAGGCGGATGGCGGGGAAGGCTACACTCTATACACAAAGAGCAGTACTCACAGAACAGTAGCAGCTGCGCTAGTGACAGCAGACCCAAAGTTGTCATTTCTACCTCAGGGTTCAACAGTAACAGAAAGTTCTGTAGAATCATATGTGGACATCACTGTGGTTATAGTGTGCGATTATTTTTTCTTTTGGGAAAAATAGGAACTATCCCAAGAAACAGGAAATATAAATGGGACAGTTTCCCCACTTGAAAGCAAGGGGCTTTGCTGAATGTCAGCATGCCTGCCCCTGTGTTTTCATATAGCCTGAAACTACACCCTGAGCACGTGGGCGCTGTGTTGTGATTTATTACAAATCACGGATTACATGCACGGATCTGCATTTTCTTCTGCCCACTTTGGCTGCCTGGTTGCCTTTCCTCTCAGACTTGGAAGAACTAGACGTTTCCTGGAATGATTCTGTCAGCGGAACCCTCCACTTGCTGGTTGAACAGATACGTCAGGTCTGCAAGCCGAAAGTCCTGAGGATGAGGGGCTGTGGACTTATGTCTGAGGATCTTCAAATGCTGGGTAAGGCGACACCTCCCCTACAATGTGGTGGCTTCTCTTTGTCTACCAACTTGAGAAAACAAATAAAAGACCAGGGGCTGGGGAGGTGGCTCAGGTCATAAAGCTTGAAAATACAAGGACCCAAGTTTGAACTTCAGAACCCATAAATATAAACTGAATGTGGCAGTTCTGCCTGGTGGTGGTGGTGGTGGTGGCGGCGGCGGCAGCGGCGGTGCACGCCTTTAATCCCAGCACTTGAGAGGCAGAGGCAAGCGGATCTCAGTTGAGTTCGAGGCCAGCCTGGTCTGTAAAGTGAGTTCCAGGACAGGCTGGGGGATAGGAGCGGAGAGAATCCCAGTGCCACAGAGGCAGAGTCAGGCAGATCCTTGGTGCCTGCTAGCCAGCCAGCAAGCTCCAGCCCAGTGACAGATCCCTTTTCACAAGCAAAACAAAACAAAAACAAATGAAAAAGAACAGGGAGACAGATGCACTTGAAGAACAACACCAAAGGTAGCTCCATGACTTCCCCATGTATGTGCACACCTGTGCACACACACATGCATATACACACACAATCAAAAACTTAGAAATGTCAACAGAAGACATGGCTTCCCCTGAAGCATCTTTTCCACCCAACACCTCAGTGGCAAACCATCAGTGTTGTCTCTGCATGTGTGGATGCTTAAGAGTGTGCCAGGAGACAGTGTTACTCTGGGGACTTGGGTGCCTTGGACCCCAGACTGTGCTGAGCTCTGTGGATAAGGACAGGGACAAAACTGACCAGACACCTGCCTGCATGGCTTTTATGAGGTTATTTTAATGCTACCCCACTGAAGTTTTCACAATCTCATCTATAAAAGTGGAAGAATTGGAGTAGATAGGCAGTTAACCTGTTTTAAAATTCCAAAATAATGCTTACCTCCTTTTTTCTAACCCACCTTTAAAAACTGATAAAAATGAGGGTTTTTTAAAACTAAAAATTGGTTTAGCTGCAACTGGAACCTCAAGTTAAATTATACATTAAGGGAAAATAAGATAAAATTTGTGAAAATGCATAGTGTTTACCCAAATGCTTTCTGGTTTATTTATTCTTTTTCTATTTTGAAGAATTAATTTGGTCATCCCCATATCTTCAAAGATTTGTGTTAACAAAATGAATACCAAATGTGTCCTCTTCTTAGTCCCTGGGGAGAGGGGGTTCAAGGCCCCCACATCTCTTGCTGGTCACTATCTTACTTCAGTTGTTTTCCCTATGAAATGGTTTCAGGCAAGAAAGTGTTAGGTTTCTCCCCACTCCCCCCTGAGCCCCCGGTTGTGGCTGTTCTTGGTCACTTATCACCGAGTCTTCTCCTGGTGTCAAAGTGAGCTTTACCACCGCGGTGGTGAGTTTGCTTCCCCTCTACCTGGGTCCAGCCTGATGCCAGGGAGAGCGGGTGGAGGTGGAGCAGGTGGGCTGCATTTAACAGATACTAACCCGCAGAGAACAGCCGGCAAAGATCGGCTGCCTCTGGGTCAGTTGTTTACAACTGTGGTTGGCTCAGGGACATGGCTTCCTGAGCTTTTGAAGGACTAGAATGTTGTGCCTGCACACGGAGGCGCTCACTCTTGTTAGGGGCAGGAACCCGTCCCTTTCTTGTCTTTGCTCCTCATCAGTTAACAGAGTATCCACCCCAGCTTCCATAATTCCTAAATACTCGCGGTCCTGGTCGCGGGTGACGTCTCTGCCTTTCTGAGCCAGCACCCACTGAATTATGGGATATTTTGTACTTAGGAGATGCTCTTGAAATGATGCCTGAACTTGAAGAACTGAGTTTACCCTGAAACAGCAAAGTGGAGGGAAAGTTGCCTCAGGTTCTCCGCACATTGCAAAAAGGGAGTAAAACTCAAACACTGGAACTTGTGGACTGCACCCTCACACCCCAGGATGGGGAGTTTGTGGGTAAGTGGAATTTAGAAGAGTTCTTCCCAGAAAAATGTAGGGAAGATGCCTGTGATTGGCATCTGGGGACTGTCCCCAGGTGCTCTCAGTCCCCAGGGCATGGGGAGCTACAGTAGACCTCTGGTTAAACTTGGCTTCCACATGGACACTCTCCATGTTGGATTTATTCCCTTGCTACCTAAACTACAGAGCCTTGAAGTATTTGACCTCTCCATTAACAGAAACATTGGCAGCAGTCTATACATCATAGCACAAGGATTAAAGAGTACCGCAGGCTGAAGGTATTGATGTTGCATTCCTGTGGATTATCCCCAGAGAGTGTCAGACTGCTGGGTGAGTTAATGATGGTTAAATTTAAGATTTTGCATGTAAAATATAAAATGTATCATATATCGGGCTTGGTGAGATAGCTCACTGGGTAAAATCATCCAGGCCTGCTGCCTGGGTTTGATTCCCAGGGCCCATGGTGGAAGGAAAGACCCAGTTCCCCGATCTCCACACATACACCTTGGTGTGCGCGCACGCACACACACACACACACACACACACACACACACACACACAAGTGATCAAGTGTAGTTCTGTAGTTATTACCTATAATATATAAATGCAATTTCCTGTAGCAAGAAAGCCAGAAATTCCTCTTATCCACCCATATGTGGCCATTCTGAACTTGAAGATACTGAACATGACTTCCCTTTCAAAGTCTGCTACCCTAATTTGGGAACCTGACGTCTCCGGCCTCAACTATTGCAAGAGTCCAAATGTCTTCTTGTCCCTCTGTCTCTCTGCCTTTGTTCCCCAACCTCATCACACTGAACTCCACTCAGCTTCAGGGTCCTCAGGCAACCCAGGCATGAGATGGTCCTTGAGTTCTGCTCAGATCGAGGGCAACTTCCAAGGTAGGAGTGGATCTGATCCTGAATCACCCTGTGGCTCAAGTGTGGGTACCCACACATTCCTGGCTCCCACTAAGGGCATGCTTAATATGCAAATGGATGGCAAGTAAGAATAACACAGATTTTTAAAACACATTTTGGGGAAGGAAAATATTAAAAATAAAATTTTGAGTCTAACAACCACCTTTTGGGTCTGCTGAGTTATTCCTCAGACTCCCGTCTCTTGATCTGGAATAGTCTAAAGAGTTCAAAGCTTTCATGAAGACTTTAAAGTGGAAAAGTCCTTTTTACTATCCACAGAGCCTATGCAATGTCTTATCCCTTTACTCACAGGCCGAGGGAATACCGCCCTTAGTGGGAGCCAGGAATGTGCAGGTACCCACACTTGAGACACCAGATTCATGTGGCACACCCCACAGCTCTGAATGTCACATTGTTGCTCTCACAGGCTATAGTGGGCTACAGGAGCTTCACGTTAGCTGGTGGCAGAGCACAGGAATAAGCCGTCCTTGTCATGGGAGAGTGCCCGGGGGAACTGATGATCCTGTAAGAACAGCAGCTCATAGCATGGTTCTTCTGCGACTGGATTCACAAAGATGGGAGTGAGATGCTGCCATGGTCTGCATGGCGCTGGACTTCACCTGACTTGGGGGATGAGGAATGAAGAGATGACAGACAGAAGCATAGAAAAGCTGACATCAGGTGGGCCATGTGCTCCGAAGAATACACACTGGAAACTCAGTGCACTTATTACACACCACTGAATGAGGAAGGGGTCCCCTTATATACAGCTGAATAAGGAGGGCAGTCCATTTGTCAGGGTCCATAAAAATGGCTTCAAGTCATCTTGACTTAAGGTCAGAGAGCTCAAAATTATCCGTTCTTTCCCAAGGCTAAAGTCATAAGACCTAAAGGTCTATGGTATGGCTTCTGTAGGATGTTTGGTCTAAGGTGTGGATGTCTTATCTAGATTATTAAGAGATTGGGTCTAAAGTGTTGGCTACTCTTAACCTTCAAGGCCAGATAACGAGAGACTTAGTCTAAGTGTTTGGAGAATTACTGAAGAAAGTCTGTTTGCTTCCTGTATCATGGTAAAGCAGTCTTTTGTCATTGTCCCCTTTTTGGTTGGGGACATAAGAATGTTGAAGAATAAACTTGGGGCATCCAGTTTGTATGTCCTCTCGACTCTATTTTGTGTCTCCATCTTTTCCTTGGTGTCTTTACCTGCCATTTCCTCAATCTACACCCCCCCTCTCAGGAGTGAACCGGGCAAGTCAGCTGGATCCCACTGAAGCCCCCCAAAGATGGGTAAGTGCAGAAATAATGAGGGCAGTTTATTATATGCAGCTGAATAAGGAGGTGGGCTCATGTTATACACCTGAATGAGGGGGTTTATTACATACACCTGAGTGAGGAGGGGATTTATTACATACACCTGAGTGAGGAGGGGTAGCTAATGTTGGTAGGGGGTCTCTGTAGTGAAGCACTCTTAGACTGCAGTCATCAAGGAGGAGGAAGCTGAGGCTGGTATGTTCTGCATGCGCTGTCAACATGCACACTTGGACCATTCCCGAGCTGACCTGGGAAGGGCCTTGCCATGGGACAGGCATTGGGTCCTTGACATGGGTGTTCTCATGTCAATTATTCCTGGGTTCCCCATAGCATGCATCCCATTTTCTGCATTTATTTATTGCTGCAGATAACTCCTAAGGAACAGAGTTGCTGCTCGTTTAACTAGCAACTACTGATTAATCTTCCAGTTGTGAGGCTCTGTACCATGACCCACAGAATTCAGACAGAGCTTCAGTCTTGTAGGGCAGGAATAAAACAAAACCTGTTCACAGTTACATGGTAAAATATGAATCGCTGTGGAGGGTGCCAGGGAATGGACACCCCAACTGGGACCATGAGTCCCACTTTCTCTTTCTTCTTTTCCTAGACCCCCTCTCTCATACACACTTTTGTGTTTTGATGTTCGGGGTACTGATCCCTACTCTGGGGATGAAGTAGTCACCCTCACACAGTATTCATCTTCAGTGCGGGAAGAAAACAAATATGTAATCGAGAAAATAGTGTGCAAAACTCTCGAAGCCTGACCCATTGGTTAACTTCCTATAAGGCCAAACCTCCTAAACCTCCTCAAACTGGGGACCAAGTGTTAAAACATCTAAGCCTATGGGGGCATTCTCATTAAACCCACTACAGATATGATTATGATTGAGAGGTACTTTGGCTTGGGTGGTCCTGGAAGACTTCATGAGATAAGCTAGCTCCACAGGTCTCTTAGGATAATGTTTCCTTTGTTAGTAAGTGCTCCAGAGAGGCCTATAAGCAGGCAAGATAGACCTGTAGCACCAGCACTTACTGGGTCAAGGCTACTTGATAGGACTTTATTTGGCCAGGCATAAGTTGGAGGGATCACAGCAAGACTGAGGCTGTGACAAGATTATTCCAAGCAATCAGACTTCTTATACCTTTATCAGAAATATAATATAATGGCAATTGCCAGGATCAGCACAATGGTGGTTACCAGGATACAATGACATTTGCAAGGGTACACAAGATTGGTGTTTAAGACCAACTGTCCTGTCAAATTCCACATGCTTCACTGACTTCTAGGGAGCACATAGAATCACAGGTGGCCTGAAGGCCTCACTGCCTGAGGGAGTGCCTGAAAGGCACACAGTGCCCCAGGAGCCATGGACTTAAATATGAAGAAGCTATGATGCCTGTTAGGCAGCTAGGCCAGGCTGGCTCCACGATTCCCTGCAGCTCCTTTTGGCTCAGCAGGCAGGCTCCTTAGGAGCCCTCTCCAATGCTGTTACCAATATGCACCTGCTAAAACTGCTCATTTTTCCTGTCTCTTAACATTCTGAGAAGAAAATGATCGTGTCAGACATGAACTTGCGCCAGCACTAAAGGAAACTATTAGGAACAAGCCATTTTAATTCTCTAGTGATCTTGTGACACAAGTATTTCAGAGAAGCTGCCTACTGCAAACTCATTCAGGGTTTGCTATTGTCATTGCTTTTGTGGTCCTGGGTTTGAAGCTAGGACCTACCCACTCTAGTGAATGCTCTACCACTGGGCTCTACCCCCAATCCTCTTTTGTGTCTTTTATTTTGACACAAGGTCTCACAAAGTTGATCAGGTAGGTTTTGAACTGTCAACCCCCTTTCCTCAGCATCCCAAGTGCCTGGGACGTCAGCCTTGAGCCACCAGGCCCAGCTAATTACACAGTTCCAGGATTAGAACTCGATTCCATCTCCTATCCTTTGCTTTTACCTTCTAGTCCACGAAGAGGCTTGGGAATAGAGAAGCCCAAGGAACGCCCTGAAGAGAGGCTGGTTTGGTGGTGGCACAGTCTGTGTGGGGGTCCCAGGGAAGGTGGTGTCATGTGGATGAGCTTGGTAGAAGCCGCGTTAGGAAGATGGTGGGAAACAGACGTTCCCGCGATGCTGTGAAATGCTGCCTCATATGTGTCACAGTTGATATTTCCACAGCGCAGATCATCCCTTTACTCTCAAACCTTCAAGAACTGGATTTATCATCCAACAGAAAGCTGGGAGGCTCCTCTGAAACCCTGCTCAGCAGGCTCTGATTTGTACCGGCACTGAAGGCTTTACTGATCAACAGTTGTGCTTTGGAAAGTGAAACTTTCACAGCCCTTGGTAAGACAGCATCCTAGCTCCCAGAATGCACAACCCCACCCCCAACACACACACCATGAATTTCATTTCAAGATTAACGTGAAGAAAAGGACTAGTAACTAAGGACTAATTGGGTGTTTACTTGTTTGTTTTTGTTTTTCCAGTAAATATATTCTCTTAAAATTGTATGAATGGCATGGGCATTTATTTTACTTGTATTATTATTTTGAGACAGGATCTCATATAGTCCAGGCTGACCTTGAACTACCTATTTAGCTGACCGTGATTTTGAACTTCTGGTCCTCCTGTCTCTTCTTCCCAGAGCTGGGAGTCCAGACATGCAATATTATCATGCTCAGTTTGTGTGGCACTGAGGGTAGAATCCAGGACTTTGTGCATGTTAGGCAAGCCTTCCCCTGATAATGAGATTGATGACTACCTTATATGCCATCCTAGAACCCTCATCCAGAGGCTGATAGAAGCAGAGACAGACACCCACAGCTAAAAACCGAACTGAACTCCTGGAACCCACTTGCAAAGAGGAGTGATAAACAAAGGATGAAGACCAGGATGGTGAAACCCACAGAGGCAGCTGACCTAAACAAGGGGGAACACATGGACCCCAGACTGATGACTTAGAGACCAGCATGGGAGTGATCCAGACACTGCTCCTCTCCCCACCCTCCTGCCCCAAACTTGGGTATCATGGAAGAGGCCTCAGCAATTTATGGGGTCTTGGAGAGTAGATCAGTATTTATCCCTGGCATACAAATGGACTCTGGGAGCCCATTCCACATGGAGGGATGCTCTCTCAGCCTAGATACATGGGGGAGGACCTAGGCCCTGCCCAGGATTATATGACAGACTCTGAAAATCCACCATGGAAAGCCTTACCCTCCCTGGGGAGTGGAAGGGAGATGGAGTGGGATGGGGGGCTGGCTGGAAGGAATGGAGGGGCTGGGGAAGGAGGGGAGGGAAAGGGAACTGAGAGTAATATGTGTAAAAAGTTAAATAAAATAAAAAGACATAAAATAAGTAAGTAAATAGATAAAAATAGAGAAATATGACAATGGCATGTACATCATCACCAGGCTGTAAGAAGCAAGTGGCTTTAATACACAGACAGTTCTGGGGAAGCTGCCTCCTACTAATACTCAACAAATGCGAGTTGTTTCTATTATTGTCGAGTCTGTAAATGCCATTTAAAAGCAGGTTAGGTTTTATAGGGGAGCACACGTTCCTGAGTGTGAGCTCAGAGGGTCAGGTGATCAGGCCCTAGCGCCTCTCTACCTCTTTGGCCCAGCCTCAGACAGATTCTCTGTGGTCCTTCAGTGTCTCTGAGTTCTCGGCTGTTCCTACTCTGATCTCTGGAACATTCGGCTTCCAGCCTTTGCTCTTCCCTGGTAGTTCTCATACGATTTTCAGGTCTAGGTGTGATGACTGCTTTTTAACACAGTCACCATCTAAATTAAGAGCCTCTTTGTAGCCTTTGCCAGAACTTATAGTTAAGGCAAAGTGTGTGGTAGCTGCCTCTAGTACCAACATCCAGGAGGCCGAGACAGGAGGATGGCAGGACCGAGACCTGCCTGGGCCATATAGCAAGTACCTGTCTCAAGAATGAAACCTAACTCAAGCACTTCTCTGTGTGGGTGTGTACGGTCCGTCCTTGAAGCACGTTTTCACCATTCTCTACATTATTAGTTATTAGTAAGTAGGCTAGTAACGGACTTCTCAAAGGAGTCTGTAATCCACGAAATGATTAGGTAAACACATAAAACAGACATTCTACTGCTTAATGTTCATTTGGAAAAATTACAGAATACAGTAATTTGGAGAACAATGTGATGTTTCATAAATATACCTCCTATTGAGAAAATTCTATATTGCTTGAGAATAAAAAATGCTGAAGGAATGGCAGGTCTCTAGAAACAACTCCTTCTACTTGCAGGTCTATAATCAGTAAAGAATAAGGAAACTATCACAAAAAAGCACATTGTTGACATAAGTTGACCACTCAAGGTGATAAACATTGTACATCACTTTTATAAGAAAAATGGAAAATTTGACTTCTCTTTATTATAAACCTGTGTGCCATAAGTGGGTGGGATTTCCTCTTAAACACTATAAAGAAAGCAGAACAATTAAAAAAGGCTTATTATGGTTGTGAATAATTTGTTATTATTAATTTTAACTTAGGAGCCATCTGAGAATTAATTAGCATTTAGAAACCTCCATCTGAAACGTGTTAGTTCCTTTCCTGTGTCTTCGTTACTTTTCTATTTCTGTGAAGAGACACCATGACCAAGACAACGTACATAAGGAAACATTTAATTTGGGGCTTGCTTATGGTGCAGAGGATGAATCCCTGCCATCATGGTGAGGAGTGTGGCAGCAGCAGGAGGCAGGCATGGCACTGGGGCAGTAGCTGAGTGCTCACATCTGATCCACAGCAGGAGACAGAGCTTGGTGAATCCTCAAAGCCCAAGCGCAGTGACACACCTCCTCCCAAAGGCCACGCCTCCTAGTCCTTCCCAAACAGTTCCACCAACTGGGAACCCAACATCTGAATATATGAGCTTGTGGGGGCCTTTCTCATTCAAACTACCACCCCTTGCCCGGGTAATTGATGAAGTAAATACAAACACTGCTCAATGTTCTTGAGTCTTAGAGAAGCTTGGGCCATCTCTGAATTTCAACAAGACCATACATTGGCATAGCTACCAATCCAGGTGTACTCTGAAAAATGCTGATCCGCTTTCCAGGCACCTTAGCCCTTTCTCCTTCTTAAGCACAAAAATAGATAGATAGATAGATAGATAGATAGATAGATAGATAGATAGATAGAAGCCCAGCTAATGGTGAGTCCCATTTAATCAAGTCTAGCTTTCTAAGGTAGCCAACAGTGTCCCAAGTACAACCTTTTCAGCCCCAGGTATGTTAATATACCGTCCTGGCCCTTATGGTCTCTCATGGGACCCAAGTTACTGATGCTCTTCCATTACAACTTTAGTCGAAGCCTCTGTTTATGGAAATGCTCAACCTTTCCTGGAATAAGTGTGTTGGTGGTAACCTGGAGCTGCTTCTTCAAACACTGGAGCTGTCATGGTCACTCCGAGTGCCAAGGCTGAGCAGCTGTGCCCTGGTGACAGAGGACGTGGTTCTCCTGGGTTTGTATTAACCCTCCCAAAGGTAGACTTGGCAGAGAGTGTGGACAAGATAGTGGGCACGGGGCTGAGGGACCAGGCTGTGGCGGCTTCCTTTTTCCCAGTATCAGTTTAAGAGAGATCTGGTTAAACAAAATGGTATGATTCTGAAGCCAAATGACAGAGAGTGTTCTGAAGAGAAGATGGTGATGAGAAAGGAGGGGGCATTCCCGCCAGGTAACTTCTGATTCGGCCGCTCACAAAGAATCTATCATCGGTCGCTTGCTTGCACTAATTGTGCCCTAGCTACGTGGTACTTGCATTATTAATTTTTCCCATAAGTTGACCCAAAAATGCTTTTGAGGTCTATTTGACTAAGACAGGGGTGAGGGTCTGAGGATGTCTCTCAGTAGTAGAGTGCTTGCCTAGCATGCACTGGGCCCTGGATTCAATCTCTAGCATCTCAAAATAAGTTAAAATATAAAAAATTAATACAGTGAGCTAGAGAGATGTCTCAGCAACTGAGAATGCATAATGCTCTTTCAGAGGACCTGTGTTTGGTTCCCAGAACCCATACTGGGGTACTTATAACTTCCATAGCCTGCTGTTAGGTGTGCACACTACTACATAGACACATATACCCATATATTACTATATGTTTTAAAGTTAAGTACATAAAATATGACATAAAATAAAGAAAAATCATGCCAGGTGGTGGTGCATGCCTTTAATTCTAGCACTTGGGAGACAGAGGCAGGCAGATGTCCGGGTTCAAGCACAGCCTGGTCTACATAGTAAGTTCCAGGACAGCCAGGGCTACACAGAAAGACACTGTCTTGAAAAAATGAAAGGAAGGAAGAAAGAAAGAGAGGGATGGAGGGAGGGAGGGATAAAGGGAGGGGAGGGAAGGAAACAGCTTGTCACCATAATTGAAGTATGAGTATCAATTATTACAGATATTACCTTGCTACAGGCTATGAGTAGAAGTTCATTTTTTTTCAGTGTCAAAAAAAATGACTAAAAGGCTTAAAGGGATATTGTAGCACAAATCTGACACTTCTCCTAGGGCAGTTTAGAAGTATGGAAAGAGAACTAAATAAGGACTAATTTAAGCTACCAGAGTCCAGGCTCTGAGTCCATGTACCTGAGCCCACTATCCTCAATTACAGTACTAGTGTCCAGGTCCATCTAGGAGCAATGGAAAGTGTGGTGTCTCCCACCTAGCTTTCATGACCCCCCACCACAACTCCGCTACCAGATTTCTGGAGCCACAAATGTTCCTTGAGATGAGCTGATAGGTCAAAGTCACTAGAAGATGCGTGAGGTTCTTCCATGAGATCAGCTTCAGGATGGACTGAAGGAGCATGGGGTGGAAGACATAGTGGCCATCAGCAGTGGTGATCATAGTGGCCATCAGCAGTGGTGGTCATAGTGGCCATCAGCAGTGGTGGTCATAGTGGCCATCAGCAGTAGTGATCATAGTGGCCATCAGCAGGGGTGGCCACAGGGATGCTTCACAGGTCATTGTTCTGTGGGTTGGATGAAAACTCCCAAGATCCTTTGTTCTGAGGTTCTGCATCACTTTTCTCTTCTCCCTAGCCCTTTTCTGGGTTCAGCTGAAGAGGGATACAGGTGCCATTTGCCTTGGGTAACTTGCCTATTTCTGGATTTACTGTTAGGAGTGGTGATACTGCTCAGTAGTGAAGTGCTTACCTGGCATGTTCCAGACCCTAGGCTCCATTCCCAGCACCTCCAAAGTGAATGTACTCTGTCAAATAAGTGTTGAATGAATAGTGGCAGAATTAATAATCAGTGAATAGCCAACCAGCAATCAACAGCCAGGTGGCTGTGTGCCAATGGTCCTTAGTCAAAGTCGGTGTGCCATCATTCTGTGCATCCAGTTAGGGAAGCAGAGCTGGAACTCCGTGGGGCAAAAGCATAAACGAATGCACAGGTGAAACTCTTCCAGTCAGGGGTTAGGAAAGGGGGGGTGTCTATTTTCAAGCTGTACATGGGATACACAGAGATAAAGTTTCTTACTGAAATACTTTCTGGTGCCCCCAATGAAACCACGAGCTAGCAGCAAGTCATTATCAATTGCTACCAATCTCAGAAGAGGTGTGTTACTGGAAAGAGGGAACAGCCAAAGGAGAGAGTATCCTTATATGTCACAGTGATTTTGTTTTCCAGCCTCAGCCATACCGACAGGCCATTTAGCCAAGCTACAGAAGCTTGACCTAAGCTACAACAACAGCATCTGTGACACAGGATGGGCTATCTTCTGCCAAGACCTCTGCTTCCTTAAAAAGCTAACTGAAGTAGACATCAGCCTTCAGCCATCGAGTTCCCGGGGTTGCCGGCGATGGTTTAGGCACATACTATGTGCTGTGACCAAACTTCCTGTGATCACCGAGATAGGAATGAGAAGGTGGGTCGTCCCAGCCTCGAAGGAGGAAGAACTAGAATGTTTTACCCACAACCACAGAAGGGACATTCAGTTTGACCACGGTGGGTTTCAGCAGGCTGCTTCCTAATAACAAACAAGTCTCTCTAATGGAGGAAAAGAATGTGAATGAATCCCAACATCAGCTGAGCTCAGGATGTGTTGTTTAGTAGCATGGATGTTGGACGATTTTTGCAATTATCATATATAACAGTGGTTCTCAACCTGTGGGTTATGGCCCCTTTGGGGTCAAACAACCCTTTCACAGGGGTCACATTTCAGATATTTGAATTATGACTCATAACAGTAGCAACATTACAGTTATAAAGTAGCAACAAAATAATTTTATGGTAGGGGTTCACGACAACATGAAGACCGGTATTAAAGGGTCACAGCATCAGGAAGGTTGAGAACCACTGGACTATGGTAACCATATATGGGAGTGCAGAGATGGCGCAGTCTAGAAAATGCTTGCCACGCAAGCATGAGGACCCGAGTTTGATCTAAGCAGCACACATAAAGAAGCAAGGAGTGATTGCCGAGAGCAAGAGGCCATACGAGTATACACCAGTGACAACTAGTATTTAACAAGTCGACCCACCAGAGGCTTCAACACCCTGTTGGAAAGCCCCACTTGGCAAAGCTGTGGAGTTACTGACTGTAAGTGACTAATTGTTTCTGTCCATAACTTTTCTTAAGTGCCACTACTAATAGCTCACTATAGTTATTTCCCCAGCCCTTTGGTGGTGTGTTTTGTGGGCACACATATCACTGTGGATGGTCAGGAAGATAATTCCTACTTAACTGTACAATTTTAATAAATAGAAATAATACTAAGATATTTTACATTACTCAGACTGACATAGGAAAGTAATAGTGTTCTCAGTCACAAACAGATAATTTTAGACCAGAACCAATTCAAAGCAGGCTGGTTGTCCCTGGAGATGAATGTCTTGTCTCCCCTAGAGGTAAATACATGAGGTCATTTCCCCAAGTGTTTTGCTAATTCAAGGTCAGAGCTTGAAGCAACTTTAGTAGACATAACTTCCTGCCACAATGGATGTCTGAATGTTCTCCCTACCACTCAAGGTCCAGCTAATTAATTGTTATTGTTAACTCTTGAATTCCAATGCCATTTTCTGCCTGGGAACACTAACCATTTAGACTGTGTGCCTGGCAAAAGTGTTAATCACCGGCCAGTCAGTGTGACATCCCTGGCCTAAGAGAAACTACACGACTTATGTTGTGTTATGAGAATGGGTCGGGCCCTGAAACTGTTTGGCTGCCAGAGAGCTGCGCAGCACAGAGGAGGAAGCGGTGTTGAGCAATGCAGGGAGCCCTGAAAAAGAGCCGTGCAGAGGTGCGAATGAGAATGTGAGTGCGGAAAGGGCAATGTAAGAAGAAATGTGGAGGCGTGTGACCGCGTGGGGAAGGCATGGGGAACGGAGAGCTGCGTAAGAGCTCCACAGACAGTGAGAATGGGTGCGCGCCGACGGATGCAGAAGTGTGTGCGTGAGAGAAAGGGTTACTGCGGCACAGAGGAGCTGTGCCCAGAGCTGTTGGAAGCGCCCTCCGTGTGGTGAGAGGTACGAAAGTGAGATGGACGGCTGCGGCTGCGTGGAGATTTGTAACTGTGCAGAGACAAGGAAGAGGAAGCTGGCAGGAAAGAGATGTAGAAGGGAAACGTCCGTAAAAGAAGGAAGTATAACCATGGGAAAAGGTGTAGCTGTGTGTAGAGATGCATGGCCATGTAGGACAGAGATGAATGTATTAGAGAGAGATATGTAGCCGTACGTAAACAATGTGGCTGTGGGGAGGCAGATTGTTCAGAAAGGTTTCTTTTTTTCAAGATGAAGTAAAGAGAAAGCTAACATCAGAAAGTGTCTGTGTTTTCTTACTTTCCCCTCAGACAGACAAAGTCTAGCCCTCAGTCAGAACTTTTCCTAGCCCTTGCTATCTGGAGACATTTTTTTGCTACCCTGGGGCAATCGTGGGAGCTTTCCTCCACAGAATGCGGCAAGTGATGATGTGCTGTGGAAACAAGAGACAGGCAGATCCCGAGGCTCCCTGTCAGCCAGTCTGTCAATAGCCAAGTTCCAGGCCTAGTGAGAAACTATGCCTCAAAACCAGGTAGGTGCTGCCCCACAGGAACTAGACCAAAAGTTGATCTCTGGTTTACTTACACACACACACACACACACACACACACACACACACACGCACGCACGCACACATGCACGTGTTCCACAAAAGGAGTATGTGTGTGCACACACACTTGTGTGTATACAATTCTACTGTGAAAAGCACTGACTGTAACATTCTCATATTATCTTTTCTGCATGTGTATGTGTGTGTGGCATGTGTGTGTATGAGTCTGCCTCACATGGAGGCCCAAAGATGCTATCAGGTGGCATCTTCTCTCCTTCTCCACTCCATGTACTGAGGCAGCGTCCCTCACTGACCCCAGGACTTGATGAATCCAGCCAGTCCAAACAGCCAGTTTGCCAGGGATTAGCTGGGGATTAGCCAGGGATTCCCTAGGATTCCCTGTCTCTGCTTCCAAGTGCTGCTACACAGTGCCTGGGTTTTACTGGATTCTGGGAATCCATACTCTCCCCACCCCTGCCTCTCTTCCACCTCCCCTCCCTATGCTCACTCACTACAATGGTGTCCGACTCACTGTCTTTGGACAGAGTCTTTCACTTAACTGGAAGAGCACTGTTCAGTGGGTCTGGCCAGCTCATGCCCTTGGTTGCTGTGCATATGGCCTAGTCTTCAATCAATCCGTTTAAGCATTCATTCACTGTTGAAAGGTTGGTCATTAGGAATAAAACTCCAGTGAATAGTCACACATAGGGTCTTTGCAAAAAGCATACATGCTTATGAACTCACGGGCACACTCAAGAGAAAGGAATCCGCAGAGCATCCCCTTCTAATGCTCCCAAAGCCACCTCATCCCAATGATCTGAGCATAATCACAAGAACCACACGGTGCAAAAGGAGAACTGACTGTCCCCAAAGCTGTCCTGTGACCTCCTTATGTGTGCTGTGGCAGACTCATTCTCTCTCTCTCTCTCTCTCTCTCTCTCACACACACACACACACACACACACACACACACACACGGCGGGGGGATGAAAAGTTTTAAGGAAACTGCAGGTACCTGTCGTTTGATGGGAAATGGAGGGTAAGTTAGGATTTGGTACATAGTGGAAAGTATGACAACAAAGAATGTCCCAAAGGAGACTTGTGAAAGAGCAGCCTGTCTTTGACTACAGTGGAATTTGTACAAAGCCACAAGTGACACAATTGCATTGAACTATATGATGCACACATAACTGAAGGAGTCTGAGTAAGTGCTGTTGATTAAACTGATGTCATTTTTCCAGTCTGATGTTCAAACTAGTGTTGTGTAAGCCGTCGGCACAAATGGAAGGTGCTTGTACATCCTTGTATATTTCTCCGGGACTTCTTTAAAATCCATGACTTCCCTAAATGTCTTTTCATAGACAAAAGAATGCAGGGACCACCCCTCCTCCCCACACACACATTGCTCCTCATCTGCTTCTGCAGCTGTGAATTCACAGCTGGTCCTGTCATGCTTCATCTGAACCCCTGCTCCCTTTCTCCTCCAGCATGCTATTTTGAAGCAGTCACCAGGTGTTAACTCATTCTTCTCATAAACATTTGGGTAAAATTAAGACTCTTTTATTATTACAAATAACCTTAATTTGGCAGATAATTTCAGTGTGGCTGTTGTCCAGTCCCTAGAAAATGTTGTTTCCTGCTCCTTCGTGATCTTTATCTTCGTTCATTTACACGATTATTTTTTATTTCCTTTTTGCAGGTTTCCCTTTTGCAGCCTTCTTTCCTTTCTTATCTTTTGGGGAGGTTTTCCCTTTTTTTCGGGCTTTTAGTAGCTCTTCATAAGACCCATATCCTTTCCGCACCATGGTTCCACGCCACCATGCCTGAATCTGAAAGCAAGATTTACCCAAACAGTGTTAGCTGGCGTCACGATGCCGTGGTCTGACCGAGGCTTACGTCTCTAAAACACACTGAAGGGTTGGGGAGACGAAGTAGATAAGAGCACTGGCCATGCAAGTGTAAGAACCTGAGTTCAAACCCCCAGCACCTCATATGTAACACGCGGGGAACCCCAACCCTGCACAGTGGAAGCGGGAGGACCCTGAGAGCTCACTGGCCAGCTAGGCTAGCTGAAATGGTATCCTTCAGTTGAGCAAGCGACCTTGTCTCAACGAAATCAAGGAGAAGGCCATAGACTCTGAAACCCGTATGCAGCAGTGGGAGGGGCACTAAGTATAGGGCTTGAGGTGGAATGGAGCTCAGCTGGTAGAGGGCCGGCCCAAGCACGCGTGAAGTCCTAGGGCTGATACCCAATACCTCCTAAGTTGGTTTGGTGGCCCATGCCTGAAATCACAGCACTTGGGAGACAGACATCGAAGGATCAGAAGTTCAAGGATAGTCTTGGCTATATATTGAGTGCCAAGCTGGCCTAAGCTACATGAGACCTTGTCTTGAAATAAACAAGTAAACGTGTGAGTTTGCAGATGAACACAGGGACAATGGGGAATGGCAGCACGTAGTATGGAGAGTTGCAACATCGAGCATGCACCCTCCGCCTGCCTCTCGTTAAAGAATTGCCTTGGCTTCTACTAAAATTCAGCCCCCACTGTTCCCCAGACTCTGCTGCTGCCCACCTGCTTGGGAGCACCTGTCCTCTCGTGGCACGCTCTGCTCAGGCCCTCCGATTACTGGCTCCTCATTTCTCTCAAAACAAAAGCCCAAGTCCTCCCCATGGCTCCAAGGCTCAATCTGCCTTGATCCTGCCCTCTCATTTCTTGGCTCTTTGAACTATTCCTTCCTAGCTATCTGCTGTGTACGCATGGTCTCTCTCTTGCTCGGATACACCAGGCACCACGCTTACTGCAGCCTCTGCATAGCTGCCTGCTCTGCTTTAGGTCTTCTTGCCAATACTTGGGTGGCTTACCTTCCCAAGAGTTTGCTCACTTATTGCTGTATCCCCCTTTATGCTGAAGTCTCACGCCACCCCACCCCTCACCACAGTCCAGTGGGATGATATTTGGAGATAAGTATAGCGGGGGTCATTAAGTTTAGATGAGGTCATGGGGGTTGGGACTTCATGATGAGGTTAGTGCCCTCTTAAGAACTATCAGATAAGGACACAGTGAGAAAGGAGTCATCTGAAAGTCAAGAAGAGGAACCCCACTAGAACCCAGCCAGGCTGGAGCCGGATGTCAACTCTTGAACTAGGAGGAAATAAAATCCAGCCCTTTAGTCCATCCATTCTGTGGTATTATTGCAGCCCAAACCAAGACAGCCATCTTTGCAAGAAAAATCCACCCTGATCACCCAGGCAAATTAATACCTTCTCTCAGTCTAAACACACACACACACACACACACACACTCAAACACACATACACACACTCACATGCATATGCATACTCAAACACACACATACACACTCATACACACACAAACACACAAGAATGGGGAAAGAGAGAGAATGGAGAGGGAGGAAAGGAGGAAGAAAGGAAGGAAGGAACAAGGCATTTGAAACACTTGACAGGTAAGGAGTGCTGCTGCCAAGCATGGTGACCTGCTCTGGATCCTGAGGATCCATCTGCTGGAAGGAGAAGAGACCCCTGCAAATTTTTGTCTGACCTCCACTTTCTAAAATTCTTTTTCTTTTATTGTTGAGATTATAATATAACCACATCATTCCCCCTTCCCTTTCCTCCATGCCAGCCCTCCTATATATACCCTTGCTCTTTTTCAAATTAAGGACCTCTTTTTCACTAATTGTTGTGACATGCATATATGCAAATATACATACACAGATATTCCTAAATGTGACCTGTTCAGTTTGTGTAATGTCACTTCAGTGTCTGTTTTCAGGGCTGACCATTTGGTACTGGATGACCAATCAGTTAGCTCTTCCCTGGGGAAGACTATTTCTCCCATTGTCATCATTCCCTCTGACCTTCACTCTTGAGTTGTGGCACCCATGTGACTTCACACACACACACACACACACACACACACACACACGCACGCACGCACGCACGCACACTCACCCTGAATAAATACAATAAATTTTTAAAGAAAGAAAAATCTTATAGCAATCTCGGTTATCTTTACCTTGATTTTTTCCCAAATAGTACCAATTACTAATTATCCCTGGCTGGCCTGGCACTCACTATGTAGATCAGGGTGGCCTGGGACTCAGAAATCCACTGGCCTCTGCCTCTCAAGAACTGAGATAAGATGCACAAACAATCCTAGCACCCAGGAGGCAGAGGCAGGCAGATCTCTGTGAGTTCTAGGACAGCCTGGTCTACAGAGCTAGTTCTACACAAAGAAATCCCATCTTAAAACAACAATAAAAAGATACATGTACAAAACTTTGTTTTATTTTTCATGCTTACTACAATCCCACTAACTTTCAAGCAATAAGCAGACAGAAATACTTGTCTATTTTGACCACTGACCCATCTCTAGTGCCTAGAACATTGCCTGGGGTAGAAGAGATCAGTTCTGGCGATTAAGCTAATGAGAAGGCAGGAGACTCAGGAAAGAAGCTCTGAAGAGAGGGTGCTTTAGCAGAGAGTGAATGGGGGTGGAGGCTATCATCTGTGTGTGTGGGGGTCATCATCTCTGCGCAGATAGAAGGACCTGAGGCAGGGGTATGACTGGTCTCTGCAAGAACTCTCAGGATCCAGTTTGAGCATCTGTCAAGAGAGAAGTGGGAGGATTAAGGGTGGACTCTTGGGGAACAGTATTGCCCTCTGGAGGGCTTTTGTTGTCTTGAAGTTAAGTAGACCTGTGTCCTGGACCACAAGAAGGTCATCAGCTTCCTGAGGTTCACTTCCCAGATGCACCCTTGCCAAGCTCAGCCCAGGGATGCAGCCTTCACAGTACCCAGGGGGTACCTTAGCAAGGACAGAACACCTCAAGCCTTATGGCATGTCACCCAGGATTCTAAAACCTCCTGAGATAAACAGCCAGAACAACTCGAAACACTCAGGTTGGTATTGACGAGGAAATGACTCAAGGGCTGGGAGACCAGTGTTTTCTCAGGCTATGTGACTGCAAACTCAGCCTCAAGAAAAAAACAAAGATCACTGGGTGTGTCAGCTAGTGTCTCAGTTGGGGAGCTGGAAGTCTCAAAGAGGCTTGGAAATTAATAATACAAAGAAAAAAGTGAAAGCAACTTTATTCTCACAAATTCATCTATGTCAACAGCATCTTGGGGCTTCCATTGTTAAAAGGAAGTAGAATCTGTCTCGTTTTGTAACCAGTAGACACTAAGTATATATGTACAAACTAAGTGTGTGGGGGGAACGTCTTTTTCATTTGTCTTTCTAAAATATTAATTATGTAGTGATATTTATGCGACTTGAAAGGCTAACCCATGAGCTCTTCTCAGCATGACTGGAGACTGAATGCCTCTATCTTCAGTGTGGCTGGAGAATGAATGCACCATACTGAATCCTGATACTGACATACGACTCTCATGAGTCCTGGGATTAAGGATCTGAGCTATAATTCTCTTTTAGACTGATTCAATCTTGTGTAGATCTGGGTGGTCTTGGACTCATATAGATCCATCAGTCTCTTTCTCTCTCTCTCTCTCTCTCTCTCTCTCTCTCTCTCTCTCTCTCTCTCTCTCTCTCTTTCTCTCTCTTTCTTTCTCTCTCTCTCTTTGGTTTTTCGAGACAGGGTTTTTCTGTGGCTTTGGAGGCTGTCCTGGAACTAGCTCTTGTAGACCAGGCTGGTCTCAAACTCACAGAGATCTGCCTGCTTCTGCCTCTGCCTCCCAAGTGCTGGGATTAAAGGCGTGTGCCACTACCGCCTGGCCCATAGATCTCTTAATCCTGAGTCCTGGGATTAAAGGTGTGTACCACCACTGCCTGATCTCTATAGCTTGAGGCTGACTTTGCTTTTCTGAATCCTCAGTCAAGCCTTAATAATTCATAAATAACATATCACTGCATTATCTGCCTAAAATGATCAAAATTTACAATAAGTTGTTGTTTATGTGGTTTATAGCATAAATAATTATAATACAATTTATGATGTTTTAAAATTATGGCCACAGAAAAAAATTGAGCTTAATTTTAAAAACATTATTACATTACTTATTGCTCTGAGTGTGTGAGCACCACCATGAGCATGCTCTGGTCAGATGACAGTCTGCAGCAGCGGTTTTCCTCCTTCCCCTTTATGGGTTCCAGGAATCACACTCGGGTCCTCGGGCCCAATGGGGCTGAGATTGTGGTGGCAATTGTGGTGGCACTAAGATTCCATTAGGCACATTTAAAATACTGAACCATTATTTAAAATGTCAGCATTTAAAATGCTCTGGAAACAGAATCCTTTGTAATTATTTCAATTTTCTGGCAGGGATATTTGAATATCCATTTTTAAAATATGCAGGAAGAGCACATGAACGTTCAAAACGCTTTTAGGAAATAACCAATAAAAGACAGCTTTCATTCCAGCATAGTCATTTTAAGTAAATGCACCTTGAGAAAATATTTGAACAAAAAAATGTATCTTTATTTACTTCCATTCTTTATGTTGTATCTTAGGGATTGTTTTGGTTTATTAAAATGTATGATGATTAGCTTAGCTTAACTTTGACAAAGAAAAGGAGGTATTACTATTTAGTGTAAGTGGGCGGCTGTTTGAGTTGGCAGACTTGGGAACTTAACTGTTATTCCAGGTGGAACAAAGACTTGTCCATTTCACCAGAGACTAGTGAGACCTACTTTCACATGACTACCAAGTGGAAGACACATTGTGAGAAAGCAGGTGTAGAAGCAGGATGATAGTTGGGGACTAACATATCATTTGGGTATGAGATGATGTTGGCTTGGACCAGTTGAAGAGAATGCTAAGTGAAGAGGACATGTTCCTGCCTGTCTGGCATCCCCTATGAAGTCACTGGCTGAGAGCCAGATATCAAGATGGTTCCCCATTTGATCCTAGATCATGGCAGGATCCTGGTCTCTAGGCCTCTGATCCATAAATGCTTCTATTTCTGATGTCTTAACCTCATCTCACTGCTTTCATTAATACAAGATAATTTTTCACTCCAATAAAATAATTTAAGAGGGTTATTGAGAAGGCTCAGTGGATAAAGATACTTGTCACCAACTTTGACAACCCAAGTTCAGTGCCCAGACACATAGGGTAGAAGGGGAAATGGACTATTATCCATGGGCTAGTGTTGCACTCGGACTTCTTTGGGAAAGCCTCTTAAAGCAGTGGGTAGCAGTCAGTGCAACAGAATCAGAACTGGCCAAAGAGTTGAGAACAAGTGACTGTTGAGTGCTTGGTCCCTACTCCCTGAGCTCAGAAAACATCACAAAAGAGGGGGTGGATAGAATGTGAGAGCCCAAGGAGGGGGGTCACCTTCTAAACAGGACATAGCCATCGGACTCATGACCTCAGCAGCCATGGCTTCCTGCACAAGACCTGTGCAAGATCAAGCCACCAACAATCCAGCATGGACAGTGAGGGGCTCACAAGGCCCCACCCCTAGCTGAGGGGTTACTGGCAGTTGGGGGCTCCCAAAGGAATCAATTATCTTAAGGGTGTGGCCTCTGGCAGGTTTCCAGTGCTCCACAGTCTGCCCCACAGCCATGGGCTTGCAAGCAACATTAACGGACCTTAGTGAGTTATTAAAGGGATCAGGCATGAAGAGGAGGGACGAGAAGGTGGGAGGGGGGCAGGTTGGGAGAGGTCTGTGGGCAGGGGTGAGGGGAATGAAAGGCAAGTATCACCAGATGCATTATATGCATACATAAAGTTGTCCAAGAATAGAATGAAAAAGAATCTGTGCAGAGTGTACCTTTATGGCCATTTGTTTCCTAATTCTGTTTTCCTTCAGGTATTTCCATATGGCGTCTTTGCCTTGGGCACACACTTCCATTGGAGGGTCTTCAATGGGGTTTTTCTTCAGGGTTAGGACCTTAAGGTTCACCAGGTGGTCAAGGTTCTCCGGGAGATGGGTAAGGAGGTTGTCCTCCAGCAGCAGCTCTTTCAAATCTGCAAAGAGTTTCATTTAATTGGTTGATTTAGCTTAGGATCTCCATGTCTAAACCCACCCAGGTGAGATCCATTGGTAAGCAGCTTGGGAGGGGGGTCACGATGAGATGGACCGCCCCCCCCAGGGACAGGACCCACAGCTTCTAATACCATCCAATCAAAGAGAACCCAGTGAGTACTCAGCAAAAACTTGCTAAATGGAAGTGACTCAAACAGTACTTGAGTGTTTAGGAATCAAGTGTGATTATTCTTTCCAAGTCAATCATGCAATTCTAAAAATCCCCCTTCCTAATTTCATCATTCCAGGTCAATACTTTTCCTTTTATTCACATGACTTAGTAACATAGATAAACATTTACATCAGGACCCCAACTCTAGATGCTAAGATATCATATGTGTTCAGTCAACTCCTGCTGATAGTGGTGTAATCAAAGTATGGATATATGCCAAGTTTCCTAGCAACTGCTGCTTGTTTTTCTTTTTCATTCAAATTACAAACTACCTTTGCAAGACTCTTAGCTACACAAATAGAGAGGCTCCCGATTTCCCTTGTGTTGCTAGAGAGCCTGTCAGTGGGTGAAAGACGACAGCTCTACAAACTCTGAAATTGGTCTTTCTTAAGGCAAGGAAGCCGTTCATGGGCAATGTGGAGCCTCACTCTGCTGGGCTGTGGATCTTGGAAGTTCCTCACCTTGAGCAAGGCAAATGGCATCTGGGAGTTGCTTAAGAAGATTATGCCGGCAATCGAGAACTTCCAGGTTTGGCATTAATCCCAAGGATGCAGGTAGCTGCTCAACAAGGTTGTTTTCTATGTATAGTTCTTTAAGATTCTGCCATAACATGAGAGTGTGTGGTGAGGACATTTATCTTAATAAGTGAATTACAATAACCAGACTTACCTGTGAGTGTCCATTCATGTGCAGTAGGGAAATCATGCCTTGGGACAATGGGAGAAACATGTTTGTTTCTTGTTTTCAGAGCTTATTCCCCAATTTGTGGTGGTGCTTTCAGAAGTGGGCCTGACTGGCAGAAGCCAGCCACTAGATACAGGCCACGGGAGTCATATTTGTCCCAGCTTTGATCTAGCTTGCTCTGCTTCCTGGTCTGCCAAGATTAAGGAGCCCTCTGCCACATAATCCTGCTTCCGCACACAAAGCCGCTCCTGGCATGACTGGACATGAAGGTTGGAGGGTGTGCTGGCTAGTTTTATGTCAACTTGATACAAGCTGGAGTTATCTGAAAGGAGGGAACCTCAATTAAGAAAATGAGATCCATCTGTAAGGAGTTTTCTTAATTAGTGATTGATGGTAGAAGGCCCAGCCCATTGTGGGTGGTGCTATCCCTGAGCCGGTGGTTCTGGGTTCTATAAGAAAATAGGCTAAGCAGGAGATGGGGAGCAACCCAGCAAGCAGCACTCCTCCTGCCTCCAGGTTCCTGCCTGGCATGCATCCCTGACCTCACTGCTTTTGATGATGAACTGTGATATGGAACTGTGAGTGACATAAACCCTTTCCTCCCCTAGCTGCTCTGGGTCATGGTGTTTCATCACAGCAAGAGTAATCCTAACTAAGACATTGTTGCAGTGTCCTCTGTCTGGGAGACCACAACAGCCTGGTCCCTCCCTGTTTATACATCTGGTCCTTTTTTGGAGGGAAAGTGTGTGGATTGAGAAATGGCAGGTAGAAAATGAAAGATACTAAAGAAAAGACAGAGACATTGGATAGATTCCGGAGGGTAATCCAGTGAATACTGAATCTACCCCAAGTTTATTTTTCAAAGCCCTTTTATATCCCAAGCCAAAGGGGAGGGGAAAAGACTTCTTTTCCATGATACGAAGAACACTCAAAACATCTCTTAAGGAACAAAACATCCAGCAGTCATACCCTTAAGCTAAATGTCCTGTTGTTAAAGTAAGTCATCTATTAATTACTTCTTAGCCAAACATTCTATTGTTTGACCTTGAAGAATTGAAAACAAGTTTGAACTCTCTAACCTATGAAGTAGAGCTATCTATCCCTTTTAGCCCTGACACATTGTAGTGGACTATTTGTTTACACTGTAACGATATGTCTTTGCCAAGGCACCTTCTAATTTTTATTTAATAAAGAGATGAATGGCCAATAGTTAGACAGGAAGAGGCTAGGTGGGACTTCCGGGACAGAGAGGACTCTGGGAAGAAGAAAGACAGGATCACCAGGAGACAGAGCAAACAGGATGTGCAAAATGAGAATTAACTGCCACAAGCCACATGGCAGAACACAGATTAATATAAATAGGTTAGTTTAAATTATAAGAACTAATTGGAAACAAGCCTAAGCTATAGGCTGAGCTTTCATAATTAGTAAGTCCCTGTGTTGTTATTTGAGAGCTGACTGGTGGGACAGAAAAACAGTCATTACAAGACATAGTGAATGACACAATAGAGTGTTGTAGGGCTTATTCAGTAACAGTGAGAGCCTCAACCCACTATTGGGACTGAAAATCTAGTACAGATGCATGGTTTGTGCAGTGTGGGAATACTGCCTCGTGTTTATTCAGCATTAGGTGATGGGGGAGGGTGGCATGCACTTCTTGGCTGTCTGTTGGGAGGGCTTACCTTCAACTTCTTGATGTTTTCTGGCACATAGGAAATCTTGCATCCCTGGTCTTGTCCAATGTATAATTTCTCCAGAGACACTAAGGAAAAGATTTCCTCTGGGAAGGATGGAAAGTCATTCCCTGTGAGTCCAAGTATCTTCAGTTTTGTAAGTGAGCTCATAGTTGGTGGTAACTGGAAGTATACCAAAAAGGTAAAATTAGGGTTGAGATTTTTTAAACACTTAAAAATAAGTTGTTTGGGTTATCTGGCGGTAATGGGTTATCAATACTGACATTAGTGACACCAAAGTTGTATACAAACTACCAGGGCTAAATTTAACTGGCTGTATGGCAAGAGTTTTAGAGTTGAGCCTTTGGCTTTGAAACAAGTTGTTAGACAAAGCGTAGAGTTGCTTAGTGTCTCCTAGAGATGGACAGTTTCCATATACATTTGCATGTATACTATATAATTTACCATACATATTTGCAGTTCAGCAGTCTGAGCTTCCACCTGTCTCCTGCTGAAGCAGGCAAGTGGAGAACAGTATTTGGTTTGGGGTTAGCAACACCCCATCTCCCCTCCTGTAATAATGCACTTGGCCAGCTAGCTCTTTCACCTGCAAACACTGTGCATATACACATCCCTCTCCAAACAGTGCACTAGCAAGCTCAGAGTCTTCCTGGGACTCTCATATGCATCAGGCTACATGTAGTCCCATCTCTGAGCAAATGTATAAATTGTCCAGGTAGCAATCCAATTTAGACAGTATCTTTTCAAGCATGTTCCCAGTGTATCCAGGTATGATGAATAGAAGGGCCAATGTGGTCTGAGCTAGATTTAGGGGTGCATGTACACTAAGGCAAAATTCAATTCTCCAGTAACTTTTACAGATAGTCCTCTATTTACTACCTTATGTCTATGTATAATTAGATGAGGACATGGTTAAAACTACATGCATTATAGGAAAGAACATGTGCAATCAGAAAAAAATGAATGTATGGCTTAATCCATCAATCAAAACAGAGAGCCATCCAAACTACCCCCGGTAACTAGCCCCCCTTCTCTTTGGCCCCGCATACTGAAGCACAGAACAAGGAGCGAGGTGAGTGAGCATTCTTGCTCATGTGGGCTGCTACTGATCTTGACAGTGTATCTGTCTGTAATCCATGCCATCACTTTGCTCGAATGGTATCACCTTGCTTCTTGTGTAAATTGATGTGGGCTCTTATTTTCGACTCTTTGGATGAGAAGTCAAGACTCCGAAAACACGGGGCCAGACCCTGTCCAGGGGTAATGCTGTCACTTCCTCTGCTTTTCACAAGTTGGTTCAACTTATGTTGTTTCATGGCAAATGTGTTACCTAGAGAATGTCAAATGCTTGATAACGTTGGAAGAAAGAGCACTGTAATTATAAGGAATATAATAATAATATTTGTAATACATTTATTTCCTGGAATTGATATATCTGGTGACACCTGGCTTTTAGCTCCCAAGGTCTTTCACCTGACAGTTTTGAAACTGCTTTTGAACTCAACTGGAAGCAAACCTATGTTCAAAGTGTTTTTAATTAGGATGCTCCCTGCAGTTCCTGGGATCCATCATGTCATGTTTTGCCTTCTTTTGAACACCTTATTTGGAAGTTAGGTGGGTACTTTACAGACTGCCAGACTTAAGAGGAAAGCTTTACACAGATTCTGTGTTCTAACCCTCTAACAGTGGCTAAATATGCTGCTAGCTGACCATGCCGCCCTCTTTTCCTCACCACCTCCTGGAAAGAAAAGAGCAGAAATCCTTACTAAGCTGCATCTCTCATTCTGGTCCTCTCATGAAAAAATCTCACTCTAACTTATATAACCACCCTACTCACTGCAACAAAGATGCTTCCTGATACTGTTAGAAAGAAAATGCTGGGTGAATCCGCAATTTCTTGGCTTGCACACTCCTTCGTCTGGCTCCATCCCTGGTGGGAGTCCTCCCTCGTCTCCCTGTCCTCGTCTCCCTGTCCTCGTCTCCCTCTTACCTTCTCACCAGCCTGTGCTGCCCTCCTCCCACTTTGGTGAGACCACAGTGCTGCTCCAAACCCCCACTGTGCCTTTCTATAGCTCATCACTGGGCAGTGGTACTGAAATGGGAGAAATTAACAAAAGTCTAAAAACTTAGGCTCCAAAGCCCACATAGGAAAATGAAACTTTCAAGCTCCTCTGGGCTCGCAAAAGGCAGCTGACAGACAAGGCTAAACAAAGAACTGGGCGTATGACTAGGGGCCTGAGACCAGATAACACACCCCAGCTGTGTCAGCATTTCTCTGTCCTAAAGAAGACCAGATAGCTACCAACTCACGGTTGTTAAAAAATCCCTGGCTCAAGAGATAATTAACAAACTTATTTCCCCTACAATATCCTGCTTAATTGCATCCTGCCTACTCATACAGATATTATTTCATCCTATGTAACCATGGAAGATTTGTAATTTCGAGACTTTCAGTCTTTTGAACTTTCCCTTTAATCCCCGCCCCCAACCAGTTGTAAGTGGTGTTCTGCTTGCTCCCAAGAGGGCAGAATCCCTGCCTGCTGCAGCTTGCCAACAAAGAAACCTTTGCTCTTGCATTCAGTGAGTCGTCTTCTTGGTGGATTTTTGGGGGGGGTGTTTCTGTGAATTGGGCATAACAGTACCACTCACAATTGGAAAAGAAAGAAGCACGCTATAAGAATAAATTTCTGTAAAAGTTTTGCACAACTGGAATTTCTTAGAACATTTTTTAAAATGTAAGATGAAGGTTTATTTTTCTAAAAACTGCTACGAATATTTCCTTTTTGGGTGTGGGTTTTTATATATATATATAGTTTGTTTCTGTTATTTTGAGACAGGAACTCATGTAGCTCAGCTTTGCTGTGTAGCTGCTGATGACCTCAGACTTCTGATCCTCCTGCCTCTGTTTCCAAGACCTGGGATTAGGAGTATAGATCACCAAGCCCAGTTTATTTATTGACCTAAAAAAAATCAGATCAAGTTGATCTCTAGAGAAACTGAATTTAGGTCTTAGCTATTTAAAAATTCTTCCTCGGCACTTGGCTCCCCTTCAACACCAGGCACTGCATTCAATAAAATGAAAAACAGCAGGAAATTCAGCCTAATTCATCATTACAGCCTGATAATTCTACTCTCACCATTGTTTACTTAACACATTGATGTAGCTTTTCATTTTCAAAGTACATTGAATGCTCACAAGTCTCCACCCTTTGCCCAGGATTTTCAAGACCTCATATTTTGTTTCATCAATTCATGTTAACACATAATGGAAATAAATGTAGACACACGGGGCCTAGTGCAGTGACTCAGTCGGTAAAAGTACTTGGTGTTGGTCTGAGTTCCAGGTCCAGAACCCACATAAAGGCAGAAGACAAAACCTGACTCCACAAAATTATCATCTGAGCACCATATGCATGCTGTGGCACAGATACCCATGTATACACAGCATACCATGCATCCATCTGTAGGAGTGAGCCCACAAAACTCTCCCCACCCAAAAGGGCGGGGATAGGGAGATTAGCACAGATGGGCTATTTAAGGAAAAGAAAAGTAAACGGGCTCTCTCTGGAAGCCTGCCACACTTCTGATCTCCCAGCTTGTGTGTATTTTCCTGTTAATAAAATTATTTGATTCCACATTGTATTGGTTCACGTACATCCATCCGTCCATACACACACACACACACACACACACACACATTTTATAAAAGATTGAAAAATCTGGACACAGAGAATCTGCAGAGTATCAACATGGGACAATTATTTCTGACACCATAACTGACCATTTTGAGGTTGAATACTGTCTTTGCTTTCTCTTTTAATAGTACTTTGCTATACAGGTAAAATCAATTTAGCTACCTATTGAAAGCTATTTTCACACTTAGCTAGGCAAGAAGATGCTACTTCCAGGCTTCAAGAGTCAGAAACCAACCAGGTGAATCTTCAGGTAGGAGAGGTAGGGAGCTGGCTTAAAAGCCATATACCACAGAGAAGAGGAGAAATAAGCTTGATGATTATAAGTATAGCATCAGACAAAATTGATAGTGGAAGGACAAAAGTACAAAAAATATAATTGGAATAATGGAAAACTATGAGTAATAGTTCATAAAGATTTTCATGTTCAGCACAATATTTGCCTACATGTCTATGCTCCAGTACAGTTTGATTTATGGGGTAAGCTGGGGTTTCTCTTGTTAACAAGCAGAATTCATTCAAATCTCTCCTCTGAGAATTTAAAGTTTCTCTCAAGAAAAGGTTAGCTACCATTGGTGACTCAGCCATGATGAGGACAGTGTCATCCTTCTGTGGTGGCTAATTTTGGTTTTGACTGAACACACCAGGAAGAGGAACCATACTTGAGGAATTGCTTCCATCAGAGTGGCTGTGATCATGTCAGTGGGGCATGTTCCTGTTTTCCGATTGATGTGGGGCTAGGCATCCCATGGTGCAGCGCATCCCTGAGCAGTGGGTCTGGGCTCTGTGAGAAAGGTAAGCAAATGTGAGCCTGGGGGCAGGCAGCCCTTGGGGATCAGTCCTGAGGGTGCTGCCTCTGCAGATGCTTGAGTCCCTGTTCTGACTTCCCTCAGCGATGGACTGACCAGGAAGTATGAGATGAAATAATGCCTCCCTCCTCCAGTTGGGTTTGCTCAGGGTGTTTATCACAGCAACAGACAGCAAACTAGAAAATCCTCCTACATACATTTTGAGTTAATGAAACACTTACATGAAACTGTTCAATGGAACACCTTCTCCACTGGGAGAAATTTCTACCTGCACGCCCATCTGTCTCTCTGTCTTTGTTTCTTTTTGACTCTGAGCCCCCACACCCCCTTGAATAGGGCACAATCAGTACATGTGTGTGGGAGTCACTCCTCTCTGTCCACCTTGTCTCTGAGGCGATCTCTCTCGTTTCCACTGTGTATTCCCAGCTAGCTACCCACTAGCTTCCTGGCAGTTTTCCTGTCTCCATAACCCTTATTTTTTGTGCTTATTTATGGCCCTGGTGATTGAACCAGAAGCTCCCACACGCCAGACAAGCACTGAGCTTTTCATGCCTTTCTTCACCCCTCCTCCCAAAGGTGGCCACTCTTGGGAACATGGTGACTGTCCTTCCAAATCACACTTTTATATTTTTATTGCTTTATAGTTTTATTGTTATAGATATTCACTAAATGGGTGGTATTTATTTATATGTGTAATATTAAAATTTGTTCGTTTGTATATGTATATGCCTGTATGCTTCACAGTGAGAGTGAAGGTCAGAGGGCAATTTGCAAAAGTCGGTTCTGTCCCCCCACAACGTTCCCCCTGCCTCCTCAGGATCAAAATCAAGTTTCCAGGCTTGGCAGCAAACACTTTTACCCAGTGGGCCATGTCACCAGTCTCTAGATTTGTAATTTTGTGTGGCTCAACAACGAATATATTGCTTTGTAGGGGTTCTCCCCACCCCAATTTAGTAAGCATCACGCTTTGAGTTGTCTCCACACTGGTACATTCAGCCTCAGTTAGCTTACACTGTTGTATCTATGGCATCCTATGAAGATCCGGCAGCTTCTCTGCCTTTGCCCCACGGACATGGTCTGCCATTATCCAGATGCTCAACAGTGCCGTGATGGGCATTCCCAAAATGCATCCCTGCACCCCCCATGCAGGGGCAGTTTCTCCAGGGGGAAAAAACAAGCAAACAAAAAAACCTGTTCTTCAGTGTCCCAAGAATGAAAATTAAGGACCTTGGTATTTCCAGGGAATAGGGGTAAAGCCTACGTCTTATGGAAACTGTCGGGTGGTGTGTTTTACGAGGACAGACCCTGGAGTCCAAAGCGTGAACTGGAATCTTGGTGAGCTCTGACCCTTACAACAACTTTTATTGTGTGTCCTTGAGAATGAAAACACCCCAGTGACTACCGCCCATGTCCTAACTGAACATTAGATGGAAGTTAGAAGTACTATTCTTTGGAAAGGGGGAATATAAACGTGCTACCTTGTGGGGTATCTTTGATAACCCTTTTTTGTTTGTTTGTTTTTCCGGTAGTGGGTTCAATATATTGACTGGACATACATAGCGCCACATGAAGGAAAGGCAGAGCAGAGTGACAGCCGGGAAAGGAAGGAGTACCTGTCCTACTTTGTTATCGTCCAGCGCCAGGATCTCCAGGTTCTTGAGCGCGCAGATCTGCACGGGGAAGTGGTCTATGTGGTTCTGACTGAGGTCCAGGAAGCGCAGGTTGATCAAGCGCTTGAAAGAGCGCCGCAGCCCTCGCAGGCAGGTGTTGCGCAGGTACAGCAGCTGCAGCTGCGTCCAGCGGCACAGGAGGCGCGGCACCTTCTCCAGGCGGTTCTCGCTCAGCCCGACCTCCGTGAGCTCCGTGAGCTGATCCAGGGTGGGCGGGAGGATGTGGAGGAGGTTGTGGGTCAAATCCAGCACCGACAGCTTGCTGCACTGGCTCAGCGACTCCGGGAGAAGGGACAGGTGATTAGATGCCACGTAGAACTTCTGCAGCCTCACCAGGTTCCCGATTTCTTCCGGGATGGCCTTCAGCTTGTTGTGGTCCAGATCGATCACCTCCAGACTGACGAGGGTACAGAGGTCGCAAGGGAAAACCGAGAACTCATTCTTTTTCAGGTAGATCTCCCTGAGCTTGGTCTGGTTCACGATTTCCCCGGGCAGCGATTGCAGGTGGTTCTCCGACAGTCCGAAGAGCTCCAGGTGGTGCAGGGATTTGCAGATCACGGTGGGAACCTCTCTCAGGCCTGTGTTGTAGAGCCGCAGCTCCCGGAGGGTGCGGAGGCAGCTGACTACCGTCAGGGAGGAATAGAGCAACGGGTTGCTGCTCAGGTCCAGAGACTCCAGGCTGCTCAGTGACGCCAGCTCTGGCCACAGGCACTGCAGGTTATTCTTGTGGAGGTAGAGGACCCTAACATTCTTTAAGTTCTGAATGTCCGGAGGAATTTCAGCAATCTGGTTGTTCTCCAGATGCAGTTCTTCTAGTTCTTTTAATGCCAAAATCTCTGATGGGATGGTTTCCAAACTCTGGTTGGAACCATCAATGAAAAACGTTCTATCAGTGACCTGCTGGGGGTCATTTCTCTGAAGAACCTTGGACAAATGTTCTGGTTTCAGTACTTCCTTTGACATGATTTTCAGGCCAACCGTTCCATGATCCCAAATCTGAAATGCTGTAAAGGGGAGAGAAAAAAAATCAGATTTCCCTGACAACAAGATTTAATAACGGGGCGCCGGGGCCATGATGATGATGGACAAATGGTTAAATGACTGAAATTATTTTACAACATAAAATTTATATTTTTTGCATTTCATATTAGGGTAAGAGTTAAAGTGTAAACATCTCTTTCTAGTAACTTTGTGCACTTGTGTTAACACACAGACTGCCTAATTTTATTTTTCTCAATCGCTTGTTTAGGGGCTGAAGAAAGGGCTCAGCCTTTAAAAGCACGTACTGCTCTGACAGAGGGACCCAGTTGGTGGCCCAGCATCCAGTCTGGAAGCCCGAACTGCCTGTAACTCTGCTCCATAGGAATCCCTAACCGTCTTCTGTCCTCTGCCGGCACGTGTGCTCATGTGTACATTGCCTCCCCCAACAAATATGCATAGTTTTTAAAACCTTTCAAAGCTGGGCACAGTGGTGCACACCTTTAATCCCAATACTGAGGAGGCAGAGGCAAGTGGATCTTTGTGAGTTTGAGACCAACCTGGTCCACCTAGTGAGTTCCAGGACAGCCAGAGCTACACAGTGAAACCCTGAAAACAACAACAACAAAAAGAAACACATTAACCTTTAAGATGCTTATTTTGATTTAGTCTCAAATGAATTGAGGAAGTTTGCAAAAGACCATTGCTCTTGTCATCACCTCCAGAAAATATTGGGAAAAATATATATGTATATATATATTTTCATAAAGTCACCAGACTTGTTATCTGCAAGCAGGCTAAGGAGTGAAAATCGTGGTCAGCCACTTTTTCTCCATAAGTGGAGGTCAGTGGGAAGGACCTCTCCAGCTTTCCGTAGGCAAACCAAAAGCCAACCAAATGAGCAAACCATGACTGAGACAAGAGAACCTGCCCTTTCTTCCACCTTCTTTTTGTTTGTTTTTTGTTTTTTGAGACAGGGTTTTTCTGTGTAGTCTTAACTGTCCTGGAACTCACTCTGTAATCCAGGCATAATCCAAGCTGGGATTAACTGCATGTACCACCACACAGGCTGTTCTTTACCTTGTAACTGTTTTTACCTTGCTGGCCTTCATCCACTCTCACCCTCAAGAAATCTGACTGGTTCAGGAATCCTTCAGCCCCAACCCGCCTCTTTCTCCCAATACTATATTCTGAGCATGCCACTCTATAACACTCCTTGGAATCCCTGGTCTCCAACTCTAGCTGAGGCCCTTGCCTGTCTTAGGCTCCAGAAGCTATTTCAGGCCCTGCTTCCAGGCTAGGTCCTCCAAATTCAGCCTCCGTCGGTGGGTCTGTAATCTGCATCTGTGGTTACTAACATCCTGCCCCATCCCCTCATAGCCTTGCTATAAAGATGCTCAGATTCTCTGCGGGTATGACCTTGTCTGTCTCCACACTCCTGCACCTCTGCAGATCGATCCTGGATTGGGCTATCTCAGACTAGTCCAGAAGTCGCCTTCTCCAGGAAACACTTCCCAAGGGCTCTACTCCTTCACAAAGGTCTTTAAACTACAACAGGCCCACGCCCTTCACACTTGGAGGTTCTACCACCAGATTCCGAGTGTAGCCTTCCGCGTCATTTTGGGGGAGAAAGGCTGGGTCACCAGGATTTGTAGCCCTGTTCTCTAGCCCAGCAGGCTAGGCTTCCAACCTTCGAAGGTCCCCTCTCAGTGTCTATAGCCCAGAGTTGGTAAATTTAAGGTGAGAGATCACTGCCTATGGATTACAGGGTACCCCGCCCCCTAAACTTTGGCCCCGCCTCTTCCCCCTTCCTTCTGCAGGAAGTTCTGTGGTTGCCATGGGAACCACTCGGGTTGCTGGTCTGGTTCCAGCCCTGTGAGGACGGAGCGAACAGGAGCAGTTTGTAGAGAAAGGCCAGCCACAACTTTCCTCTTCAGAGGTCCCGACCTGCAAGGCGAGCTGGGTGAGGGGGACCCAGCTCTGCAGCCCCAGACCAAGCAAAGGGCGGAGGCTCCCACTCGCAAAAGCCCCAGGTAAGGGGAAAACTCTGGGGCACCCTTGACCTCCTCAGGTCCACCTGGCTTTGTGAGGAAAGTGTGGCGGTTTAGTGCCTGTGGCTTTGCTCTTAGGGTATGGGGAAGGTGTCCTGGGGGCTCTTCTGCGCCCCTGAATTTGTGGGAGCCTCGGGAAACCATCCCAAACAAGCTCTTGAGACATTTCTGAGTTCCCACTTCTTAGATCTTCCACATTTTCTTTTCTTTTAACCTCTTCATCCATTTTTTTCATTTTAAGTTAGCATATAGAAGGGGTTTCATCGTGACGTTTTATACATACCCTACGTCTGCGTCCATGAATTAAACAAATTAAGCGTAAGGCTAGGGGTATACTCAGTGGCTGAGCGTTTGCCTGGCACCCACAGAAACCAGAGCTCCAACCACCACTTTGGTTTGGGATGTTTGTTTTAGAGTGTGTGTCGTGGGCCTGGAGAGACCATAGTAAGGAAAATTAGATGATAAAGGGAGAGGCTTTGACGCTGCTGCCTCCGGGAGGGGTGAAGCCTGATGGAGCAGGACTGGGCGGGGCTGATCGCCTGACGGCGCTTGTCCAGCTCCTTGAAGGTGAAGGAAGTGCAGATTAGAGATTCAATCCCCGTTGGTTCCGGGGCTTGTTGGGACCCACCAGAAGCGCTGTTATTCCTTCTCAACAAGTTAGTCTCCTGAGGCAGGAAAGTGGCGCAGTGGGAGGGAGCCCAACCCTGGCTTCTGTTTAGGAACCACCTGGATGTTAAAACTGCACTCAACAGATGGTGTTCCATATACATCTCAGAAATGCAGCATTCTGACCCCGTCTCCTCTAGGGCAATGCACAGAATCTTCGTGCACCCGAGAGAAGTGTCCTCGGCAGGTGTCTGTTTTGCTTCATTTAATTCAGCACTTCTCAAAAGTATTTAACAGATAAAACCCATTCTGGTCTCTGATCATCTTGAGAAATATTGTGCTACATTATTTGAATAGCCAAAAGTTTCCTAAAATAGGTGATGGGATCCAGTATGTATGTACATTCATCCACATAGATACCATCCTGATGTATTTTTTTTTTTAGAGTAATGCCATGAAAGAACGCCTCACGGTATTACATTAACTGGAAGGTGTAAAACTGGACCAAAGATTGCAATTCTGTCTACACACACACACACACACACACACACACACACACACCTAAGATTCAAATAAGTCTTTTAAAAATATAAGAAACGTTCATTTCCTTTCAGTTTAAATTTACCAGATCTTAAATCTTGTTCGGCAGCTGTGGGTAGCAAGCTCTGATAGCACAGACAGCACTCCCCAGCAATGGATGCTTCTGAGAAGAGGGGATTTAGAGAAGGCAGCATCTAAAAATGCAGCCTAGTTCAACTGTGAGATCTCAGAGTAGATTTTGAAAAAGGCATGCACAGAAAGTAGAAGAATAGAAAGACAAGGGCACGTGCTTCTTACAAAAGTAAGATCACAGCTTCCATTCTGGAAGACCAGGATTTCACAAGAAATGTTTCTAAAGTAATATTGAAGCCAGGTAGCTTCAGCACTCAGGAAGCCAGGGAAGGAGGACCATGAGTTCAAGACCATTCTAGGCTAAACTATGTTAAAAGAAGAAAAGAAAGGCTAACTTTAAAGTAGCAGGGCTACTATGGAAGCTGATTGTATAACAGGAAAAGATCCCATACCTATTTATCATGGGTGGGGGTGGGGCTGGGTGGGAAAAGTGCTCACCATACAGTGTGAGGGTCTGAGTTTGGGTTCCAGCTCTCACATAGCAGCTAGGCATGCTAGTGTATACCTGAAACCATAGCATTTGGGGTGGAGACAGATGGATCCCAAGGGCTCTCTGGCTAATAGTGAATGGCTTGTTCAGTGACCTGTAGACCCCCCCAAACAAAACAAAACAAAACAGTGGAGAACAGTAGAGGAAGACCCTTGATGTCAACCTCTGGCATCCACGTGCACAAGCACCTGCATTGCCAGCCACACACAGGAACTGAAGGGGGGTCAGCCTTAGACAGGGGAGGCACAGTTAGGTGCCTTCTTTCATGCACCAGGTCTCAGTCTGGTATGAAGATGCTATCGAATCGAGATGCAGTCGAGGTGTCCTTCTGGGCTTAGACCACTGAATAAAAATGACTTCCCTTGGAGCTGTCTTAAGAAACCCTGTCATTGTACCCCAAAGGGGCACATGGAAAGTCTTGAGTCCGTTTGATTGTGCACACTTCCCTTAACTGATTGATTTTGTCCATAGTAATTTCTCCGGACACTTCTTCCTCATGGTAGAAGTAGTCACCCCCTTTCAGATAGGGTGCTGACTGGAGTCACAGTCTGACCCCCCTTTCAGATAGCCACAGTCTGCCCACCCTCTCTGGTGCATTTATAACCTGTTTGGCTTCTTTCTGCTCCCCTGTCCTGAGTTTTCTCTCTCTTTCGTGCTCACCCTCATATATACACACATTCCTCTGAAAGAAACTTAGTTGTTGAGGCTTTGGGGATAATTTATATGTGATGACAACTGTGTTTATGTTTCCAAAGCTCCAGAGTCTATGGATAACCTCCAGGAACAGTACTGTCACTTTTGTTCAGAAAACATACGGAAAACTAATCCTTTTATACTGAATATACTCAAAAACCTGGATGAAGAAATTCAAAAGGGGTAAGGCAGATAGATAAATATTCATCTGTATAAAAAATACTCACTGATCCTCATTTCTGTGAAATCCTAAACTATTCAGTGGTTGTATTCTCATTTCAAGATGGCTTGGTAAAGTAGACATAGCTTTTGATTCAAGGAAATAGGTTGATGTGTGACAAGTTGAGGTCTTAGGTGCAATATCTGCCTTTAGGGAGAACATTGGACCAGGAGCTTTCTGTAGCTACCTCTGTTCCCCTTAGCTTGGTGAATTCAGACATACCTTTGTTCTGGTTGTTGCTATTGTTTCTGTTTTGTTTTGTCCACTTGACCCAAGTTAAATTTACCTGGAAAGAGGCACCACCGTTGAAAAAATGCTTCTACCAGATTGCACGTATGAAGGTCAATGGGGAAGTTTTCTTGATTAACGATGAATGTAGAAGGGTTAGCCAACTGTGGGTGTTACCAACCCTGGGCATGCTGTCCTGGGTGGTATAACATAGTTGGCTGAGTCCGCCATGAGGAGAAAGCTAGTAAGCAGGGTTCTGACAGGGCCTCTGCTTCAGTTCAGGCCTCCAGGTCCCTCCCTTGAATTTCTGCTTAACTTCCTTCAGTACTGTGGACTATGACCCAAGAGTTGTACAGTGAAATAATCCCTTTCCTCCCCAGTTTGATTCCATAATGGTGTTTGTCACAGCAGAAGCCTAAAGTGTCTTCAAAAGGTATTCAGTCGAAAGTGGGTTTGATGGTTAGCTTTGTCGACTTGACACAATTGAGAATTACTTGGGAACAATGAGGAATTTTCTACATTTGGTTAGCCTATGCCTGTGTCTATAGAGGATTTTCTTAATTAGTTAATTACTGTGGGTAGACACACCCCTCTGTGGAAGACTGGAGAAATCAAGCTGAACACATGAAGCAACTGAGAATGCATGCATTTATTTCTTCCTACTCTTTTTTTTTAGAGGGGGGAGAGTGTTCTAGACAGTTTCTTTGTGTAGCCCTGACTGCTCTGGAACTCACTCTGTAGAACAGGCACCTGTCTCTGCCTCGTAAGTACTGGGAATAAAGGTATGCACCACTACCTGGCCTCTGTCTACCCTTGACTGGGGGTAAGATGTAGCTAGCTACTTAAGGTTCCTTCCACTGTGAGTTCTCGTCAAGGGTAGATGACTTGGAATCAAAAGCTGAAACCAACACACTCTCCCTTAAATTTCCTTCTTTTTTCCCTTTATTTCCTTTTGTTAGTTTGATTGTTTGATTTGAGACAGGGTTTCTCTGTGTGTAGCCCTAGATGTCCTGGAATTTGCTCTGTAGACCAGGCTGGCCCCCAAATCACAGATATCTGCCGACCTCTGCCTTTCGAGTGCTGGGATTAAGTGCACCAGCTGGGCAGTGGTGCCACAAACCTTTAATCCCAGCTCTCAGGAGGCAGAGCAGGTGGATCTCTGAGTTAGAGGCTAGCCTGGTCTACAGAGTGAAACCCTGTCTCAAAAAACAAAACAAAAAGGGTGTACACTAACAGAGTCTTAAATTTCTTTTTGCGGGGATGCTTTATTACAACAGAAATAAAAGTAGGACAGTGAGGTCTATGAGAGAGATTAAGCGATGGGGAATTTAGCCGCGTTAAACTGGTTTGTGAGGTCTGTGATACCACTCTTCACATGCAACGCATTTCAAACTTCGTGTCACCAATGTCCTCCCTCTAACTTTCTTTGTCTTTTTATTTTGACAGACTAGAAAAAGGAATCACATTAAGCATTGCTGGGAACAACCGCTTAGTCCCGGTACAAAGAATGACAGGTGAAGATTTTTGGCTTCTTTCCAAAGTTTTAACCAACCAGTCATTTATCATTGGTACGTTTGCTTAAGAATAACATATCTGCTTTTTTCCCTCCTTTTCCCGATATTCAGCATGCTTTATGAGGAATATCAGTTTATGTTCACCTGTGTGTTTCAGGTCTAGATGTGAGGTATAACCTCATAAGCGATGTTGGTGCCTACTATGCTGCAAAACTGCTTCAGGTATTACATTGCCACCAAACAGCCTTGTCCGTTGCTCTGAGGTGAAACCATGTAGATAAATGACTTGCGGGCAAACACTAAATATGGTAAACACAAGGATCCTAAGTCCCGGCTGTATGTGTAGCTCTTGAATTACATGCAAATCCACTTACATTTGGTCTCAGTGGAGCTGATACCTGGAGCTCCTGAGTTGTGTTTTGCAAACCATAGTTAGATACTCAAAGATGTCCATAGATTCAGTTGTTGGTGAAACTGAATGGAGTCTTTTCCTTTCGATGATATTGCTATTGCAGTGCCAAAAAGAAAAAGGTGACTGCCTTTTTAAAAATTTTTTTCTCCTTAAATAGTGATTGCCTTTGTTGGAATTTTGTTATATGGAGATGCTTTTAATTAAATAAATTGTGTGCATAGATTAATTGATTTCCAGTAATACAAATGTAATAGCTCCTTTCTCTCCTTCTTATAGAAACAGCCATACATCACTTACTTAAACCTTATGTTTAATGATATTGGACCTGACGGTGGAGAATTGATTGCTAAAGCACTGCATGTAAGCATTGATATACCTCAAAGTAATATTTTACCTGAGAATTTTAATTTCCTGTAGTTTAGAAGCAACATAACCAAAGTTAATGTGTATTTATGTTATTTCAATTTTGTGGCAGGTGAATGTGCGTGCATGTGTGTGCACATTGTGTGTGTGTGACTTATATGGATGTTTTGCCTGCATATATGTCTATGTACCACATGCATTCCTGGTACCTGAAGAGGCTACAGCAGGGAATCAGATGCCCAGGAACTAGAGTTACATATGGTTGTAAGATGCCATATTGGTGCTGGGAATTAAACCTGAGTACTCTGGGAGAGCAGTTTTGTTTGTTTGTTTGTTTGAACTGATGAGCCGTCTCTCCAGCCCCAAAGATTTGTTCATTTTTATATGCTTGAGCCTGCATGTATGTGTACCACATGTGTATCTGGTGCCTGCAGAGGTCAGAAGAGGGCATTGGGTCTCCTGGAACTGGAGTGACAGGTGACTGTCAATCACCATGTGAGTGCTGGGAACCAAACCCAGGTCTATTACAACAGCAGTAATTGCTCTTAACCACGGAGACATTTCTTCAGCCCCTTAAATATATAGTCTTAGTGTGGTTCAGTTTATAAAAATGTGGCTCTTAGTTGAGAACCTTGGACTCATTGAAAAAAATGCTGAACAGCTTTGCTGGGTTATGGCGGTACACACTTATAACCTCAGACCTTGGGAGGAAGAGACAGGAGCGTGGCTGAGTTCAAGGCTAGTCCAGGCTACATATGTAAGATCTTGTCTCTAAATGAATGTCACTGTCTGACATCTGACTGCAGTACAGCAGTCGCCTTCCATCCCTGCTGCTATGCCTGTCCCATCATGGTAGACTGTGTTTCCTGATCTGTTAGCCAATCACCCTTGGCTCCTTGAAGTTACTTCTTGGCAGGTATTTGGTCATAGCAAGAAGAGATGTGAGCAATACAGAAAATTGCTACTGAGACAGTGTTAGAGCAATAAACCTCTATAGGCTGTAGGCCTTTAGAACTAATCTGTGGAGGGAATATAGAAGAATTTAGAACCATGAATAGGTGTAAGTGGGGTTTAATGAGCCATTGTGTTGAGGGTTTGGAAGCCCAGGGTGCTGGCAGTGATGTGGACATTGAGAAGGCTCAGTTAATAAAAGCGCTTGCCATGCAAGTCTGGTGACCTGAGTTTGTTCTCTTGGATCCATGGTAGAAGGAGCAAACCAACTCCCAAAAGTCGTTCCCCACTTTCCACATGTTTGCCATGGCAGGTGAGCACACCTGCGGGGGCACACACACACACACACACTCACACACACACAATCATGATGGTGACAGAAAAATAAAGGGTTGGAAAGATGGCTCAGAAGTTAAGAACACTTGTTCTCGCAGGAACCCTTGGTTCACAGCACCCACAACTGTCTGTGACTCCAGTTCCAGGGGAACTGACAACCTCTGGTTCTCTGTGGGCCTCAGGTACACAGCTGTCGCACAGATATAGTCACAGGCAAAACCATAAAATAAAAGTAAATAAAATCTAAAAAAGAAAAAGGAGGGGGAGACAGGGCTTGTGAGGTTGCAGTGGGGAGCAGACTCTTCCAGGAACTGGCTTAGCGAGCATTTGTGTTGTGGTTTGACAAAGCATCTAGTTGTCTTCTGCTCCTAAGATTTCAAGCGAGGCTGAATTCAAGAGTAATGGTTTTTGCAGACATGCAAGATACAAGGGTGGGAGGTTTGTGAAGACTTGCCCCAAGGTTCCAGAATAATGCTGAGGCCATACAAGGCATGACGGGAAGATCTCTTGTGGGGCTTCTGAGCTGTGAGTGAAGGCATGAGGGGTAGACTCTAAGTAGCAGTGGAAAGGCAGGCTATCGAACATACCAGAAACATGGGATGTTTACTGCAGAAAGCTGCAGGCAGCAAGAGGAGCCAGCCCTTGAAAGAGGCCGGAATTTCCATAGGGAGCAGAGCTGGAGGCCACATGCTGGACAGGCAGCTTCAGGTTTGACCTTCCTATAGTCTGATCGTTCCATGTCCGCTCATGTATCAATGTTGGAATGGGAATGGACTTGGTACCATTGTATACAGGAAGTGTGTAACATTTTCTCTTCTTGCAGGGATTTACAGTTCAAAGACCTTGAGGCAGTTTTAGACTTTGGAAGAAAGTTGGAACTGCTAAGACGTAGGGGGATCTTGGAAATGCACTCAGTTCTTGATGCTGAGACGTCCATGTGCTGCTGAGGACCGGTGCAGTTTATAAGTGGTGTGTTTAGGTATCAAGTTTAAGTTCATTGTCAGCCTGACTGGACTTAGGACCACACAGGAGTCACAGCTCTGACATGTCTGTAAGGCATTTTTGGAGTTTAACCGAGGAAAGAAAACCCATCGTAAATGTGGTGGCTGCATTCCGTGGGCTATGGGATGTAGAGTGAGTGAAATATGGAAAAGGAGAAAGCCCCCGGATTCATCTGGCTTTGCTTCCTGCCTGTGGTTGCAATGTGACCAGCCATGTCACTCCTTGCTATGATAAACTCTGTCTCCAAACTGATCTGTGAGCCCACATAAGTCTTTTCTTCCTTAGAAACATTTAACACAATTGATTGCAATGTAATTGATATACATAAAACATACTCTCTCAAAGTTTTTAGTTCAAGGGAAATTTTTAAACTGTATTTAGAGAGGCTGGGAATGGTGGCACATCTTTAATCCCCAATGGAGAATGAATGGCTCTCTGAGACCTTGCTTCTATCTTTTATACTTACCTAATGTTGGGATTAAAGGTGTGAGCTATAATTCTCTTTTAGACTGATTCACTCTGGGTGGCCTTGGAGTCACAGAGATCCGTCTACTTTTTAATCCTGAGTTCTAGGATTGGATTAAAGGTGTGTACTACCACCTCCTAGCTTCTGGATGATTTTTTTTTAATTATAAACTGTTTGGCCGATGACTCAGGCTTCCATTGGCTAGCTCTCTCTTAATTATTAACCCATTTCTATTAAAGTACGTATCTCCACTTAGCCTTAGCTTACAGTGACGCCTGCCCTCTTGCTTCCTCAGCAGCTACATGGCGTCTCTCTAGTGGTTCCTCTGCCTTCCTCCTGACAGCATTCTCCTAGTCTGGTAGCCCTGCCTATGCTTCCTGCCAGGCTACTGGCCAATCAGCATTTATTCATCAACCAATAAGAGAAACATATATTCACAGCATACAGAAGGACGTCCCCCATCACCCAACACTTGTGAGGCAGAGGCAGGAGGATTTCTATTCCTCAGCCTTTGCATCCACTAACCACTTATATTCTGATTATTTCATATGAATAGAATCATATATGGCTTAATACTTTCAAGGTTCATCAATGTTGTAACATAGTTTGAATTGTTTTAGTGTGTTTTGTCTACATGCATGCTTTCCTGGTACACTGGGAGGCCAGAAGAGGGTGTCAGGGTCCCTGGAATTGGAGTTAAGGATGGTCGTGAACTGCTATTTGGGTAACCAAACTTAGATCCTCTGGAAGGGCAGTCAGTGTCTTAACTGATGAGTCATCTCTCTAGTCCCATAACAAATTTTTATTGTTCAGTAATATCCCATTCTGTAGATATATCACATTGTGTTCATCAGTAGACATTTGGGGTTTTTTAAACAATTATGAATAACACTATTTTGCATCTTCAAGTTTTTTTGTCATTTCTTTGTTTTTCTTCCTCAATATGTTTTTATTTAAATTAGAAACATGAATGCTTCACATGTCAATCCCAGCTCCCTCTCCCACTCCTCCTCCCTTGTCCCTCCACCAGCGCCCCCAGCCCCCACCCCATCCCCACATCATTGCCCAGGGAGGGTGAGGCCCTCCTTGGGGGGATCTCCAGAGTCTGTCATTTCATCCAGGGCAGGACCTAGGCCCTTCCCCATGTGTCCAGGCTGAGAGAGCATCCCGCGCCTTCCTGTTTCTATGTAGACAAATATTTTTGATTGATGGAGTAGTGCTTTCTTGTTGGGACTGCCAGACTGCAATAATGCTACAGACTTGTTAATTATGAAAAAATGAAAATTAAAAATGTAAGCTTGGCCTTAGCTTAAGTTTTTTTTTTCCTCAGCTAGCTCATATAGCTTAAACCCATGTTTTTAAAACTATGTTCTACACATGACATGGTTATCTCTTGATGCTCTTTGGAACAAAACTTTTTTTTAATGGATTTATTTTTGTTTTCTATATATTGATGTTTTGCCTACATGTATGTCTGTGTGGGAGTGTCAGATCTTGGAGTTAGACAATTGTTAGCTGCCATGTGGGTGCTGGGAATTGAACCCAGGTCCTCTGGAAGAGCAGTCAATGCTCTTAACCACTGACACATCTCCAGCCTGCGAAACAAAACATTGGATTTTGACAATGTTCATGTTTATTTAGTCAGTAGGATCCCTATGCCTTTAGTGTTCTAAAGAAGCTTTGACTAACATGAAGTTGCAAAGATTTACACTTCTATTTGATTCTAAGGGTTTTCTTTTATTCACCCATTATGACTTGTGTCTAGTGTGAAGTAGGAGTCTAAGTTCATTCTTTTACATGAGGATATTTAGTTACCACAATGATAAGTCTTAAAAACATGATTCCTTCTCCCAGTCAATTGTCTTGGCACCTTTTTCAAAACATCAGTTGGGAAAGAGCAAGGAAAGGGGTATATGAGAAGGTTTGGAGGGAGATAAGGAAAGGAGAAATTACTATGTCATAATCTAAACAAATAAATACATTTTGTTTGTGTAGTACTTTCAGGCTCTGTGAACCTACTATCTGTCTTCATGCTAATACTATGCTGTCTTGATTCTTTTTTTAAAGATTTATCTATTTACTTTTGCATACAGTGTTAGGCCTGCATGTATGCCTACAGGCCAGAAGAGGGCACCAGATCTCATTACAGATGTTTGTGAACCACCATGTGGTTGCTGGGAATTTAACTCAGGACATCATAGCCTCTGAACCATCTTTGCAACCCTGGATTCTTTTCTTTTCTTTTTTTTTTTTGGTTTTTCGAGATGGGGTTTCTCTGTGGCTTTGGAGGCTGTTCTGGAACTAGCTCTGTAGACCAGGTTGGTCTCTCACTCACCGAGATCCTCCAGCCTCTGCCTCCCCAGTGCTGGGATTAAAGGCGTGAGCCACCACCCCCCCCCAGCCAACCCTTGATTCTGTTATTTTTTAATTACATTTTTTAAAATTAAAAACAAGCTTGCTTCACAGGTCAATCCCAACTCCCTTTCCTCCGGCACACCCCCACCAGCCCCCTCCCCCTAGCCTCCCACCCTATCCCAACTCCCTTCCCCTTAGGAGATCTCCAGAGTCTGTCATTTCATTCAGGGCAGGGCCTAGGCCCTCCCCCAAGAGTCCAGGCTGTGAGAGCATCCCTCTTTGTGCTGGCAAACTAAGCAATAGTGGAGAGACTACCTTAAATGCCAATCCCTGAATACCTTATATACCATCCTATAACCTTCAACCCTTGATTCTTATAGTTTTTTAAAATGAAGATATGAGTCATGTGTCTGTAATAATTTTTCAAGATTATATTGATTCTTCTGGGTCAGTTGTATTTCCAGACAAATTTGAGTACTTTGTCAATTTCAGGAAGAAAAGAGCTGGGGTTTTGACTGTAACTAGTTAGGTCTATAGATAGTTTGGGGATCACTGTTATTTTAACAATGTCAACTATGCCAGTCCTTGAACATGGGATGTTCTCACTACTTAGCTCCCTATCTTCTTTGGAATATATAGCAGTTTACATTTTTCAGTGTGCAAGTCTTGTCCTTGTTTTGTTAACTATATCCCTCATATTTTATGCATTTTGATTCTACTAAAATGGAATGATTTTGAAGAGCCCAACAGTTAGCCCCCCAATAGTTGTAAAATTACTAAGCTGTCCCGTCCTTGGATGTGAGCAACTACACTTAAACATCTTCCCCTGGTGGTCCTCAAAGACTTGAAAATATTTCCCAGACTTCAGTCCTCAAGGACTTGGGAACATTCCCCAGACCTCAAGGTTCCAGGCCGGTCACAAAGTTCAGCCAGGGCACAGATGTTGCCTGAGAAAGATAATGAGCCAGTCAGCCGGGCAGCCACAATCATCCGTGATTTATGAAGGTCTGACGCCAACTTCCAAACTCCCCTTGTGTCCCCACCACCCAGTTTGCGGTTTTAGGCTTTAAAAACTTGCTGTAATTTCTGCTTGGGGTTCACTCCTTCCCAAGGCTGCTGAACCCCGGCACGCTGGCTTAATAAAAATCCTCTTGCATTTTGCAATGGAACTTTGGCTCCCTGGTGGTCTTTGGGGCAAGGGTCCTGAGAGAAAAACTGAAGGGTCTTTCAATTTCATTTTTTAAAGGGGGTACCACTATCTAATCCTGGATGGCCTAGAACTATGTAGGTCAAGGTGACCTCAGACTCAGAGATCTGCCTGTCTCTGCTTCCTGAGTGCTTTGATTAAAGATGTGTACTGCCATACTTGGCCTGGAATTATTCATAACATTTGGGGTTGTTCATTTCTAGAATATAGAAATAGAATTGATTTTTAGGTAAATTTTACATTCTGCTTTCCCTGAACTTACTGGTTTTAGAGCTTTTGGGGGGTGGACTACTTAGGATTTTTTGTAAATAGTATAAGACCATGTTCAATGTGACAATTTTATCCTTTTCTTTCCTTATTTATAGCCTCTGGATTTAATTTTGGTGGTTCCCATGTGCCTAGGAATATACTCATTTTTTTCAGACTTTCCAATTTGTTGAAATTTGCTTTCAAACTGTACCTTAAGAATCTTAGGTTTCGCTGGGCGGTGGTGGCACAGGCCTTTAATCCCAGCACACAGGAGGTAGAAACAGGTGGATCTCTGTGAGTTTGAGACCAGCCTGGTCCACAAGAGCTAGTTCCAGGACAGCCTCCAAAGCCACAGAGAAACCCTGTCTCAAAAAAAAAAAAAAAAAAAAAACAGAACAGACAAAAAAAGAATCTTAGGTTTCATTTTATAACAAACACTTTCCATCACCTGTAACTTTGTTGAGTGTCTTTCTTTTTGGCTAATCCGACTAAGGATATCTTACTCTTGTTCATTTTTTCAAAGAATCAACTTTTTGTTTAACAAAGTACATTGGATTATCCTTTTATTGTTCATTTTATCGCTTTTGGATTTGGTTTCTTCTTGCTTTTCTGTGTCTATGTTGTATATATGTGTGTGTCATGTACATGGAGGCCAGAGGTTGATGTTATGTCTTCCTCTATCACTGGCCACCTTATTTTTTGAGACAGGGTCTCTGGGCCTGGAGCAGTCTCTGTCTCTGTGCCTTCTACTTTATGTCCAGCAGTGTTTGTTATACAGTATACTTGCAGTGACTGTATATTCCTTTTATGATTCTGCGCTAGTCTTCTAATAGTGGCTTGAGGGCCACTGTTTCCGATGTTATTGCTTCTTAGATCCTGTTCAGTCTGTGCCTTTGCTGATGAGATGAGCTGCTTTCAGACAACAGTTGGCTTTTTGCTTTTAAGATTTACTTGTTTTGTTGTTTTATTTTTACCTGCATTTGCTGCTCTTGGAGAAGACCTGGGTTTTGTTCCCAGCACCTACATAGCAGCTCATAGCTGTCTTTAAAAATAGTTGCAGGGGCTCCAACACTCTTTATTGATCTCCAGGCATGTACAAAAATGCAGACAAACACCCATACACATAACATAAAAATGAGAGTTGGGGATGTATCTCAACAACAGAACATTTTCCTAACACAGTTGTTCTCAATCTTCCTAATGCCGCAACATCTTAATACAGTTCCTCGTGTTGTAATGACCCCCAACCATAAGATTATTTTGTTGCTACTTCATAACTGTAATTTTGCTAGTTATGAATCATAATGTAAATATCAGATATGTGGGATATGATATGTGAACCCTGTGAAGGGGGTCATTCAACACCCCTGGGGGTCACAACTCACAAGTTGAGAACCACTGGTCTGGCACATGTGAGGCACTGGTTTCAATCCCCCAACACACACACACACACACACACACACACACACACACACACACACACACAATGTGGGAAATGGGGAATGATGGAAAGTGTTTGGGAACTAGCTACAGTATTACACAACATGGTGAATGAAGTCAATGTCATTGAACATTTTAGAATCGTCTGTTCTTGCCATGTGAATTTCAACTCAGTAATACATTTTTCCTATGAAACAGATTTACAGAATTTTCAATGAAAGAATATTAAAATTACTTTATTTCCTGAGTTATTTGTTTCTCGGTCATTCTTTAAAAACAGTCAGCTATTATGAGAAATTAGACATTACTTTTACAGAATATATCCTACTCTATCTCTGTGCAAATGAGTTTGTAAATAGTAATACGACTTCCTGACTCATTTAATTGGGAATTTTGTGGATTCAAATGTAAGCAACTAAGTTTTGATTGTTTTTCTCTCCCAGAAAAACAGAACTCTCAAATACTTGCGAATGACTGGAAACAAGATTGAAAATACAGGCGGCATGGTTTTTGCTGCAATGCTGCAGATTAACTCATCCCTGGAGAAACTGGATCTGGGTGACTGTGACCTGGTAAGCTGGTTCTGAGAGTCACTCGTGCAGTGGGTTCTTCTCCCAGGGGAACAGCACAGGAAGCTGGAGAGTGGGGTTTCTTCTGGTTTGTTTCCGAGCAAAGGCAGCTTGAACTCATTCTCCTGCCTCCGTCTCCCAAGTGCTGGAATTGTATGCACACACTGTTACCCTGACAAGATGTTTATTATGATTACTCTACCCCTGTGGGAAATGTGGTTTTCCGTTTCATAGTAATATAGACTGTTAATCAGAGTATAGCGACTGTAGAGATGGCCTGGGAGTTAAAAGCATTTGTTGCTCTTACAGAGAACTCTGGCTCTGTTCCCAGCACCCATGTGGCAGCTCACAATCCTCTGTAACCCTTATTCTACCTCATCTGACCTCATCAACACTGCATATGCATGGTGCACATACATACACGTAGGCAAGGCAATTATACATAAAATAAAGTTTTAAAAACTGTATTACATTAAACACAATAACTAGCATAATAGATATTTCTGAACTCAATGCATAACTCATCTTAACCTGTGACTTACAGGAAAAGATAAGATATGCTCATTTATATTACTAAAATACTATTTCCTCAGTATTAATATAAATTCTTTCTGATAGAAAATATTTTGCAATGAGTATGTTGTACTGTGAAAGTTGTGATGATGCTAACAGCTGCTCTGGGGGTCTTTATCCACCAGGTAATGAGATCTGCATTTTTTACACTTCTTCACATTCTAAATTGCACTTTTCTTGACCGTGCTTTCAAGTTTTGAGACCTTTATAAATCTGTTGCATAACTTCAGATTAATGCTAGATCAGTAGGGCACAAAATCTGCAATGGTTTGCTGGGATGCTTTTAAAGTTCAAAATGTAGCTGGTACAATTCTGGGAAGCTGTGAGTCAAGGTTTACTGCTTACACACACCAGTCACTTGAGATACTAAAAGGTTGCAACAGTGGATCTGAGATGGTCTCTGCTTTCATGAGATTTTGAAGTTTACCTGGGGGGAATGTCAATTAACAAAGGAAAGTATTAAAAAAAAACCCAATTACTCTGATTGAGAAGGTGTAGGGAGAGAAGTACCTGCAGCTTTAGCCACGCCCCTAATGGACATGGCTACAGTAAGTGAAGGAGAGGGGACAAATAGAGAGGGCCTTCTGGATCTCTCTCCTTGGATGCTGGCCACGTTTCGGAGAGCTTCACAGCTTCCCATGTAAGTTACTTCTTTCTATCTGAATAAATATCCTACTATGTTTTCCTGGCATTCTTGGTGTGAGTTGTTGACCCTCCACAGGAAGGAGGTAATTTTATTTGATGAGATGGATGCCTAAACCTGAGGAGGTAATACTTAGGAGTCAGGAAGATTGGGGGTTACACAATGAATTCAAGGCCAATTTGGACAACTTAATAAGACCTTGTCTCAAGATAAAAGAAAAATTAAAACGGTCTCAGTTTGAGTCCGTGCCTAGTATTCACAAAAGCTTAGGTTCAAGTCTCAGTACAGCAAAAAATAAAACCCAAGTCAACAGAATGGTATTAACTAAAAAGTAAAACAGCACTAAATAAACTTCTCCATAGTGAGCTATGTCAGGTCACACGGGAGGTGAGTGTGCGAGCAGAGTGCCCTCAAGAACTCAAATTCATGGCAAGGTTGTGTGGACAGACTGGGCAGGGACTAGGAAGTGACACAGATGCAAACCATGGGAAGGCTTAAAGCTGAGGGTCATGATCTGAATGGTGCTTTAAAGATCTCATGATGGGAGTGGAGGGAAGCAAGTAGAAGCCACAGGCCATCGGGATAGCTGCTGTGGCCATCCAGGTTTGCCATGAGGGGAGCTTGGGCAGGAGTAACAGCCACAGAAACATTCAGAGATGAACTAATTTGGAGGCAGCTGTTCAGACTCACTGGTGGACTGGATGAGAGGCAGCAAGAGAAAGCTATTTACTAGCATAACAGGCTGTGTGCTTGGTGGTACCCATCACAAAGATGAGGGAGGACGCCCTCCAGTCAGAGACTTGGAGAGGCTACAGGAACTGTACAATTGTCCAACAACCAGGTGCACTCGCTTTCTGTACCAGTAAGAATATAAAAGAATGGCTGCTGGGCGGTGGTGGCGCACGCCTTTAACCCCAGCCTCGGGAGGCAGAGGCAGGCGGATCTCTGTGAGTTCGAGACCAGCCTGGTCTACAAGAGCAAGTTCCAGGACAGCCTCCAAAGCCACAAAGAAACCCTGACTCGAAAAACAAAACAAAACCAAAAAAAAAAAAAAAAGAGGAAAGGGCTGGAGAGATGGCTCAGAGGTTAAGAGCACTGACTGCTCTTCCAGAGGTCCTGAATTGTCCCGGCAACCATCTAACCATCATATCCATCTATAAAATGAGATCTGCTGCCCTCTTCTGGTCTGCAGGCAGAACACTGTACACATAATAAATAAATAAATCTTCAAAATTATAAAAGAATGATTGCACGAGGTTGTATGTATATGAGATTTAGCTGGGATCCACGGGTCTGTCTGTTTCTTCATTTGTGGGGAACCTGGAGGACTTAGGAGCAAGCCCAGAGTCAGGCCTAGCAAACATTTTTCTAAAATGTTAGAAAACCCCCTGTGCATGCTGCTTTAGGGAGGGGTGGAGGAATATGTAACAGTTAGTGTGGAGAGATGTTTTAACTTTTGTACAAACAATTTTATCAGAATTCAGATAATTATCTTGAAATTGTAATGCAGGGAGACTGACACACTACTAACTTCCTTGATGGATTTACCTGTTTGTAGGGATTGCAAAGTGTGATAGCATTTTCTACAGTACTCACTCAAAACCAAGCAATCAAGGGGATAAACCTGAACCGACCCATTCTGTATGGAGAACAGGTCAGTATTCAAAGTGACGACAGACTAAGACTAAGGTGCTACCGGCACTCTTAGGATTGTCCTATTATATTTAACTGCAGCTTGTAAAGTATGAAAGGAAATTATGTCATTCTTGGTGACTTGTATACATTTAGCTGCTGTTACTTAAGCAGCAAGCTTGTAGAACACAGGATCTGTGTAAAGCTGTGTAAGATGGTTGGGTGAAAGAAAGTATGCGTGCTTAAAGTTTATGAGCCATGGAAGCCCAGTGTCAGCTGCCTCATCATTTGCTCTATGGACACGGCTGAACCACAGTGCATGCACGTAGTTTGGGAGGTCTGAACTTGATCCCTTCCATACATTAAGATTCTTGTTGGAGGCAGATGAAAAGGCGGCTGCCTTTTTTGACATCCCTCTGGGTGGGATTATTCTCAAGGAAATAAAAACTTGGATTGGCAAGATGGCTCAGGGGTTAAAAGCTTCTGCTGATAACCCTGATCTCCGAGCTCAGTTTCAGGGACTGCTTGGGGGAAGAACTGTGCTGATTTCTGTCTGCTGTCCTCTGACCACACACACACACACAGTGACATGTTTCTGTCTGCTGTCCTGACCACACACACACACACACACAGTGACATGTTTCTGTCTGCTGTCCTGACCTCACACACACACACAGTGACATGTTTCTGTCTGCTGTCCTCTGACCACACACACACACACACACACACACACACACAGTGACATGTTTCTGTCTGCTGTCCTCTGATCTCACACACACACACACACACACACACACACACACACACACAGTGACATGTTTCTGTCTGCTGTCCTGACCTCACACACACACACACACAGTGACATGTTTCTGTCTGCTGTCCTCTGACCTCACACACACACACACAAACACATACACACACACACACAGTGACATGTTTCTGTCTGCTGTCCTCTGACCTCACACACACAGTGACATGTTTCTGTCTGCTGTCCTCTGACCTCACACACACAGTGACATGTTTCTGTCTGCTGTCCTCTTACCTAACACACACAGTGACATGCGTGCGCGCACACACACACACACACACACACACACACACACACGTGAAAATAAAAAGCCCAAAATTTATAGGAATAAGAAGACTCATTCTATTACAGGTCTCCACAAGAGGAGAAAAGAACAGTCCACAGCATGAGATCTAGTTCAAACAATGACTTGCAGGTTCACTGGCCAAATAAACCTTCCCCTTCCAAAGTACTAGCCATAGTTTAAAATTATCTGTCCCACTGTTCCCCCTTTTTGTTACTGAGAATTAAGTATATTTTAAAGTGCTGCTATTTTTCATATTTGGCTTCCAAGAGCACCAGACACATTCACGGTGCACAGACACACATGCAGCAAAACATGTATACACATAAAATAAGTCTAAACAGTTGTTTGTAAGATGAGTAAAACAGTATGATTTGTTCACAAAGTATGTTACAAGGGACTTCTTAACAAAATGCTTTGGCCCACTTAGGCTTGATTTTGATAAAAACTTAAGACTATTTGGTTTTCAAATTATCACAGAGGAAGAAAATGTATGTGCACATGTATTACTTTCACCTAGGAACAGCTAGACCGTAAACTTTAAAAATGAACAAACATATTCTGGAACTTGCAATCATTATAAAAGGAAGGAAGGCAGATAAAGCAGAGCTGAGGGTCACAAAGGAGATGAAGATTGAGAAATGTCCCTTTGTCTTAGGCAGTAACGATGATGATCGGTGACAAAGTCAGGAATGTAGTACTGAGGGAATGCGGAAGGGTTACACAGTAAGATTTAAAAAAATGCTTTGCTGGTTTTCCTCTTAAAATAACTATTATTGTCACTATAAACCCAATTAACCATCCTCTTTCTAAGCCATTCAGTTGCTGCTTTTTACAAATTCCTGCTACCTAAGAAGGTACACATTTCATTTGAACTACACATAGAGCCACATGTCACAATCCCAGTGCTCTTGGGAGACCTAGTTGAGTACCCAAGTCAGCCCATGCTACACGGTGAGACCTGGTCCACTCCCGTGTGCTCCCCTCACTAACACACACACACACACACACACACACACACACACACACACACACACACACACACACACAGGAGATCTGATCTGAGGCAGTAATGATGGTTTTATGTTAAGAAAGATATGCCAAGTGAAAATACAATAGACTCTAATTTTGGGCTGTGTGTGTGTATCTGGGGTATAGGCATGCATATGTGAGTGAGTACCTGTGAGGGTGTATGCAGAGGTCAGGAGGTAGTCATTACTCTCTGCATTACTGCACTCAGACAGGGTTTCTCACTGAACATAAAGTTCAGTTTGGATTAAGCTAACTAGACGTGAGCTCCCGTGATCTGCCTGTCTTTACCAGCCAACAATGAGACTCCAGGAATATGTGGCTGTGCCTGGCTTCTATATGACTACTGGGAATTTGAACTCAGGTCCTGATACCCAGTGAGACATATCTCTAACCCTAAACTAAGAGTCTTAATAAAATTTTTGTTTTGTTTTTTGAGACAGGGTTTCTCCATGTGGTCTGACTATTCTAGAACTCACTCTGTAGACCAGGCTGGCCTTGAACTCACAGGGATCCCCCTGCCTCTGCCTCCCAAGTGCTGGGATTAAGAGAGTACACTACCATTGCCCAGCCTTCCTGGGTTTTGTTTGTGCTTTGTTGTTGGTTTTTGGAGACAGAGTTTCTCTATGTAGCCCTAGCTGTCCTAGAACTCACTCTGTAACCCATGGTTGGCCTTGAACTCAAAGAGATCCACCTGCCTCTGCCTCCTGAGTGCTGGGATTAAAGGCATATGCCACCACTGCCTGGCCTTTTCTTGTTTTTAATGTAATATTTTTAATAAGCCAATTTAAGGCCAGATGTGGTGGCACACACCTGTAACACCAGTCCTCAGGAGGCTGGGCAACAGAGCCAAAACGTTGAGACCAGCCTGAGCTACCTAACAAGACCCTGTACCAAGAAACAAAACAAAAACAGATCCACCTAACTTTAGGAAAATATATGCTCTTGAAATGGACAAGTAATACTTCAAACTCAGAAAAGATCTATTTTTAGGAAGAGTCTACAGTTCACATGGGACACATGTTGAAAGAAAATCACTTCCTTGTTGAACTGCATATGTGTAAACATGGCATGAAAAATTATGGTATGCAACAGCTGTGCAATGCACTGTATTTGAACAGCAGCCTACGTTACCTTGATGTCAGCTGGTAAGTGATAATTTACATGATAATACAAAGACTAAGTCTTGAGGATGGTCTACACAAATGTTCATAATATGTAAGATACGTATTAGACATTATTTTCAGTGACGGGAAATTATAACTTTTATCGTGCTGTACGGTTTATTAGGCTAGTTTATACTGTAATCTATCTGTAATAACTTGATTGCTAGACAGATGGGAGCATTATTTCATGGAAATATTTTTTAATATTGTGATAGATCTATGTAGCCCTAGCTGTCCTAGAACTCACTCTGTAACCCATGTTGTTGTTTTAAGGATTTATTACATATACAGTTCTGCATGCATGCATGCATGACTGCCAGAAGAGAGCATCAAATCTCATTATGGATGACTGTGAGTCACCATGTGGTTGCTGGGAATTGAACTCAGAACCTCTGGAAGAGCAGCCAGTGCTCTTAACCTCTTAGCTATCTCTCCATACCCACATGGAGAAATTTTATTCTTGAAATTGAACAAACTAACTGGAAATATAAAACTTACTATATGGTTTCAAGTATCTTATGAATGTAAGAACAATACTTTGTTTTTAAAATACTGCTAAATATGCTTTCTTCCCCAGCAATAAAATAACTCGTGATGGAATGGTGTATTTGGCTGATGTACTGAAAAGGAATACTACCCTGGAAGTAATAGATCTTTCTTTTAACAGAATAGAAAATGCCGGCGCAAAGTACCTCAGTGAAACTCTAACTTCCCACAACAGGAGTCTTAAAGCGTTAGTATGGCTTTTATATTTAATCAAAATAAGCAAAAAAAAAATTCCAAATAGTATCTCTTAAAATTGAGTGAATCTAGTGCAAATCATGAGAAAAGTCTCTATTTCTCTTTCTACTTATGCATGTGTATTCACTTGTTTGTTTATACATGCACCAAATGTGTACACATAGGCCAGAAGAGGGACTGGATGCCCTGGAAATGGAGTTAGACCTTCTTGTGAGCCGCCGGAGGCAGGTGCTGAGAACAGAACCTGGGTTGTCTGCAAGAACTGCGATTGCTCTTAGCTGCTGAGCCACCTCTCCAGCCCCCCCAAACTCTTTTATCCCGAACTCAACAGAAAATTCATAAGGATTTAACACCATACTTGCATTTGTAATCTACTCAAGCATTTACCAAATAAGGGTTAGAGAGATGGCTCAGTGGTCAAGAGCACTCACTGGCTGCCCTCCCAGTGGTCCTGGGTTCAGTTCCCAGCAACCACATGGTGGCTCACAACCATCTACAATGGGATCAGATGCCCTCCTCTGATGTACAGCTGCACATGCAGACAAATACATAAATCCTAAAGACAGGGAAGAATGGAAGAAGACAGAGAGAAAGAAAGGAGGGAGGGAAAAAGGGAGGGAGGGAAGAAGGGAGGGGAGGGAAGGAGGGAAAGAATGAAAGAATGAGTGGGCAGGCTATTTTCAAAATGTTGGACCCTTTCCTGGGTACATGACACATTCAATTAAAAAACAAAAACAAAACAAAACAGGTTCCTACAGGTTCCTTGGATTAAAGTTCCTATATGGCCAGTATTTGGATCACCACATTAAAACATGTTAATAAAATGGATTTAGTAAGTGTTGATGCTGACTTGAGACTCTTTGTGGGACTTTGGAATTCCATGGTTATTTTTTTTCTTACAGATTGTCTATAGTCAGCAACAAAATAGAAGGAGAAGGGCTTGTTGCAATCTCACAGTCAATGAAAACAAACCTTATATTATCTAATATCTACATTTGGGGTAACAAATTTGATGAGGCTACGTGTGTGGTAAGTGTTTTTAACTCAGACCTCTGCTGAGCTCTGTGATGCCTGTAAGCTCCTTTTACAAATAGTTTCAAAGAATGGTGTCACACTATACTTTGGGCAATCTTTAACTTAAACCCTAAAAAGTAGCTTCTAGGGAAGATATCAGACACCATATACAAGTACTAAGGATTACTGAGTCACACAGTTTCCCAATTCCTCCAAATGAAAACAAAAATTACAATTTATTTGATGTAGCAAAGTTGTTGTGTGTCCAGATGAGGAATCAGAGAGACGCTGTGCAGCACTCAGTGTTTGTGATACAACCCTGAGTCCTTCATACTACTGACCTACACTAAAGCATCCTGCATCTCTGGGATGAAGCCTACTTGTCATGGTGGGTGAGCTTTGTGATGTGTTCTTGGATTTGGTTTGCAAATGTTTAACTGAGAATTTCTGCATCTTTGTTCATAAGGGAAAGCGGTCTGTAATTTTGTTTGTTGGATCTTTATGTGGTTTTTAGGTATTGGGGTACATATGTCCTCGTAAAAAGAATTAAGCAATGGTTCTTCTATTTAGTGGGATAGAGTACTGGCATTAATGCTTTGAAAGTCTGGTAGAATTCTGTGCTGAATCCATCTGACTCTGGGCTTTTTGTTGTTGTTGTTGGAAGACATTAAAAAAAAGATTGATTTATTCATGTGTTTTATGTATATGGTTGTTTTGTTTGCATGTATGGACACCAGAAGAGGGCACTTTCCACTGTGGAACCGCAGTTACAGACAGTTGTGAGCTGCCATGTAGGTGCTGGGAATTGAAGTCAGGACCTCTGGAAGATCAGCCAGTGTTCTTAACTGCTGAGCCATCTCTCCAGGTTCTGCTTAGGAGAGTTTTAATTACCACTTCTATTTTACCATTTAAATTGCTTTTCTGATCTTTAACTTTGGAAGAAATTTACCCACTTTTTAAAAAAGTTTCCAATTTAGTGGAGCACAGATATATAAAGTATGTCCTTAATGATTCTCTGGATTTCCTCAGTATCTGTCATGTTCCTCTTTTCATCTCTAATTTTAATTTGGAGCTTCTCTCTCCACCTTTTAGTTAATTTAGAGATTAAAGGGTTTGTCAATCTCACTGATTTACTTAAAGAATTAACTCTTTGTTTCATTAATTCTTTGTGTTGGTTTTTTGCTTATTTCTATTTTATTGGTTTCAACCCTGAGTTTGTTTCTTACCACCTAGTCCTTTTGGATGCTGTTTTGCTATTGTTGGTCTAGAGCTTTCAGGTGTGCTGTAAGTTACTGACAAGACCTCTCCAGCTTTCTGATGTAGACATTTAGTGCTATGAATTTGCCTCTTATAACCACCTTTGTTGGGTCCTTAGGTTTGTGTATACTGTATTTTTATTTTCATTCAATTCTAAAAAGTTTTTAATTTTCTTCATTTCTGTCTCGACCTACTTTTCATTCAGTAGCAAGTTGTTCAATTTCCATGAATTTGCAAACTTTCTGTTGTTGATAATATAGCTTTAATTTGTGGTGGTTTGATACAATACAGGATGGTGTTTAAATGTTCTTGTTTAAACTTGTGTTCTGCTGAGACTTGTGTTCAAGTATGTGGTCAGTTTTAGAAAAAAGTTCCATGAGCTGCTAAGAATCATACTGCTTTAGAGACAGAAAACATAGTGACAAAAAGCTTTCATTTGAAAAGAGAGCAGAAGGCCAAGCGTTGATGGCGCACACCTTTAATCCCAGCACTCGGGAGGCAGAGGCAGGCGGATCTCTGTGAATTCGAGGCCAGCCTGGTCTACAAGAGCTAGTTCCAGGACAGCCTCCAAAGCCACAGAGAAAACCTGTCTTGAAAAACCCAAAAAGAAAAAAGGAGAAAAAAAAATCATAAAATTTGAAAAGTTCTTACTAAAAATAAACGTCCCTAAAAAAAATCCATAGTTTTCAGAGAAACACTCATGTTCTTTAGGGTTCTGCCCAGCAAAGCTGTATAAAGACTGTGGAACCAAAAATGATGAAAAGCTACAACAGAAAGCAAAACCAAACTTGGAAATCTTTTCATGTCAAAAATTCTCCCCTATTTTTCTAGTGACACCTTTATTGACAAAACAGCTCACAAGTATATACAATGCCATTGACATACACACCAAGAAGCCATAGGGACACATAAAATTCTACAATAAAAAAATAATAGGTCACCATCTAATACTATGAAATTGTCTTTTTTTTTTAAACTAAACTTCCATATTGACTTCAGGGGACTCATCAACTGAACTCTATATGGGGCTATTTATTTGTTTGTTTATCTGAGGTGTGAGGCCCTCCTGGCATCAGATTTATTTGAGGGAAACAAGATTTTGCTATGCAGTTCAGCTGGTCTTGAACTCAGTCATCCTCCTGCCTCAGCTTTTGCAGAACTGATAATACAGTCATGTGTCAGCACATGGGCTCCACAATCTGCCTACTACCCCCTCCTCTTAAGAGCACATGAAAAATCTGACCATGGGTCACAAAGTTGGTATTATAGGGAATTAATTAACTCAGAGATTCACCAAAGGACTTACATATGAAAACATGCTTTATATGTGAAAACTTTTATATTATACTTTCATTATGTATAACTAAATAATAAAATTTACCAATATCTGGAATAATACTAAAATTCAGCAGTGTTATTAAGAATATTTTAATCTACAAAACAACACAGCTAAATTGATTACTTGTTTGCACAACTACTGTAAGCTGAATAAATTATAGTTCTAATCAGAGTTTTCTAAAATCCTAGGCGTATTCAGATTTGATGAAGAGTGGTCGGCTAAAGCCGGACAATACAGATGTGGAACCATATGTGGTGGATGGGCGTGTCTACCTTGCAGAAGTCTCCAATGGTCTTAAAAGGCATTATTACTGGACACCAACTTATGGAGATGCCTATGATCATGCATCTACTGCAGGCTTTGCTCTTGTTCCAGTCGGCCAATATCTCTAAGAAACAAGCTGGAAAATAGTTTCCACACATTTGTCTCATCACTTTTAGAGACTCATATTTTATAGCCTATTTTCTTCTTTTATAAAGTAGAACAAGTTATTTTTATCAAATTTGTTAAACTTTGTGTGCTTGCCCCTTGTTGAGATAAAACAAAACTGATTCTTAATATAGAGACTAAACTATCAATCCCAAAGGAAACATGGAACTATTCTAATTCTTTTTATATGAAAAACAAGTGACAATCACAAAACACAGACAATGGCATATGCAGCAAAGGTCACTACAGAAGAAAGGATGCAGCTGGGAAATTCCCAGGAGATTTCCAAGTTTAAAGTTCAAAAGTATTCCACACAGACTTTTAGGCACTGCAGACAGGTGTTACTACCAATACAACGAGAAAATAAAAAAAGCTTCCTGCTTCCTGTAGTGGCCGCCATCGGAGAGCAGCAGCCTGCGCTATCCCATGGCCATGGGCCTCAACAAGAGCCACAAGGTGACTGAATGTCAGCAAGCCCAGGCACAGCCGGCGCCTCACCAAGCACACCAAGTTCGTGCAGGACATGATCCGGGAGGTGTGCGGCTTCGCGCCATACGTAGAGCCATGGAGCTGCTCAAGGTGTCCAAGGACAAGCACGGGTTCAAGTTTATCAAGAAGTGGGTGGGCACTCACATCCCAGCCAAGAGGAAGCGGGGTTGGGGTGGGGATGGGGTGAGCAATGTGGCAGCGGCCATTCGGAAAGCGGCTGCCAAGGACTGATTCCCACCCCAATAAACGTTGCTGCTGGGCAAAAAAAAAAAAAAAAAAAAGCTTCCTCGCATAGACCGTGATTATCCTAGGTTATGTACCCTTTCTGTGTCTTGCTCTTGTTGATTCAATATTAGTGCAATTCAGTGTAGCTGTAGTTAATTTCTTACTGCCTCGAAGAAGCATTCCATCATATGCTGAGTAAGAATCTCCACAACTCTGTAAAGAGATGGCCTTTCAGGATTAGATATCCAAGTATCCCTTAGCAATGCAGTTTGCCGCCTTAGGTCTCAGTCTACTCCTGTGGGCTACAGCAGGGCCAATATTTGCATGCTCTTAAGACGGGGATGTGGAAGATGGTTGAAGATGGACAGCAAGTAAGCTTACCTGAGCCTGCGGTGGGAGGTATGTGATCAACCTGGGTTACTGACGATGGAGCCTAACTGAGCTGTTCACACCTCACCCAGGTGAGGCCAGTTCAGTGCCAGCTACTGACACGGAACCAGTTAATTTTCGGGGAATGTTTAATGACACAGTTTTACAGGTTACTGTTTACTGCCTCAGAGGCTAGTAGAATGCTCAGACACATTTATTCTGATATCATCAGTTAGGCCCCTTTGTACATCTGGACACCATCTGAGAGATAAGATAGAAAAACATTCTTCCAAAAGATGAGCAGTCTAATGAGAGAGGCTATCTCCTTCTAGACTTACCCTTAGGCAAGGACTCAGGAGATAGACAAGTTCTGTAGAATTCTTCCTCCTCTGTACATCTTACACTGAATAAAACTACAGCACATTATATGGCTTCTACTTCCCTTTTAGCAATTGTCTTTTAAGATTCTGTTTGAATATAGCTGATTATAGTCATGGATCATCTTATACTAATAATGCTTTTACTCTGAAGGCAAAAAAATTTAGTGGCACACTTTAAAAAAATGATCTGAAAATAAAGATGAAATAGAAAAGGCTGAGAAACATGTTCAGCATCCTTCATCAGAGAGAAGCAAATTAAAACTACTCTGATTTCACTTTATACCAGTCACAATAGGCAAGATCAATAAAACAAATGGCAGCACATACTACTGAGGGTGTGGATAAGGGGAGCACTTCTCATTGCTCCTGGGAGTGCAAACTTGGGCAACTACTATTAATCAGTGAGGCCGTTCCTCAGGAAGCTGGAGATAGACCTCAAACACAGCTACCCCACACTTGAGCATATCCCCAGAGGCCTCTACATCCTACTACAGAGACATTTGCTCAACCATGTTTGTTGTTGCTCTATTCATAAGAGGCAGAGATTGGAAACAGCCTATATGTCCATCAATGGACAATGAAAACATGGTATATTTTTCCAACTGAGTATTACAAAATTCTCAGGTAAGCAGATGGAGCTAAGAAAAGAATCATCCTGAGTGAGATAACCTAGACTTTCAGAAAACAGATATAGTATGTATGTTTTATATTAAATATTTTGATGGCTATTCTTGCCTGTCAACTTGACTACATCTGGAATTACTAAACCTTAAGCAGCTGGGCACACCCATAAGGGATTTTTCTTGATTAGATCATTTGAAGTAGAAGATCCACCTTAAATCCGGGCCATACCTTCTGGTGGCAGCTTATAAAAAGAACATGGAAAAAGGAAGTTTTTGTTCTTGCCTGCTTGCCCTCACTCTCACTGGCAAGCCATTGTTGAACAAGTCAAGTCATAGCCTGTAAGCCACTCGAATCCCATATATGTTTTGATACACATATGAATATATATATTTATAAATGAATACATACATATATATATATTCATTCTGTCATGTGTTTTTCTAGAGAACCCTGGCACATACATGGACTTTAGCTTTAAAGCCTTTGATGTGTGTGTTACAATCCATTGAACCAGACGTTAGGTACCTAGTAAGGGACTAGTGGGGAGGAGAGGATCTCCCAAGGAAAGGAAAAAAAGAATATATTGATATATATTGTTATGAAGAGATGGGAAAGAAACCCACGACTGTAGATGCTTCCTAAAATATATACATATATGGAAGAAATCTAAATGAAGTCAGCAAACAACAGGAGAGAGAATGCCACAACTAGACATATTCCAATACCAAGAGAAACTTCCAATGCCAGGAATGGATTACATATAATTCAGCTGTTGGCCAAAGGGCTCTAAGGAAACCCCAAACAACTCAAGCTACTGCCAAGACTATTGGTTGCTCTCTACAAACTGATGATAAAGCCCTATTGCTGAAGACAACACTTACATAGGTCATGGAACACAAGCCTAGCTAGGGGCTTTACACACACTGATTAGCATTCATGGTACTAAAATGTACTCTGCACATGACTTCAGGAGAAAGATGATCACCAACACAGCTACAAAGCTTTGGTCTACACTGGTGACCTGACTGTAAGATACAGGGGTTCAATAGTGACACAAGCACTAAGGGAACAGTATCCTCCAGATAAAAAAGGACTGATGCACAGAAGACTTCAAAGACTGTGGCAGCTCACACAGGGCCTGCACAAGTTAAAGTTAGACAGTCCTAGTGCTGAGAGAGGAGGTAGACATGGGCTCACACTCCTAACCAAGAAGCTATCTGTTTCCACTTGCAAAGGAAAATTAGTTTCTCCAATGGAGTCCCATTGGGTATACTAGCCACACTTCAGGAGACGCTCCATGCCCAATTCTAGATGGCCACACACACACACACACACAAAACTCAAAGGGATAAGCGGTGGTGGCACATGCCTATACTTGGGAGGCAAAGGTAGGCGGATCTCTGTAAGTTCGAAGCTAGCTTGGTCTACACAGAAAGTTCTAGAACAGCCAGAGCTGTTAAACAGAGAACCCCTGTCTCAAAAAAAAAGAATTGAATGGCATTTTTTTGTAGACTATTTGTCTCAGATTGCTTTGTTTGGGTACTTTTCTGTCTTATTTGGTCTGTTGCTAGATATTTTCATTTCTGTTTGTGTGTTTTCTCAGTCTTTTGTTTGTTTTTAAAGAGAGAGAAGACAGGGCCTGGAGGTGGGTAGAGGTGGGGAAGTATGGAGGACTTGGAGGAGTTGAGAGAGAGAGAGGAGAAATCATGATCAGAATCATTGTATGAAACAAGAAAAAAACCCAAACCTGGCAGCTGACCTTGTTTACTCTCCATCCTTGCATTCTCATGCTGGTCTATGAAACTGTTTCAGTGTCTTTCTGCTTGAGACGTGGTCTTGGTTAAAATACCAGCGATCTCCAGTACGCTTCACTTCCTTTACACTTAGATTTTCTTCACCGACTTCCAGGTCAATTCTGAAGGACCTGTTCATTTATTTTCATGTCTTAGTTAACGTCGCTGCATTTCACAGCCCAATTCTCAGGAATGTTACCAGCTGCCAGTGGAGCGCCGCTTCTCCTTAGTAAGGCACTCGGTCAACCGAGGCCACTACATGGAATTGTGTTACAAACCTGGGTGTCTGACCTCTGCCCTCCGGCAGTCAGCTATCTTGGGATGTGATATCATAGGTTATAAATGTAGCTTGCTAAGTCATCCTGTCCAAGAACTATTTCAAGTGAGTCAGTATGAACGCCATGCTAGACATGGCTGTTACCTCCTTCTCATTTGGTATTTTCTGCATTCTGCCTAGCTCCTCTTCAGTCAGCTACATGTAAGGTCCATCAGTCATTTCACCTGTCAATCCAGGTGAACAATGGCGCTTTCTCTCTTCATTCACTACTCCTGAATGCTCAGACCTCCTTTCTTGACTTCCTGTACTGTACTCCTCAGCATTATGGCTTATTTTTCTGTTACTGATCTTTCTCGATCAACTCTAAGGGGGGAGGTAGAATTATTTGTTTTTGCATATTTCCTAGAAGATTACTATGTTTATATGTTAAATTCTTAAATACAGTGAATCTTTCATCAATAAATGGGAGCAGGGGTTGAAGAAAGCAAAAGAAAAGACTACAACATGGTCTCAAGACATTAATACAAACTGTGGTGATGCATAGCTTCAATCCCAGGACAGAGGAGTCTAAGGCAGGAAGATTGCTGTGAATTCCAGGCTGATCTGGACTATTTAATATATTCAGTCTCAACACAGTAACACATAGCAAAACCTTGTCTGAAAACAAAAAGAAACAAATCAATGTTCCAATCACTCAATTTCATTGTTATTCAAAATACTGAGTGAGAAGTGCAGACTTTAATCTTTCTATTTGGTGGTATTTCTAGCCAAATAATAGACTAAAATCTCCAGGTAAAAGATAGAAAACTATATTCAAGAATTCCATTGTTTAACTGCTTCTCAAAGACAGAGCACCAAGAAGTGCTTAGGATGACAGTTCTTAATGTTTGGTACATGTTGAGGTCAGCTGTAGGGCTCTTCTACCATACAACTGCCTCAGCATCGTCTGACTTGGTATATTAAGTTGAATAGGGTATGGATATCATTATTCTTCAACTCCATTCTGATAGGAGTAAAGGCATTACAACTATTGGCCTAGGACATTTTAAAAATTAGTGTATATAATTAACTACCTGCTTTAACTGCCCTGCTAGTGCCATTTCTGTAGGATTAAAATGTGCAGAAATGACAAACTTTGCAATGAACTGATAGAATTTTCACTGATGAAAAAGCTTTCTAAAATTGTCTACTGAAATGATCCATGGAATTAAATATGAAGATTATTCAACAGCCAAATTCATTTAATGTATATTCTATAATTTCTTTTTTCTAAAAAGTCTAAAAGCTAGCATTAGAGCAAAATAATACAAATACAAAACAAAGTTAGAAAATAGTTTCTAAGATATTCAGCATATTCTATAATACTAAAAATCTTTCCCAAAACACTGTGTCACAGCAAAATAAAGAAGCAACCCCAGTGATTCTTTGTGTTAGAATGATGACCAGATACAACTAAAATACACACAGGGTTAAATAAGCAACAGTGAAGTATTAAAAAATGGTCAGAGAGGATACTCAAGTCTTTAAGCTTTCTTCACAGGTAATTCTGGAGGAGCAAATGATAACTAAAGCCACATTAACTGAAAATAATTTTACATATGCATATTAAATTAATACAAATTAAAAACACAACCTTACCTATTCCATATTGCAATTATATGAAATAGTATTGAAAACAACAAATTTGGAAGCTTTCAAAATGCTAATCACCAAATTAGCTATTTATTGCATGTCTGGAGGATGATGAGCGAGAAGTTTCAGTATGATGACACCTCAGGTTAGACTGAAGTCCTAGGGCAGTCTGGGCTATGAAGTGAGACTATCTCAAAATTTCAAAAGATAATTTGAGGAAACTGGGCAATTTTTGCCCTCATAACTATGACATCATCATAGCAGTTTAAGGATTTTTTTTAATCTTCTTGCCTCAGCTTTCCAAAATGCTGTGATTACAGATATGTGCTACGATGCTCACCTAACTATAGCACTTACAGAAAAAAATGTTCACTGGATGTTGCAGAATATTTGTTTAACTATGCAAAAATTTTACCTTGCCTGCCTAAGGCACCTAACTGGTCTAGTAAAAAGCTGAACTGCCAATAGTGAGGGAGGAGGTATAGGACTTCTGGCAAGGAGAGGAAGTAGGAATAGGAATTTAGGCTGGGGGGAGGGGGAGATGCCAGGAAGATGCCAGGGGCTAGACAGACAGACAGACAGACATGGAGGAAACAGGAAAGTAGAACATACAGAATGAAAGAAAAGTAAAAAGCCGAAGGCAAAACATAGTTGAACAGAAACAGGTAAAATTAAGTTAAAAGAGCTGGTGGGACAAGTATAAGCTGAGGCTGAGCATTCATAGCTAACAATAAGTCCTATTGTCTTTATAAGCTAAGGCCGAGCATTCATAGCTAACAATAACTCCTATTGTCTTTATTTGGGAGCTGGTTGAAGGCCCAAGGAAAAAGCCAACTACAATGGATTAATGAAGATGTGAATTAAACATAATCTCTTCACTTTGGCAAACTTGTTAAAAAGGGTTGACTCTTAATTTTCCTTCGTTTTGTTATATTCCAATAATTTTTTATTGATCTTAAACCAGGATATATTAGCTGAACGTTTTATAACCTTACAAATTTTATTCAAACTCAGTATGGTCATATAACATATACACATTTCTTAGCTAAATAATAAGTTTATTATACAAAGGTGGTATTTTATAATCTCTCCAGTTAAGTCAGTTTCACTGGTGGTAATTTATTGTGAAAATGCTATGTGTTCTAAGAAATGGTGTCATTACTTCAGTCTGTAAGAATTGAGTGTTCTTATTATGTCTTCTCATAATAAGAAACTTGGACCCAAACAAGTAATTATGACTATAAATAATTCAGTATCAGTAAACACATTGAATTTATTTCAGTGTAGTTTAAATTATGAAAACAAATAAACTAATCGTGGCATAAATAAGAAATAGTCACCATGACTTTTATCATGTACTATGGAAACTGACTCTCTGAATCTGATAATGTAAAATGTAAAAGTGAGGCAGTGAAATAATTTAATATTTGGGAATGGTGAGATGGAAAAAAATGGCAGCAAGCATTTGGGATGGGGTGACACTGAATTCTCTATGTTCACCTGGGATAGAAAGATCCACTATGAAGCTACAGCCAACAACCAAAAGTTGTAGTTTAATTTATAAAATTTAAAAACCCATATTTATAGAAAACTCAAATATAAAATGGTAAATAAACTGACAATCAAAAAGTGTAGCTTATAATTAAAGTTAGAATAGTAATTCTATTTGTGTGTGTGTGTTGCTTTAAGCAAGCTACTCAAGTTTCTTGATTTTTTTATGTAATATATCAAATTCAGAAGCCAAGCGATTTCTAGTATTTTTTATATCTAGAAAATTCTTTTTAGAACATTTATTTTAAAAAGTGCATAACTGATAAAAGGTAGGCTTATCAAAAATTTTCAAACTTGTTATATTTCACTTCCAATAATCTACAAATCTAATAAAATATAAAATGAATCAAATTTCAAAACTGTCTTTTGACCACTTAAAAACACCAAATATCTATTTAAAAAAATATAGTCTCAACTCAAAACAGAAATTGATTTGACTATTGTTTTTCTCCAGAATACTGAGTTCATTCTAAATGAACAAAAATTTACAAACATTTTTCTGAGTCTTAAGAGAAATACTTCTTTTGGCTTCATTAGAAAAGTTACCTCTAAAGGAATATATTAATAAATAGCACAATTCATCCTTAGTATCTAAATTTTCATAGGAATAAATATGAAATTTAACGCCCCCAACAGTTTACACACTGCTCCCCAGGGTTTACAAACAGAAACACTTTGAAGTTGGTATTATTGTAGATTTTGCACTTAGGAGAGAACAACAATAAAAAAGATCCACAGGTCAGATTTTACCTCAGGAACAAAGAAGTCTAAAATGCAAAATAAAAATGGAATTAAGGCCGCTTTAACAGTGTCTGGAACTTACCCACCCAAAACAGTGCTGCCATAGCAGAAGTCACTCTTTGAAAGGCTGTTTACAATGAAATCCAAAGTCAGAATGAGCACTGATAGGAGCAGGGTTAGGTGCTTTTACTTCCATGAATGAAAACTAATGGTCACACAGCCCAAACGAATGGGGATTAATATGAATATGCTTCTTACCAGAGATGTTTATGCTTACTACTATGGGCGTCTTAGCAATTCCATGTCCTCAAAGTCAATATAACTGTTGTAAAAAAATCAACTGTGGCTCTGAATATCCATTCACAGTTGACCGCAACAGTGTGTCTGACGTGGGAGACTGACTCTCGGTGACAGGCAGGAGCATATGCTCTTCAGTTCCAAGTGGAAGCGCTAGGGGTAGTGTCATGTCAGAAGGCTTCACGTCTAGAGTCTCTGACAGAGGACTTCTTTGTGTGGGATCTTGTTCACTTAAAGCATGGTCATCTGCACTGCAGTCTGGCGTTTTATCTGTACCTGAAATGGAAGTCGGAAGGCACACTGCCTTTAACAATACAAAACAAAACAGTTGTCTGAGGTAGGTAATCCACTTACAGGTCCTAGAAATTACACTCATGCTCATACGCACTAGTTTCTCTCCCACCAGTGTGCCTGACGTAAGCTTGCCCTGATACTGCTAGTGTCGGGCATATCTGGGCCGCAAATACAATACCATTACATACATAGGTTTAATCATTCTAAACCTGGGTGAACTTTTTCTCATCTCCCTCATCACATTTTCAAGTATCATATTCCTCCCTGTGGCAGCCATTCCTCCTATTCCTCTTGTTTAACACTCTACTCAGTCATGCCTCAAATCCCTAACTAGGCTAGACATTGCCTGAGGGTAAATGCTCAGTTAAACTTCTCTAGTTCCTTCCAAATGCAGAAGGGCAGTAAAGGAAGTCAATCGTTGTACACTGGTTATTTCAATAAGCAGTTCATATTATTCTGTGGCTTTTATCTCCAGAGGTGAGAAACTGTTTGACTAGAGAAATCATAACCCTGACTACAGATGCTCCTTTGTCTTCACTTCACTGCTGGTTTTAACACGCTGCTGCCACCCCAGCAATGCTGATGTGATCTCAGTAGCCTCATTCAATAGCTGACAGTGCATAATTTGTCTCATTAGGTTGCAATTCTCTGTATTCTTCAGTTTAACCAGTCAAACAACCTGGGCTGTCTTGTCTTAGTGACGCATCACAATGTCCTCTGCTTGGACTGAACCCATCCTGCCATCTCCATCCTCTGAACTCTTCTCTCTTCAACTTCTGTAAAATAAGTCTTTCCTTTCCTGACAGCCCTCTCCTTTTTGGATACCATCATTATGTGTCCAAGTTGGCCTTGAACTTGTAGTCAGCCTGCTTTCCCTCAGCATCCTGAGTGCTGGGGCAATAGGCCTGGGCTACCATGTCCAGGTTAAACTTAAGCCCATTTTCGTGTTTCAGAAGAACTATCTTCTTTAGCACCTGTATTTACAATGTCCACAATCTCTGGTGTTACATCAAGGTCATAGGCTCTTGTTCAAATCCATATGCCGTGCAGTTATGTGTACCCCTTAGATATTAAATGGACTGCTGAACAGACGGACTCACTGCAGTTTTCAGATGTTTCTAACATAACCCTTACAATGGTATTTATTAACATAATGTTTAGTTTTTAGTGTTGGATATTGTACCCAGGGTCTCGAATGCTAGGTGAGCACTTACTATCATCTACATGCTTGTGAAACTTTCATCTTGATAGAACGCCATAAGTACAGGAAGTCACAGGTCTAAATGTCTTCAGTTGGCTTCCCATACTGATACAACATTTTTTAGCTACCAGTGTCCTATTTCCTTCCACATTTCTAGGTTGATCTTCACGATAGCTCTTTTCTTCCTAACTACTGTCTGAATCACCCAGACTGCATTACTGAGAATAATGCTACTTAGCTTACTTATATATTTACTTTTGTTTTTGAAACTACTCACAAGTCATTTGTTCTGAGATAGCCCATGTAGCTAGCCTTGAGCCACAATCTTCCTGCCTCTGCTCTTAAGTTCTGTGTGTGATATGTGCCACCATGCTTTGTGACAAGTCTTATTTTTAGAGGAAACAGTTGAAGTATTTTATTATTATTATTTTATATGTACAGATGTTTTGCCTGAGTGTGTACCTGGTGACTGAGAGGCCAGCAGAGGGCATCAGAGCCCCTGGAAGTAGAGTTACAGACAGTTGTGAGCCACCCTGTTAGTGCTGGGACTCTAACCGATGCTCTGTCTGAAGAGCAGCAGGGCTCACAACTGCTGAGCAATCACTCCAGACCCTGAGGGTTTTGTTTTTTTCTTTATTTTAATAAAGGTCAGTATTTCAAAAGAAGTGGAAAGAGGAATTTTCTGTAAATTATAAAGCTACTTTACATGTATATACATATGTTTTAGTTGCTGTTTTGTTTTCTAAAATTACTTCATTTTGTTTGTTTTGGGTGTATGTCTGTGTTTGTTAGTATGTATATGTGTGTCAGAGGACAACTCTCAGAGAATTGTTCTCTCCTGTTATCTGTGGGATCTGAGAATAGAATCTAGGTTATTAGGCATGAGCACAAGTGCCTTGAGCCCTGTTTTATTGGGGACTTTTGTTTGCTTGTTTACTGGGAAAGGATTCACTATGTGACTCAAGTTGGCTAGCAACTAGATTTGTAGCCAGGCAGGCCTTAAATTTAAGATCTTTACTTCAGCTTCCTGAGTCCTGAAGTTATAAACATGAACCACCACATCTGCCTACATCTAGTTTTTAAATACGTATCTAACTCACACTGCTGAAATGCATACCTCAACATGTTCAGCACCAGCACCAGCACCAGCACCGGCAGGGTGGCACATGTTTCTAGCACATGTACTTACCAGAATGGACCTTTGTTTTATGCTTCTTCAAATTTTTAATGTCTGTGTAAGAATTTCCACACAATTCACAGATAAATGGTCGTTCTCCTGAAAAACAAGGTAAGAACTTTAATACCTTAGTATTTTAAAAATTGCTAGCTGACACAAAACTATCAAATGTTGATGAAAATAAAGCAAAAAATGTTTTAATTACTTGTTATGACAGTGAAATGAGAAATCCTATACACATAGGTATACTTTTACTTCACAGAAAGTATAACCCAATTTTGGGGGAAATTAAGCATTTTCATTATCTCAAATTCTCAAAAGCAAAATAATCTTTTTTTATTGCTATCAGATACATACTAGATGCCATTCATATGCTAAGACCTGGCTATAAAGCTAGGGAAACGTATAACTATGATTTTTGCTCTCATACACCTCACAAATGAAGAAGTCCTCTAAGAAAGACTGACAATATTCTACAATACAATTATTTTCATGTAGAAGCTGTCTAGGCTGGGATGTAGCTCTAAGACAGAATGCAAGCCCAGCACCTGTAGAGCTTTGAGTCCGCTCCCCAGCACCATGGGGTCAGGTGATGACTGCAGAGCCACTCAATGCTTTACCCCCAAAACCAAGGAACCAAGCCCCTCCTATTCACATCACTCTGGGTAAGAATTATGAAGACAGGCTTTTGAAAAGAAATGAACACTATATTTAAAAAGTAGCATTTCCTTTAATTTTTAATATTCAGCATTTTCTTCATACTATCTACATATTACATGTTATAGTAAACATGTTGACATTATGCTTTATTCTGAAAATAAATTTATAATTCTGATGGTTCCTTTGTATTATCTATTCATTTTTGATATATCTATTCAATTTAATGCAAATGTTTTTGTTTGATGGATATTTGGCATATTTCTTGGAAATTCTACACAATTCTTAACCAAATTTAAATTATACTCTAAAAAACTAAAAAGATAATAAAAGAAAAAACAAATAAAAACCTGATATGTATACATTAAAAACTTATTATCACCAAGTTATGACTAGATACTATATAGCCCACAATGGTTTCAAAGCTAAGGTTTACATACAAAGGAATTAAGAGAGAACAAAAAATAATACGTTCTCCCTAAACACAGACCTGTATGGGATCGAAAGTGTTTGTTGAGCTCTCCTGAGGAAATAAAACTTTTCCCACAAATACCACATATGTATGGTTTTTCACCTAGATGGAAAATAAAAGATAGCGAAGTGGTGTACTATACCAATATAATATTTATCAATTACAAGTAATCTAAAGTAAGCTTTTAAAAATATCTATATGAAAGCCTTTTTACATTGTATCTTAGAGGCATTTTCAGTAATCCAATGTAACAAACTATGACTTTAAATATCTATCTAGCTTGATCCTTTTCACACACTAAACACTACCTCTGCCAATATCTCTTCTCTCCCAGATCTCCTGGGCAGCGTGCTTCTAAAGAGTAACAGCATCTTAAATTTAAGCCACATTTCAAGTTCTGTTTCTACTTTATTAGTCAAGAAGAATATAAACATTTAAGGAAGATTGTACTTAGCAGATAACCTTACAAATGAGGGTCTAACTAGTACACTTTGTTTCAGAACTGGTAATTTGCACTTAAGGAATCTGTCTGTGTTGCAAAACTCAGAATGTCTATGCAAAGGAGGTCCCAAGTCACAAAACAAGTTTCCTACCTAACCCACCTCCCACTTACCTCCCTTTTTACATGCTTACTCAAAGGAGATAAATTCTCAGAAAAGGCTAACAAGGTTTTTTGGAGTCATAAAAACATGTCTCAATTCAATTTATATATCTTCAGAATTACCTTACTTGAACAAGTATAAGCTACAAGATAAAAGTTTTCACCTACCTTGTATTATTCTTGAAAATGTCAGATTTTTAATCTAAGAGTTATGTGAAAAGCATGAACACAGCTTCAAAAATACCAATGTAGAAAACTAAGAAGTCTATAATCTCCCCTTTGTAAGGGCCCAATTCCCATTTCTTTGTCTACAACCTTACTGCAACTCGCCTCTCCGTGTTTAACTCTTACCTGTATGCTTCCGAGAATGAGTGATAAGAGAACTAGAGACAGCAAAGGCCTTTCCACAGGTGTCACACACATAAGGCTTTTCTCCAGTATGCCTACGGACATGATATGTCAGTGTGCTGGCCTGGGCGAATCTCTGCCCACATCTATCACAAACATATGGCTTCTCTCCACTGTGCTTCCTGTTGGTAAATATGAAGTAATGCAATGGTAAGTAAAGCCATCTGGAGGTCAATGTATACACGAAGTATCTTACATAATTTTTCACGCAGCATTTTATGTCATCTTAACAGACTAAGACTATACATATAAATTCAATAGTTTCTACGTAAAACTCCACTCCCCCAAGAAATTTTTCACCATCATCATCATATATAGCTGTGATAAAGATCATAACCAAAAGCAACTCGGGGAGAATGGAGTTTATTTTGGCTTATATTTCCATATCATAATCCATCAAGGAGTCAGGGCAAGAACTGAAGTAGAGGCCATGGAGGAGTGCTACTTACTGGCTTGCTCCCTGTGGCTTGCTCAGCCCGCTGTCTTATAGAACCTGCCTAGGGATGGCACCACCCACAGTGAGATGGAACTTCTCACCTCAATCGTTAATCAAAAGAGAGTTTGGAGCCAGTGAGTTAGCTCAGGAGGTAGAGGTGCCTACTGCCACCTAAGTTTGATCACTGGGTTCACATTATGGAAGGAGAGAAGCAACTCCCTCAGGTATACACAAAATAAACAAAAATGTACTTTAAAGAGAGGAAAGTTTCATATCTAGCACCATCTGTACTTCTACATCTTGTTTTCTTTCTGACTGTCACTTGTTCAGCTAAAACAAATCCCCTAACTCCAGGTGTTAATAGAATGCTCCCTAAAGATCAACTGCCAAGGAAATGGGGCCTTGTTAGGAGAAACACACCACTGAGATTATACTTTTGAGATACACATCTTAGCCGGGTGTAAAAGTGAGTAAAAGCAAAGCGAAAATTTTGCAAACTTGGAGGTTTGGCTAGAAAAGAAGTGCTGGTAAAGTCAGGCCCAAGGAAGAACAGACTAGCACGGAGAAACGAAGTCAATGGCTGGAAACAGAGCTCAGCTGTGAGGCAGGTGTCTAGCACTTGGAGGCCCTAAGTTCAAGTCCTAGCACCACAAAGCAAAACAAAATTTCCAAATCAATGGTATGTTTTTTTGTTTGGTTTTGTTTTTTTGAGACAGGGTTTCTCTGTATTGTTTTGGAGGCTTCCTGGAACTCGCTCTGTAGACCAGGCTGGCCTCAAACTTACAGAAATCCACCTGCTTCAGCCTCCCGAGTGCTGGGATTAAAGGTGTGCTCCACCAACGCCTGGCTCAATAGTATGTTTTTGTAATTTCAGCTCTCAAGAGAATTTGGGGTTTGAGACCAGCCTGGGCTATACACCAAGACCCTATCACCATTTAAAAAAAGAAGAAAAAAAAGGTAAAAAAACTGGCCAACGCCCACCCATCAAAAGTTACATACAGAAAGTGAAAATGTAAATGCATTTACTTTGAGAATAAAGCACTAGCACCCTGCCCACATATACTGAGTCCATTGTCAGCCCATACAGACATTCAGAGTCATGGGACACAGGCACTCACTTCCCTTGGCACACCATGGTGCTGTCATAGCAATCAGAAAGAAGGGGCAGAGAAGGAGTTTGGGGTGTTTGCTGGGGGGAGGGGCAGAACAAGACACAATCCCCAGAGGCTCAGGACTCAGTTGTTGAACTAAGCCTCAACACCTAGAATGTCACCTCCCCTCTGATTAAGTCTGAGCCACTTCCCCCAAAATTACCTCTGCACATTGTTGCACTGGGAACTATGCCTTCCACAAATGAGCATTTGGGAGGTACTTCAGATCCAAACTACAGTCTACCTGTGGCCCCAAATGTTCAAGCCCATCTCATATGGGAATGTATTCATCTATCTCTAAGAGTCTCAAGAAGATGTCCCAAAAGTCCAAGTCTCAAGTCTCAGAGATTTGGGGCATTCTGAGGTGTGAGCAATTGTAAAAGTCAAAACTCAGTTTTCATAGATTCCATGGAACAATGCCCATTCCAAAGGAGAGGAATGAGAAAATGAAAGGAAGATGAAAGCAAGGTGAAAACCTGGTACGGCAAGCATCAAATGATCAGCATGGTGTAACATGAGGCTTGCTCTGGGTACTCATAAAAAATGTACTCATTAGATTACAATAATCAACCGACTTGAAGGTCAACAACTCGGTGGTTTTTTGTTTTGTTTTTTTTACCTTGCATGAATCTTGAGATTGCTAGAAGTTGCAAACTGTAAATTGCACACATCACATTTATAGGGTTTTTCCTCACCATGATGCATGCGACTGTGGAAGACCAGCTGGCATTTCTGAGCAAATCCTTTATCACACAGTTCACATTTGTACGGCCTTTCCCCTAAAAGAATAGTAACATTTGTATTAGGGGGGGATCCTGTTTTACTTGCTAAAGTCATAAACTTTTAAGACTTTTAAGAGTGCCAACAGTACTGTTTTTTGTTTTCAGAAAATGGTAACTTCTAAGTAACAAAAGCAAATGGGATGTCCTTCCAGACTACTGAAAACACTAATAGGAAAGAAATTAATCATAACAGAGAAAGGTGATCACAAGAAAAATGTATAAAATATAAAACTAAGTGTACCAATGGGCGCTCGCACTTGGCCAGAAGGTCATGCACAACAGTTAAACAGACAAGTTGAGAGAGAATGATGCTCAAAAACCAGTCAAGGCTAGGAGCATGGGATGAGAATTATTGGTAATATGTGAAAATTGGACTGAGATTTAATATGTGTCTCTGTTAAATACTTTAAAAGCTAGAACCAAGCCAAACCTAATGGCACAGCTCTATAATCCTAGCTATTCTGGAGGCTGAGGCAGGGGAATTGAAAATCTAAGACTTACACAGCAAGTTCAAAGCCATCTTGAGCAACTTAGCAAGACACTATCTCAAAATAAAAGTCACATGGGGAAAGGGGAAGGGCTATAGCTTAGTGGTAAGAGTACTTGCACAGCATGCTCAAGGCCCTGGGTTCAATACCCAGCCAGGGCCAGGGGTTAGGACCAAATTTATGCTTATTATGAGAGAAAATGTCTAAGACCTGAGGCAGTAGAACTTAAAATGTCAATTATAACAGAGAGCAGTTAAATACTTGGTTACAATTACAAATAAGATTTTAAGGATCTAATGCAAAAATGTTTTACAAATAAAAGAATATGGCCAATTTTGTGGAAAGGCAGTCAGTGCTGTGTGCTTAATATCATCTATACTGGCTGGAGATACAACTTAGTAGTACAGGTTGTGCTCAGCTGAAGCCCTGAGTTCAATCCCTGGTACCAAACAGAACAGAAAACAAGAGCAACACAAAACCATCGCACTGCAGGAAACAAAGCCAGCCTTACCTGTATGGGTTCTTACATGTGTTTTCAGCTGGTTACACTGGGTAAACGCCTTTCCACACAAGTGGCAGACATAGGGCTTGACTCCTTTATGTATTCTCATGTGCCTTCTCAAGCTGCTGGCTTCTGAAAACACCTTCCCACACGTGTTACACACTGGCTTGGCCTTTGAGTACCGTGGGTCCAGCTCTTCCCCAGCGGGCTCCAGCTCATAGGGACTCTTTACACTGGCTATGTTAGACATGGAGTGTTCTTTCAGAGCACAGTGTGACTGTGACTTGCCACGTTTCCGTTTGACTGTAACAGTTTGCACAATATCTTGTGCTGGAAAGGTATTTTCCATAACTGAGGTCAACTCAAGTTCTGAATTATCATTTCCTTGGATGACTTGTTCTACTACAGGTGAGGACAACTTATTTGTATCCAGGAATAATTCAACAGACGCACTCTCTAAAACATCACTGGGGCACTGCACTGATTTATTCTGCCCTGGTTTCTGGGAACTGAAAGCCTTCTTCTTCTTTTTACTCTGAGACGATTTCTTCGCCAATGCCCGCTGTTTAGGATTTGCCTGGACTAAGTCTGTGGACACTTCTGACTTCTCCCGATTGTTATAATCTCGAAGAGTAAGGAGACAGGTCTGTTGATTCAATTCGATGTTTCCAGTAATACTAGATATTTCTGTAGAAGAGGGACTAGCAATAAAAGCAAAATCTTCCATCTTTATTTTACATTTAGTCACTACCTCTTCTACTTTGAGATAGTCAGCAGCCTGATGAATTTCTTTAACATTCCAACTGTAAGGAAACAAGGCTAGATGACAATATTCTGATCACAAGGAACACCTGACGCAACTACATATATACTTGAATGTCTTTTATCGAATTAATGAAGAAGAATTCTGGAAAATTTAAAGTAAATAACTAATTTATAAAATGTAATTCGACAGAATGTTTGAGTGGTATCACCAATTTTACAGATACTAAAAAGAATGCCTACTTGTAGATATTGATGAACCATTACAGAATAACAAAATGTTATATTTTCTGGCTGATTAAAAAAAAAAACACAGAACACGTGAGTTGAAAAATATGGTTGCTGGGTGGTCAGCAAGCTGACTCCATAAGGAGAAGCCCTAGCTGAGCAAGCCTGAAGACACAAGGGACCACTGAAGAGCTGAAGTGATGCTGCATACCTAGGGTCTCAGCGCTCCTACACCAGGATGTGAGGCCAGGCAGAAACAAGACCCTGTCTCAACAAGAAAGAAAACCAGTCCCCAGAACGGTCCTCTGACGTCCACATGCATGCTGTGGTACACCCATGTGCATCTGCACTCACAAACGCACACAAATCTGTTTTGTTTCTTTTTAGATGGGGTCTCACTATGTAGTTTTGACTAACCTGAAACTTACTATGTAGACCAGGCTGGCCTCAAACTTATAACATTCACCTGTCTCTGCCTCCTGAGTGCTAGGACTAAAGGCATACACACCATGCCTTGCTAATTTTTTTTTTAAATGTTGTTGGCAATACACTGTTACCTCCTGTTTCCTCCAGGGCTTCTTCAAATGTCAATCAAGTTTCCTACTTCTCCCTTCTGCCCTGTGAGGTACTTTTTCTATGCTTCTCAAACTTTACTGTCAATATGAATCCTGGAGGGGTCTTGTTAATGAAGACTAAAATTCAGCCGTCAAAAACAGTGCCAGAGAATCTGCAACTGTAATGCTATAACTTAATACCCACCAAGAATGGTACCAAGAGGGGTATTAAGAAATAGACATTTACAGTACAGAAAAAGGGTGACTGGAATATTTAGTAATAGATCTAGCATTCTGTGAATTAACCACGGTGAGGTTGCATTACTGGCTTAAAATTCCTAAGCTTTAAAAACAAGAGTTTAGTTGGTATTAATAATTATTAGTAAGATTGAAGTGTGACATCTTGAGCTAATACAAGCATACAGATACACACACCCTCAAGTAACCTTCCCGACTGCCATTTTGCCAAGTGTTGCTTGGTTACTAAGATGGCCTCTCTTCTGTTTTCTTCCTTGTAAGTCAGAAAAAGGTTCCAACTATAGTTAATATATGATGACAATACCATCACTGCCCTTTAAAGAGGGGGATAAAATTTGAAGATAAAAAGAAATACCCACTACATTGATTGTCTGGGATCTCCAAGACTATATTGCATGTATACTGATCCTACAAAGTTCTGACAACCACCTAGTCACACCTTCGTCTCCAGTGCCACTGAGTTGTACCTTTACCTCATTTGGTTTTCTCCTAGTTGTTTAAAACTCTTTTATGACAGTCATCTTCCAATTTCAAAGGAGGCTTTATTATGGGGGAATAGGACTATCTCTGGATAGGGCAAAGACATCAGCAGTGTCTCTGCAGAAGTGGGTTTTATGGAAAAAAGGGGCAAGTGGGAAAGTCAGTGCTGGGATAACTTGGAAAGTCCTAATTGGACAGGTTAGCCAGTGTAGACATGCAATGAACTTTTCTTTTTCTTCTTCTTCTTCTTTTTTTTTTTTTTTTTTTTTTTTAGTTTTTCCAGACAGGTTTTCTCTGTGTAGCTTTGGAGCCTGTCCTGGAACTTGATCTGTAGACCAGGCTAGCCTAGAACTCACAGAGATTCACCTGCCTTTGGTTCCCCAGTGCTGGGATTAAAGGCATGCACCACCACCACCTGGCTAAGTAATGAACTTTGAGTGATGGACTTTGGGTTAGGCATTAAGGAAGTGACCAAATAAGGGACTAGACCTTGGTGGTTAGCTTTTAGGAATGTAATCTAATGGTTCAGCAAGAGAAACAGAAGGGAGAAGGGCAAGTCTGCTGGTGCCATCTCTGTGATGCTTGGACCTGGTAGAGTCCTTCAGCAGTACCTGTTCTTAACTGCTGAACCACTGCTCCAGCCTTGTTAAATTAATCGGTAAATATTATGTCCTTTCTATTTTAACATAATCCTTTACACTTCAGGCTAGGTTCACACTATTACACCACTCACCAGGAAAGACACAGAGAGACACACACTGACAGATGCACACATACCCAGATTGTGTGTGTGTGTGTGTGTGACAGAGAGAGAGAGAGAGAGAAACACTTGCTCATCTTCACATTGGTTCTTTGCATGAAGGCACAAAGAAAGATGCTCCCAGTATGTTCAAGTCAATATAAGATTTTTTTTTCACAAACAGTTAATCAAGAAAGAGAATCCAACTGAGTAGTGTTGACATATGCCTTTAATCCCAGCAATGAGGCTGAGGCTTGTGTCTGTAATCCTACCACCCTGGGGACTATATATGAGGCCATCCTCAGTTAGAGTCAGTTTCTGATCAGTTTAAACTACAGAATGAGATCCTGCCTCAAAACAAACAAACAAAACAAAGAAAAGAAAAAAGAAAGGGAGGGATGTAGAGAAGGAGAGAGAACTAAAAAGGAAAAACTAAACTAAAAAGGTAAAAATCAAAAAGTCTATTAAATATTCTACATTCTTTAACCAGAAGCACTCAATCAATTAAAGGATCCAATTAATCAATTATCTACCACTTTTAAATAATTGTGGGAGATTAATTTATCTCTGCTTATTATTCCCATAAAACAAGTCTAAAACATAAATAATTCCTTTTCATAAAAATCAAGAGGTATCTTGATTCTAGCATGCATAAGAAGTATATTTCCACAGTAAGCTGCAAGGAAATAATCTTAACTGTGTACATCTGTAGAGATGGTCTGGAAAAGAATGTATGTGAAAATAGTGCTTATCTGGTGAGGTAACCCAGTCACAGAAAGACAAGCATTTGTAGAGCAAAGGACTACCAGCCTACAATCCACACCACCAGAGAAGCTAGGAAACAATGAGGACTCTAAGAGACATACATGGTCCCCCGGATAAGAGGAAAGGGACAGGAGCTCCTGAGCAAATTGGGAGGGGGGAAGGTAGGCATCAGAGAAGGGGGAGGGGAGAACATGAGAGATCAGGAAGAAAAGAGATCCCTCAATCGAGGGAGCCGTTATAGGTTTAAAGAGAAATCTGGCACTAGGGAAATGTCCAGAGATCCACAAGGATGATCCCAACTAACAATCTAAGCAATAGTGGAGAGGCTAGCCTAAATGACCTTCCCCTATAATGAGAATGATGACTGCCTTATATGCCATCCTAGAGCCTTCACACAGCACCTGATGGAAGAAGCAGACACCCACAGCTAAGCACTGAGCCAAACTCCTGGAATCCAGTTGTAGAGAAGGAGGAGTGATGAGAAAGGGGTCAAAACCATACTGGGGAACCCACAGAAACAGCTGCTATGAGCAAGTGGGAGCTCGCAGACCACAGTCTGACAGCCGGGGAACCTACATAGGATGGAACCAGACCCCTGAGTATGGGTGTCAGTTAGGAGGCCTGGGCAGTCAACAGGGCCTCTGGTCATGGAACAGTATTTATCACTAGTATATGAATGGATTTTGGGAGCACATTCCCCATGGAGGGATACTTTCTCAGCCTAGATACACAGGGAGGGCCTAGGTCCTGCCACAAATGGTGTATCAGACTTTGATGATTCCACATGGGAGGCCTCACCCTCCCTGGGGAGTTGGTAGGAGGCATGGGAGTGTAGGTGAGAGAGGGAACTGGGATATGTAAAATAAGATTGTTTCTAATTTAAATAAAAATGTATTTAAAAATAGTGCTTATCGATGGGCAGTGGTGGCACTCAGGAGGCAGAGGCAGAGGATCGCTATGATTTCGAGACCAGCCTTGCCTACAAGAGCTAGTTCCAGGACAGCCTCCAAAGGCACAGAGAAACCCTGTCTCGAAAAACAAAAACAAACAAACAAATAAACAACAACAACAAAAACCAAAATAAAAATAGTGCTCATCAGTAAGTGGCAGAATTTTATGGTCTTTCCCCCACCCCCTTCTAGTTTTCATTTGAGGAATGTAGAGGCAAACAGGACAGAGAGGAGAGAAAATATAAAGTAAAATAATGTTTGTTGCAAGGTGGGGCCTTCAAGTCTTCACTTACTCTTTAAAATAATACCATCAGTTACTAACTCCTCACTTCTATGAGGAGATTAAGGCCAAGTCAGAAAGATGTAATTCCCAATACAGAGAAACCCTGTCTCAAAAAACCAAAAAGAAAAGAAAAGAAAAGAAAAGAAAGATGTAATTCCACAGTGTGCAATTTTTTTCTTTTGGTAGTTGTGGCTGACCTGAATTCATAGAGATACACCTGCCTCTGCAAGTCAAATTCTGGGATTAAAAGCGTGCACCACCATGGCAGTCAGTCCTATAAATCTGTTCTATCACGCTTCTATAAAAAATAAAGGAATGAAGGTAAGCATAGTTTGACCAGATTCTCCTTGTTTTTGCCTTCTCTACCTTTTCTCCTACAATTAGGAATGTATCACTATTAGTCTAAATTTTATATAGAGGAAACAAGATATCTGAACCATAAGACTTTGAAGAACCTACTTGTCACTGAACAGGCAGCAATAAGCATCTTTGTCACAGATGCATGTGTACTTGTGTGTGGAGGCCACAGATGACTGTTCCTCTTCACCTTGTTATATGAGACAGGATCTCTCCCTGAATTTGAAAGCTTGCAGATTCTGCTAGACACACTGGCTGGCTAATGAGCTCCAGGAAACCATTGTGTCCACCCTGGAAGCACTGGTATCACAAAAATGCTTTCACATTGGTGCTGGCGATCCAAAATCAGGTACTCATGCTTGTAGGGCAGGCACCCAACCACTGGAGACATCCTTGAAGCCCAGCGGTTAGAGTCTTAACTCAGTAAACCTCTGGCTTGATCTAAGCTGTGGGTGGGTTAGCAGCAGTAACAGAGTTATTGTGACTCATATTCTCACAAAGTTACCTTCTAGAACCAAGAAGTCCTGCACATCACTATGTAGTGTTAGCAATGGAAGGCACTAGGGCATGAGCCCAGAGGTGGTCCTTTGAACACTACTCCAAACACCTTACAAGAAGGGACAGAGAGTGAGTGAGAGAGGTCTGAGGAACAGAGACCAATGGCGAGGAGAAATTAAAATTCATGTAGAACTCACCGTTAAAACCTCACATCTGCTAAATTCAAATAAAGAACTTTTTTTTTGAGTGAGTAAATTCGTCAAACAGAATTCTTGATATTAAGATTTTTTGGGGGTCGTTATCAAACATCTTTTCATCCTAAACAGAGCTACTGAAGCTATGTGTGTGTATTATGTATATATGTATACAAACACATATACCTGCATGCATATATAGTGCATATCAACAATGAGAATGAGTGTGGAGTGAATTGGAAAGAAATACAAATCTACTTGAGCCCTAAAGACTATCTGACTAGCTTTTGTAACTGAGTAAAAACGTGTACTTTACCTGTCGAGATTTAAAGTTCCTGTATATATAAACTCCAACAGTTTCTGAAATCCGTCAGCCTTCACCTGACTCTGGTCAAGGAAAACATTGTTCTCAGAACTGCTTCTGTAGATCGCACCAAAATACTCACTGAAGGAGGCCAGCACATTCCTGTGCGCCTTAAACTGGGATTCTCCGATCACTACGGTACAGTCGCAGAGAAACCCTGCTTCCCGTTGTTTGTTCAGTCTCTCTAGAAGGTGCTCGCAGTGGTGTGAATACTGCATTTTGGTATCAGAACGGAACCTTACCCTTGATCTAAAACAAAAACAAAACAGTGAGTCGATAACCATCACCTTTCATCAGGCATCCACAGAGGTTAAGGGAGAGGGGACGAAAGACTAAGCAGAGAAACAGAGCTCTTACTCTGTGCCCCTCAAAGCCTCATCAAACACACATGGTGATTAAGTGCCTCTCTTTCTTTTACTGCACTAGGACACTAATGCAATAAATGACGGCGAACAAAACCAACTGCATGGGTGACAAAAAAAAAAAAGAGAGAGAGAGAGAAAGGTTTTAAAATCCTAAGCTTGTATAGTTGACCCCTCAAACTGCGAAGCTCAGGAGGGACATTTACCTGAAGGTGCTTAAACAGGTAACCTAAGAAATGACCGCTTGGGGCAGCGGGGATAAGAACACCACGAGACGAGCTGTTTCCGCGGCTCTCGGATCACTGAAACCTGTATGCTGAGGCGGTGCGGCTCCTTCCAAGCGCTGGGCAGTGCAAGGGGGCGGGAACGCCCGACCTGACTCGGGTTGTCAAAGGTTCCTTCACTACCCAGGAGGACACACCCCTGGCTGCCCGCTGCGAGCCTGGCCGCCGCCGAGTGACAGCCCCGGCCAGCCCTCCGGGGCCTCCGCTGCCCTGCCCTCCTCCTCCCGGCTCGCACTCGCGCGAGTTCCCACAGCTCGGGCTGCGGCTACCGCCACCGCGGAGGCTGCCTCTCCCAGGACACCCTCCTTCGCCCCGCAGCGCGCTCGGTCTCCGAGGCCAGGCCACGCAGGACTCCCGGATCCAAGAGCTGGAGGACGACAGGCCAGGCAGACGGCGGCACTCACCGGTGGCCGCCCAAGGGAAACAGTTTCTTCACTCTCTCTCCGCCATCTTGGGAGGACGTCACCTTGATGCTCCGCCTCTCCCTTCCTCCTCCGCGGTAGCGTCACGTCCGGCTGTGTGGTCCAGTAGGGACCCGTCTGGGGCGGGCGAGCTGGCTACTAGAGGCCTGTCTTCCCCGACACGCCCGGGTCGCCAGAGCACACCTCAGTGCTCACTCACATCCGACGCCAGAGGCTCACCTTGTCAGCCCGCAGCTGTCGGCCCAGATTCTGGGCTGAGACCCAGCTCGAGTGCACAGCCGGCCTCTCCTGCAGCCGCCCTGCGCGCTGCATGCTGGGAATTGTAGTTCTTTTCCTCTCCTGTCATCCTCTTTTATTAGCGTCCCTCCAGTGGAGACTACGGCGCTGTGCACCCTGGCTCTTGACCGTGGCGGGTGGGAGGGATGTGCTTGAGTCGAGACCAATCACTCCTTCCTCTTTTGCATACCCGAAAGCTCTTGGGACCCCCAGAGTTCTGCTGGAGCCGGCCCACTGAAGCTCATCTTCCAGGATGCCCTTACCTGGTGACAGAAAGCAGAGATGCTCGAAAGCAAAGCAACGGGGCACACTGGGCATGCGCAACATGAGAGGAAGGTGGGCTTTCTACCGGAAAAAGGTTTTCCTGCGTCGGAACCAGAACAATTTTAGCACAGTTATTTACATGGAACTCAGATGTGTGCTGTAAAGGGAGAAGCGGACGGTTATGCCTGCACTATACGAAAGTGCCACAAAGTTTTGATGTGTTCGGGTAGCTTCCTCCTTTAGAGCCCGCGGATGCCATAAACCTTAAAACCACAACTTAAGTGGTGGTTGTTAAAAGTTATGTGACCTTAAGGAATTTACCCCGACTTTGTTTTAAAAGAAAGTCTCAAAAAATTGGAGACTTTTCCCCTGCCGGAGTCCTTTCGCGTTATAACATCTGTGTAAGAATTTGCGAATAAAACCACAGTCGTGTTTATAAGAATAATGTTGCGGCTACTTCTTTATTTTACATTTCTGGGTATGAATTTATTTTTAATTTCACCTTTTTGTCGAGCCCCTTTCGCTAATTAATTTTGAGATCTATAGTGAACTTGACATACAGATTAAGAATAAAATATAGGCTGGCATGGAAGGGGTACCATACAAAACTGCTCCAGAGGCGTAGAGCCAACAGTTGCTTTGGTTTGGGGATTGGAACCCAGAGTGCAAGCAGCCTGCTAGGATCAACAGCTGCCTCATCAGCCCGAATGGTTTTCCCTTCTGGGTGTTTGTTCTCAGCATTAGAAGTTTCTTCAACGTATTTTTTCAGATGGGCAAGTCGCGGCTTTTGAAAAGTGAACCCTTATTGGAGTGTAAAAAGAAAATAAGCTTGTTTCCGCCCGGTTTCGAACCGGGGACCTTTCGCGTGTTAGGCGAACGTGATAACCACTACACTACGGAAACTTGGCTGGGCATTTGTGGTGAAAAGTTCTTGATAAGTGAAGTACTGGTATGCATTTCACAAAATTTTAAGAATCATCTAATTTTCAATGGGGAGGGGGCAAAAACACATAGTTAGCCGAACTATTTCAAAAGTCTGAATTTGTTTGCAGACTTCTTGCAAAGCCCGCCGCTGGAGACCAGGCACCCTAGTTCCTGGCCCTTTTGGTCCGTTTTCTTCTCGGTTCCCGCAGGTTATGCTCTCCTGCTGGGGAAGCTGCGGCGCGCAGTTGTCAGAGTCCCGGCTCCCGGTGAAAATGCGCAGAATTACGCCTCGTCCCGCTTCTGGTAGGGGGACGTGTAAATTACTCTTCCATCCTGCTTCCGAATGCCTACCAAAGGTTGTAATTTGTACCAGTTTTAAATCCCCTAAACCAAGGATGCGCGAGATCAGACTCCAAAGACGCTCGTTTTGCCTCGCAATGTACTTTTTTTCTGAACTGAACCTCATAATGATCTAAGGAATTTTTCTTACCAAGTGGCAGATGTGTCCTTATTCCTAAAAAATCAACCCTAGGAGATGGAATTCAGCTTCGGAGGATCTAGAGATATAATCCAAAAAGATGAAGCAAACGAGGAGGAGGAAAGGAGGGAGGAGGGAGGGGGAGCCGAGCACTCCAGAACTGAGAGGCAAAAGAGGGGAATTCTAGTGAGTTCGGGGCCAACCTGTGCTAAAATGGCTCACCAAACAACAAAAGGGCTCTGCCCTTTTAACTGGCGTAGTTTTAGAAACTACAAGAAAAGCGTGTCATTGGTCTACTATACATACAGTCCACAAACGCGTTTCATACCCCAGCACCTCCGAGGTTGAGCGTTTTAAGGCAGTGCCTTCCTGCAATATTCCCAGACACTTCTCCAATTTCAAGGGTGCCTCCCGAGCGCTGAACACTGTTAACTATGGCTTGGGGACAATCGTTTTTTGTTGTTGTTTTGCTTTTTAAATAGCTTTTCACAGTTTTCGAGAAAGTCCCTTGCAATGTGTTAAATTTGTATGTTTTGCGAGGGAAGCCGGGTTTTCTGGTATTGATGTTCAGAGTTTCCAGGGGCAGCGGTGAAACTCTGTCCAGCGAGATGCGGGCGCACCGGCCAGCGGGTGGCTGCGCCCTCTGTGACGCGGCATTCCAGGCACCTGGCCCGGCAGAGCCTGGGAGGAGCGACCCGGAGGCCGCAGAGGCAGCAGCACCGGCGGCATGAGCGGCTACCAGCCACCAGTGGTGATCGACAATGGCTCAGGAATGATCAAGGCGGGCCTGGCTGGAACCCGGGAGCCCCAGTTCGTTTACCCGAACATTCTGGGCCGGACCAAGGGCCACAAGACTGCGACGGACAGCGAGCTGGAGTTGTGTGTAGGTGATCAAGCCCAGGAGCGCAGGAACTTCCTGTCTATCAGGTACCTCCGGATGCTGCAGCCTGGATGGGTGTGGAAGAGTCCCGAGATAAAGCCACCCTGAAAGGGCCAGGGAGAGGAACCCGAAGGCTTCAGCCAGCCCCGCCTCACAAAAACCTCTGTTCTCTGTACACAAATATATTCAGATATATATAGTGAACGTTCTTGCTAAACGTGTCCCCCTAAGAATGTGACTTAATTTGTCACATTCTTTTGTCATTTGGTGTGATCTCGAACTATTTGCCAGAATGTGGGAATTTCTGGCTAAGCAAAATGACTGCAGAGAAAGGTAGCTGCCCGTTTACCTTCTGTTGCTGACCAGGAAACAATACTGATAAATACTCACTTTAGCTTTAAAAGAGCAGAGAGGGTAAATATTAAAAACTTATGTAACATGCAGAAGTAGAGGCAGCAGTCTGAATTCCAGACCAGCTTGGTCTGCATGTTGAATTCTAGGCTTCACCAGAGCTACACAGTGAGACTCTTGTCTCAAAACAAGAACTATCAAATCACACACACACACACACACACACACACACACACACACACACACACAGAGAGAGAGAGAGAGAGAGAGAGAGAGAGAGAGAGAGAGAGAGAGAGAGAAAGGAGAGAGAGAGAGAGAGAGAGAGAGAGAGAGAGAGAGAGAGAGAGAAATCTAAAAACCACCACTAACGAGAACCACAAAAGCACAAGACTTACATATTTTATCGCTCTCCCTCCAGCTATCCAGTGGACCGAGGCCTCATTTCCTCCTGGGGGGACATGGAGATCATGTGGAAGCATATCTACGACTATAACCTGAACCTGAAGGCCAGCGATGGCCCAGTCTTGGTTACAGAACCTGCACTGAACCCCTTGGTGAACCGGCAGCACATCTCTGAAGTGTTTTTTGAAAACCTGGGAGTCCCTGCCTTCTATCTGTCTGTCCAGGCTGTGTTGGCACTCTTTGCGGCTGGCTTCACCACCGGCCTGGTGCTGAATTCGGGGGCTGGGGTTACTCAGTGTGTGCCAGTCTTTGAGGGCTACTGTCTGTCTCATGGTGTAAAACAGCTGAATGTGGCGGGACATGACCTCACCAGTTACCTCATGATGTTGCTGAAGGACGATGGTGTCATGCTGCTTAGAACTGGGGACAGAAAGATCGTGACTGACATTAAGGAGAACACTTGTTATGTGGCAATGAACTATGAGGAAGAAATGGCCAAGGAACCTAGCCTAGAGAAAATGTACACCCTGCCTGATGGGAAGACGATCAAACTCCATAACCAGGTCTTTCGTTGCCCAGAGGCTCTCTTCTCTCCGTGGCTTGTGAACGTTGATGACCCTGGCATCGATAAGATGTGTCTCAGCAGCATCATGAAATGTGACACTGAGCTCAGGAATTCCTTCTTCTCCAATATTATCCTTGCTGGAGGATCGACCTCTTTCCCTGGTTTAGATAAGCGACTCGTTAAGGATGTGGCAAAGGTGGCACCCGCCAATACCCCTGTGCAGGTTACAGCTCCCCCAGAAAGGAAGATATCAGTGTGGATGGGGGGATCTATTCTTGCATCCTTGTCTGCCTTCCAAGACATGTGGATCACTGCTGCAGAATTCGAAGAAGTTGGACCCAATATAGTACACCAAAGATGCTTCTGAATAGCAGGCAAAATGATGAGTAAAACATGTTTTGAGTATACACAACAACAAAACACTTTGGATATTCTGATTCTGGGGGACCAAAAACATTTCTGTTATTGGGATAGCCCTTTCTTTTTTTTAAATGTTTTTGGTAGTTCTGGAAATAGAACCTAGAGTCTCACACACGCAAAACACTCTACCACTGACCTATATGCCCAGCCCTCTTTTTAACTTTACATTTTCTGATAGGATCTCCTGCTAAAATGACCAGAGTGGATTTCAGTTTGTAATCCTTGTGTTTCAGTCTCCCCGGTAGCTGGAATTACAGGCTTGTGACTTTGGGGCTGGGTCTCAATACAACAGGGCAGGAAACAGTGTAATTGTTAGGTTTCAAACCCAGGACAAACAACTGAGGTGCCTGTTTAATATATCAAACTGGACACTAGCTGCTAGGTCCTCCCTGCGACCCTCAGTCCTTACCTGTTACAGGGTCCTCCTGGCATACCCCACCCCTACCCTAAATTTCTCATTTCTCTCCTCCCAGATGCCCTTCCCTATATAATCTAAACATTTTGGTTACCTCGCCTCTCTTTGGGTCTCCTGGCTGCTGTACCTGGTTCCGTATCTGCCCTTGTCCTCCTCACATGGCTCAGGGTCCTGACCACCCTGGACTCTCTCAGATGGCTTTGCCTCTGGCTAGCCCTCCCTTTTATCTACAATAAACTTTCTCCTTCACCATATCTGGGAGCAGTCAAGTCCTTCCTCTTTCCCTTTCTTTCTTTTTTACACTTAGTATAATAATAATGGTCAGTGTTGTATGAGATGGGACTCAGTAAAGAAACTGCCAAAATGGCCAGTCCATTATTGTGGAGAAGAGAGAGAAAATATCCAGAGGCTCTGGAAAGGTTCAAAGCAGAAAGAGAAGCGAACTAAACTCTAATGGCTGGCCCCGGTGTCTATCAACAGACCAAAGAGCAGGCTGGCCTCCAGGCTCACCCAGTACTCTTGGCTCCTCTCAGCTCTTCTCACCCTGCCCCTTACCCTACACTTTGCCAGTCATGGCCTTCTCTTCCCCCAGCTTCTCATTCCTATATAACCCTGCAATTTCAGACATATGCTGTCATGGTCTTCCACTTAGAGGAGAACAAAGCATATTTACTAGAATAAAGGGGAGTGAGGACTGTGGCCAGGAAGGTAAATTAAGGCTAAAAACTGAAAGTCTTGTTACAGCAAAGATGACCACTCAGACACAGTGTATAGCCAACTGAAAGTCTTTATCCCAGCTGGTTGGGGCCACACCCAGGTATTCAGTCCTGAGTGGAGCACCCAGTGTACAGAACATTGGTGGGATGTATGAAAGCAAAAACCATGACCTGGCATCTTGATAGGCAGTTGCAGGGGAGGTTTTGGGTAAGCAAGCAGTTCAACAGAAGCTAAGATAAGCAGTTAGCTGGAGGCAGTTTCTGTACAAGAAGCTAAGATAATGGGTTATCTGGAGGGGGGAGGTTTGTACAAGCAAGCAGCTTAACAAAAGCTGAGGTAAATAACTGGGGCATCTAGACCGTTGGTTTCCTAGAATAGAGTAGGGTAATTTCCAAAAGATTCTCCATCAAGGAGATAAGATAAGTTAAATCTGAAACACTGTTTTGCCCATCACAGTCTTTATAGTTAAATGCCCCCAAGGCAGAAGGGAGCAGAGAAGATTTAACTGCAGGAGATGAGGGATTTTATTAAGATGAGTTAAGTGCTAATCTGGAGAATAAAATTAGACTGGGAAATTTCAAGAGATTCAGTGATCAGTTAGAAGGTTTAGTTTAGATGAAAAGCAGCCATATTCTTGTAATCAAGATGATAAACAAAGGAATTAAAAAGACATTACAAAAACTGAAACTTCCTGGTCTACAAAGTGAGTTCCAGGACAGCCTCCAAAGCTACAGAGAAACCCTGTCTCAAAAAACCAAAACAAACAAACAAACAAACAAAACAACCTGAAACTTGGTGCCTACCAAACACCCAACTAGGTAAAAAGTAGAGTCTGAGACAACCTGTATAGCTGAGACAATGACAGGAACACCCACATATAATCCAAGGTATTTATTTAGTAAGTGCTTACTTGATGCAATAGTGCTAAACCAGGAGTTTCTGGGTTTTTTTGTTTTTCTGTTTTTCTTCCAGACAGGGTTTCTCTGTATTGTTTTGGAGGCTGTCCTGGAACTCGCCCTGTGGACCAGGCTGGCCTTGAACTCATGAGTGCTGGGATTAAAGGCACATTAATTAGCACCTAGATGTCAGGGCTAGCCTGGGCAACACACTACTGTTCCCTCAAAGCTTGGCTCCTGGAACCCAGACTAGGGTCAGTGAGGCAATAAAAAAAGGACAGACACGAGCTGGAGAGAGGGCTCAGAGGTTAAGAGCACTGTTTGTTCTTCCAGAGGTCCTGAGTTCAATTCCCAGCAACCACATGGTGGCTCACAACCATCCGTAGAGATCTGGTGCCCTCTTCTGATGTGCAGACATACATGGAGGCAGGATGTCGTATTCATAATAAATAAATCTTAAAAAAAAAAAAAAGGACAGACACACAGACAGCCATACAGAAAAGCTGGGTGGGTAGAGGTGTGCTCACGCTGAGGGAATGGAATCTACTAGCAGGCAACTTAGAACCCCAGCATGTTTAGTTGGTGCAGCATGGTAGGAGTTCTCTGTCCAGGAGTAGCTTCAGGCTGTAGAAATCCAGGAAGGGGAGGATTCCTCTGGGTATGGACCAGGTTAAACTACACTATGACCACCAAACACAACCTTATTGTGACTTATCCTCTTTCATAGTCTGACTGATGGGTGATTATATATCAGGTATCATGTATCTGATTTGAGGAGGGTGACAAGCAGTGTGTACATGGTTCATTGCTCTGTTGAGTTAAGCTCTATTCATTTCTTAATTTACTACTAAATCCTCCTTAGTCCTTTAAGTTTCATAAAGGGTAACATAAATGTTCTTTTTAAGAAAATGTAGCCCAGCCAGGCACTGGTGGCACATGCCTTTAATCCCAACATTCGGGAGGCAGAGGCAGGTGGATCTCTGTGAGTTTGAGGCCAGCCTGGCCTACAGAGTTAGTTCTAGGACAACCTCCAAAGCAATACAGAGAAACCCTGTCTCAAAAAACAAAACAAAACTAAACAAAAAAAAAAACAAAAAAAATCCCAAGAAAATGTAGCCCATTGCTTCCCATATCCTAGGCCACACCCTGACCTAGTGATTTTATGGTTATTCTTTTGTTTACTCATGCTCCCTCTTCGGGTTTGCTGAAGATGGCGGTATACAGGCTGAATTAGCAAGCGATGGTGAGGTATAACGGGGTTTATTGATGATAGAACAGGCTCCCCTAGATGGGTATAAAATATGGATGAGTCCTTTGAGTTTTAAGCTCAGCTAGTAGCTTTCTGGCAAATAGTTTTGTTACTGAATTATTCAGATTTAAGGCTGAGCATAGTGGGGTATCTAATCCCAGTTTGAGTCCTAGCCATCGTGTATTGAGTTCATTAGAATTGCTTTTGTTATTGGGTTTAGTTCCAAAAACGAATTTTTACTTATAAGTTGGATTTTAGTTCTATAAACACTTTTACTTTGACCAAAAGAAGAATGAGCTGGGTTCATATGGGAAAATGGCTTTGCCAATTTGCCATGGGTCAAGACCTTGGTCTTTGTATTGGTTTGTATTGGTTGTGCCCTGTCAGTAATATACATCCACTCAACTTCACTCATTCAGGGCTTCCTCCACTCTCTATAACCTCCAGAAACTGTCAAAATGCAAACTAAACCCCACTAGTCTAGTAAGAAATGCAGCATTCAACACTAAATTTCCATTCTAGTAGAGGGTCGATTTAGTGTACTTAACCATAAAACGATCACAGGGTCCAATAAGAGTCCATGCTTAAGGAAGCCACTGGGAGGTTTGGCTCTGGGGTTAGGTTTAAAAGATGGTTAGAATTTAAATGTATTAGAGGTTAGTTGTGGTGGTTTACCCAGCTCCTTGTAATCTCCAGGAAGCGGAGGCAGGAAGACTGAAGCAAATTCAAGGTCAGTCTGGTCTACTTAGTAAATTCCAAGGCAGCCAAGGCTACACACAGTGAAGGGGAAACTGCACTTAGGTGTGGCAAACACAGTTACTGATGCCGCAGGGAGCTGGAAAGGACACAGGCATTGGGTTCACTTGAAGAATGGACAACTGGTGTGTTTCCCACTGCTCTTTACATATGGGGTACTGGCTGTAGAGAGAGCACGGCAAGCCGAGCTCGGGCAGATGGTATCTTTTACCCTCCTTCCGGCGAGCTCCTCCTCCAGCACCGCACAGACCTTGTCTGGCCGGGAGGACATTCTTCCTGGGCTCTGTCTGTGCTTGTGGTTTCCTGTGGTCCTTAGGCCACACTAGGGTCAGGATTTGTGCTAACAAAGGAATGGCAGATCATCTAGAGCTCGACACTACACGCCAGCTGTCTGGTTTAAATTTTAAAGTTTTGAAGCTACAGTTCCTGCTTGAGAACGTGGGACGCTCAAGGTCATTTTGAGGTTCAATTGGGATAAACACCCCCCCCACACACACAAACAAGGTTTCTCTGTGTAACAGCTCTAGCTGTCCTGGAACTCGCTCTGTAGACGAGGCTGGCCTCAAACTCACAGATCTCCACCTGCCTCTCCTCCTGAGTGCTGGGATTAAAAAGGCCTGCAAACACATTTAAAGGCATGGAAAAAAAATAAGCAAAAACCCTAAAATGTTGGGGTTTTGTTTATAAAATAAACAAGTTTACCGGTCTAGTTGACATAACACCCTCCTACAGCATTAAGATGCTACCCACAATATATAGGACCCTTTCATGTCTTCTGTGGCTCTCTCCCAGGAGATATGTAAACACTGAGTTGGTTAGAAACCTTCCGTGCCCTGTAGAGAACTGTCAGGAAAAACAGAACTCACTTGTGATAAGGATGGGCAGCAAGGAACTCAGCCTGAAAACAAAACGACAAAAAAAGATTTTAAAAAATGTTTCAGTGCCCTTGAAATGTTGACTTCCCGCTTCAGCCTAACTGTTGGAATTATAGACTTGTGTGCCACCTACCTACCCACCTTTCTACCTTCAAAATCCTCTTCTTATTCTTTCTGGAACTCACTGTGTGGAAAAAGGTGGCCTCAGAAATCAGAGACCCGCCTGCCTCTGTCTCTTAGGTGCTGAGATTAAAGGTGTGAGCCGCCAAACCAGGCTCCTGCAAACATCATGAGTGTAGCTTCTAACACAGTTCAGAAATCAAGTCGCAGAGATGTCCGTGCGTGTGTTCACAGCAGGAAATGTGCTTGTTTAGTTTTTGCTAGACAACACCTAAGAAAAAAAAGGAGGGGCAGAGGGGCGGTGGGGAGAGGGGGCAGGAGGAGAGGGCCAGTGCGGGAGAGCGCGAGAGTTCGAGCGCGGGCGAGAGCTGGCGCCGGCCAATCAGCGCGCGCCGCCCCGGGTACTTAAGGGCGGCCTGGCCGGGTGGCGGCCAGTCTAACCCTGAATTCTGATAGCTGTGGGTACTGTGCTTTCGGCTCCGCCCGCTGTTTTTCTCGCTGACTTACAGCGGGCGGGAAAGCCCAGACCTGCAGCGGGCCACCGCGCGTTCTCAACCACAAAAAATGTCAGCGGCGGGCCCGTGTGCCTGGAGCCTTGCGGCCGGCCGCCCAGCCCCGCACCCGCCTGAGGCCGCGGTCGG